ATCGGGCTGGGCACACAGCAGGGACTTGCCCACCCCAAGCCATTTCCATAGGCTTTTATAAAATTAAATAAAATTAAGCTGGGCCTTTTACCCCTGCCTGGCCCTGGGGGGCAGGGGGGCAGTGAGAATGGGGACATCTAGAAGGCTGGGTCTATTTGTTCATTTGTCCAATCCGTGAGGACTTATTGAATACCTGCTGTGTGCCTGGCTCTGTACTGGGCTCTGGGGGTACAGCTCCTCCCTCAGGGGGTATAAGGTTCCCTGCTTCAGCATCCGGTTCTTCTAGGGGCTCCTGCCCCCAGCTGTGGACTCAGCCCTGGTCCTAGCCCTGGTCCTGGCCTCCCTGCCAGAACTGGGGGTGCCTGAGAGCTGGGGGTGGGGTACAGCCCCTGTTCTCTTTGGAAATACCTCCTGACCCAGAGACTGAAAAGACAGACCTAGAGAGAGTGAGCAGGAGGGGGTCTAGGGAGACCTCCAGGATGGTAGGGCTGGATTTTGCCTTTTCCTTTGAATTGCAAATGTCCTGTTTTCTCCCAGCAGAGGGGAAACCCACTCAGGAGACTGGTAGAAGGTCACACATACACATCCCCCAGGGAGGAATCCCAGACCCTCACTGATGGTGCATGTCCCACAAAAACCATGTCCCCTATACACCACCACCCCAGCTCTGGGGGTGGGTACAAGGAATCGGTGCTGTCATTACCCCTTGACCCATCTTACAGGTGGGACAGCTGAGGCTGGAGATTACACGCCTGTCCGAGGGCCTCTGGCTGGGAAGCCAGAGTAGTTCTCGAACCAAGAAGTCTTTCTCAGGTGACACCAGCTGATGACCCTGTGGTTTATGCCATTTACAAGGAAGTGCTAGAAGAGAGTAGTAATGGGGCTCACCGGGGCATCTTTAACAAGGGAACTCTAGCCTTGGTGAGGGACAGGTGGCAGGTGCTTCACACAGCACCAGCACTGTGGACAGAGGGCTGACGCTCCTCTGCAGGGAGTGGAGGAGACAGATGGGTAAGGACCTGGGCTGGGCTATGGGAACGGGACCTATTTAGGGCCTGGCGCACTGCCTCCCGGTTCCTGGCGTGCACGGGGAAGAGGTCTGAATACGGGGGATGAGGGAAGTGAGCCAGGCTTCAGGGCCAGCAGACCCCCACCACAGAGCTTCGGGGCATCCATGTCCATGGCAGGAGACGGGCGGAGGTGAGGAATGCCAGTGTTAGGCACGGGCAGGAGGGAGGACCAGCAGGGGGCACGGGGCCTGGCCACCGACCCCAAAGGGAGAATGGGGACCAGGCCTGGGTTCAAGGTGGAATACACACTGGCCCGTGGGCTCCTTGAAACCACCCAAGGAGATAGAGACAGTTATACTCCCATTCTCCAGATGAGAAAATGGAGACTCAGGGACCAGAAGTGGCTTGTCTGAGGTCTCACAGCTAGGGGTCACCAGGACTTGAACCCAGATTTGTCTAGTCAAAGCTTGCACTGTGCCCGCCCAAGATCCTGTCACACCACCCTGGAGCTGTCCTTCCCCTGGAGCTTTGCCGGGAGGTGCCAAATGTGGCTTCCCAGCCTCACAGCTCATGGGTGGGACCCCAGGCTCTGGGCTGGGTCTTGAACTCTGCATTCGAATCAGGTCTTGGGCAATGCTGGTATCCACAACCCCACTTGTGAGCCGCAAGTTCATGGGGCAGGGGAGCATCACCCCCAGGGGCCCTCTGATTCTCTGCCTGTCCTACCACAGAAACAGCCTCAGACTGGAGCAGATAGACCTGGGTTCAAGTCCTGGGTGGCCTCAGTTTCCCCATCGGTACAGTGGGGCTGCCTGCTCCCCGTCCCTGTCGGAGGCTCTTGCAAGGACTCAGGGAGGCAGAGGCTAGCTCTGTGGGTGTTAAAAGTTCTGGACATGACAGCCACTGTTGCACCATTCTCTGGGTTGGTGGCCTGGGGTTGAGCTTATTTCAACCAGACAAGGAGGCATTTAAGCCCTCAGTGATCCGACAGCGGGGGTAGGGCAGAGAGACAGCAGTGCAAACTCACTGGCCCTGGCAAGGTGCAGGGAGCAGCCAGGATGCGGAGGGGTCCCTGAGCTTGGGGTTGGGGTGGCCAAGACTTACTGGATGACAAGTCACTCTTGGGTTGGAATGAGCCCACACGGACAGCCCGGAGCCCTAGCCCTGGTCTTTCTCTGGACTATGAATCAGAAGCAAAATGTTTCCCTTCTAACCTCAGTTTCCCCATGGGTCAAATGTGTGGTGAGATTAGATGATGTCGGAAGGCGCTTTCGCAGTAAGAGGCCAGAAGACAATGTGCAGTGAGCCTCCAGGGATGGGCACCGTTTTGAAGGTTGGCGGGGCGGGGGGAAGGAAGCAAAAGAGGGGCACTCCCTGCAGGGGGAATTGCTAAGACATGGCGGTGGGACCATGCTCGGGGGTCCCAGGGTGGGGAGGGTGGGTGGAACAGACACTGGGTGGCCACAGGAGTCTGCTTGTGCTCCTCACAGGTTTGTGTGTGTGCAGGGGGTGATGCTGAAGGAATGGGGAGCCGGGGTGGGGGCACACAAACAGCAGGACCAAAAAACCCATAAAAACACAGTCAGAATAGCACCATTTACCCCCCCCAACCCCCCCACCCCCCCACCCCCGCTCCACGAGCTCAGCAGCATCGTTAACCTTCTGCGATCCTCCCTTCGTGGGGAAACAGGCTCTTAGGCATTTAAGTAATTGCTTGGGGGTCTCAGTTTCTCTGTCTGCAGAATGGGGAGAGAGCATATAGTCAGTGCTCAACACACGGGAGCCGCTGGTGGTTGCAGCAACAGAGGCGGGTCCTTGAGACCACAGAGCCCAAAGCTTCCACAGACTTCCAGTTCTCTGGGGACCTGGCTAATAGTAACATTAATACTGGTATGAATGAATCCTGATGGCAGCTGAGTCAGACACCGTTCCAAGGGCTTTCCATGTGATCACTGCTGAATCCCCCTGACACCCTAGGAGAAAGGAAGTGTTATTAGCCCTATTTTACAGATGAAAAACTGAGGCTCACAGAGATCAAGTCAGTGGCCCTGGTACACAGGTAAGTGAAGACTAGGATTGGAAGCCAGAGCCCGAGCTCTTAACCACTCTGAGGACGATCTGTCAGTCACCGGCCGGCAGAGACCCCACTTGCACCCAGAAAGCCAGTTTGTTTACAAGCCCCCTCCCAACACCACTCAGGGGGCTTTGGTGGGGCTCTGGCTTCAGAACCTGCCAGCAGCAGCTCACCTCCATTCCTTCCTGCTGCCCCAGAGCCAGACAGAGCAGCAGGGGCAATGGGGAGCTACAGCAGGTAAGGGAGCAGGAGCAGGGCTCGCACCACCAGACTCTGGGAGGTCGGCCAGTCCTGGGGTGGATGGGGACCGGCCAGACACCCCCATGCATGCGGTGGGCGGCACACCAGGCCCTGCCCCTCAGTCTCACCCCATGGTCTCCACGGGCCTGAGGAGACAGATGGCATCTCCTAGGCCTGGGCTGTGGCTGTCCCTCTCCAGATGAGTTATGAGCAGGCTGCAGGAGTGGCAGCCGGGGGTGGGGTGGGGGGCCACAACGACAATGGCACAGAGACTCTAGGACAATGGGGGCCACGTGCCACGGGGGCAACAGTCGTTTGTCGCACAATGGGCCGCCGGGGGACAGCAGCCCGGCCAACTGCTGCTGCTGACACGGCCGGCCGGGTTTTCAAATCGTTTCCAGGCCCTGTTTTCCTACAAGGCAGCCAATGGCTGGGGCAGCCTGACGGTCACCTGATGCCAGCCTGGTGGGCTGAGGGCCCAGGCCCCGCACCAAGGAGCAGTTGTGGCCATGGCAACGCTAATTGTGGCCCTAAAACAGAAGGAGAGAGAGCGAGGTGGGAAGGAGGGGGGAGAGAAAAGGCGAGGAGGGACAGCGGGACAGCGTGGGGAGAGCCGTCCAGCTGGAGGGCGGCCCGGGGGGGGCGCTGAGACGGATGCCCCATGGTGGGTCCCCTGCCCCACACGGGACAAGGCTGGAGGCTGTGCTGCTCTCTCTCTCCCCCCTTTCTAGGAAGCCCTGAGACTTTTCTTAAACCGTGGCTCTCAGAATGTGGACTGGGGACCTCTGGGCCACACTGCAGAAGAGCCCTGGCCTGGTGGCCTGGTGGGTCTGGCGTGGGCTCTGGGTCAGTTTTCAGCCACCTTATCCCGTGGACAAGACACTGCCGTGGGAGCCCAGGGCCCTTGGAGCCGTGTGGCAAGCATGACTTTAGGGGTGCTGGGGAGGCCTGTTTACCCCACACTGGGGGGACCTGCCTGCCATTCCCAGGGGGTAGCCTTTCTCTTTCTGTGGAGAGTCTGTAGAGGGGTGGTGGACATCGGTCCTATAGGGGGTCTCCAGGGACTGCTGGGGGCATGGTGAAGAGCTTGGGCTTCAGGCCTGGCTGACTGGGTCCCAGCCCCACCACTTCCTGTTATGTGTATCTTTGGGCAAGCGACTCAGCGCTCTAAACCTCAGTTTCCCCAAATACAAGAGGGACCTGTGGGCGTATCCAACCTCTCAGGGCTGCTGCAGGGATTGAACAGGATTGAAAAGGACTGTGCCTGTTGAACACTGAGCTCCTCACCTCAGTTTCCCCATCTGTAAAATGGGAATACTACCACTACCGTTTGCCTCATGGGGTGAGGAGTGTTCAATGACTTACCACCCATGAAGGATTTGATATGGTGTCTGGCACATAGTAAGTGTTCAACAAACATTAATGTTTATTATTTGGGGGCTAGGTAGGGGCTAAGGTAAGATACAGTAAACACAGGCATGACTTGAGGATGTGGGATCTGGCTGCCAAAGTGGGGATCCGGGGACCACGCCTAGCCCAAGAGATGGACACATGAGGGTGGCTCAGGGAGGAGAGGGGCCAGGGATGATTCCAGAGGTGGAGGGGTACCCCCCCCAACCCTGCCAGGAGCCGACCTGAGCTCCCCGCCCCGCCCGAGCTCCTGCCCCTCCCTGTAGGCTCCTGGCTACCTGCAGTGATGATGACCTTCCTGGGGACCTGCAGTCCCTGTCATGGCTCACAGCGGTGGACGTGCCACGGCTACAGCAGATGGCGAGTGGCCGCATGGACCTGGGTGGCCCCGGTGCGCCGCCCCCACACCCAGGTAGGCACAAGGGTGGGGTGGGGGGTGGGGAGAGGCGTGGCGCAGGGGTGGTGGTGGGAGGGGCGCAGCCCAGCACTGCCCCCCAGCAGCTGGGTGACTGTGACCAGGTCTCTCACTCTCTGCGCCTCTTACTGCATTTGCAAAATATGCCTGATGACACCTTCTTCGGAGGGATGGGGGCATTCGTGTGCTCACCAGCATGTGCCAGGCTGTGGGTGAGCTCAGGGTTCAGTGACGAATAAAGACAGCCCCTTCTCTGCCCCTTCCCCGCTTGTGAACAGCTGAAGCAGTTGGCAAACTACAGCCCGCAGGCCAAAGGCAGCCTGCAACCTGCAGCCCGTTTTTTGTATTGCCCTTGTGTTCAGAATGGTTTTGCATTCTTCAGGGGTTGTAAAAAACCCAAAGACAGAAACCATACAGCCGGCAAAGCCTCAAATATTTGCTATCTGGCCCCTTACTGAAGAAGCCTATGGAACTCCGATCTTCAGAGAGAGGATACGTTGGAAGGTGCTGACAGTCCTGGCACATAGTTGGTGCTCAATAAATGGCAGCTAGCTGCTGTGATAGCAAGTGGACAAAATAGCGACACAGGAAGTGTTGAAAACAATCATCAAGGTACATTAAAAGTGCCAATAGATGACAAATTAGGGTCTAGGAATATTTATTTCATTGAACAAATTGTTCTTGGCCAAAACGTCTGTAGCAGGGGTCTGCAAACTCTTTCTGTAAAGGGCCATGTAGTCAATATCTAGACTCCGTAGGCCATAGGGTCCCTATAGCACAAGCCCAGCCCCAGACAATGTAAATGAACAGGCATAGCTGTGTACCAACAAAACTTTATTTACAAAAACATGGCACAGGCTGGATCTGTCTTTGCTGGATCAGGGTTTGCCAAACCCTGATCTAGAACCTCCAGATCCGTGACCTTGGGCAAGTACTTTCCCCTCTGACTTATTTTCTTATCTGCAACAAAAGGATAGCAGAGCTGCCCTTCTGGGGTGTTGAAAAGATTCAATGCCAAAAGTGCCTTGGACACACAGTAGGTGTTGTATGGCACGCGAGAGATGGGAAGCATGAAAGAAGGAAGCCCGTCCCTTCTCCCCTGGGCGGCTACACCCCTCCCACACTCCTGTCTCTATGGGTCATACAAGATGTGGTCCTAGTTCTCAGGGAGCTGAGGGTCTGGTCCAAGAGAGGGCAGAGCAGACAGACCAAAGGCACCACGGATGAGCCCAGGTGGTGGCCAGGACTCAGAAGAGAGCCGAGGAACCCCAAAGGCTTCCTGGAAGAGGTGGCCCCAGGGCAGGATCATCTTGCAGGTCAGCTTGGTTTAATCTAGAAGGTAGCCCTAAAGCAGAATGGTGGTGAGGAGCAGTGTCTTTCCCGGGCCCAGGACTGGGTGGCTGGCATGCAGGCGTGAGGACATCCGCTAGCTTAGGGGCAGGGCTGGGCAGAGGGTAGAGGAGGCACAAAGGCATTCAGAGCGAAGCCTGGTGGCCCTGGGAACCAAGATATGATTCTGAGGAGGAGAGCTGAACAATGAGTTGATGTTTGGGCTTCACAATGGACAAGAATCGAGATACTAATGACATCATCGTTATTATTAGTTACTGACTCCTGTTTACCAAGATGTGGTCGTGTAGCCAACAACGTGATAAGCACTGTATAGACATGACCTCCCTTAAACCCCCACAACAACTTCATATGTAGGTGATCTCGGGAGCTCCCCTGTACAGATGGGGAAACTGAGGCAGGCCCCAGGTCACACAGCTGGTAGGAACCCACGGCTCAGCACTGCACTCTGAGTGGTGATTTGCCAAGCACCTGCCATGCACCTGGTCCCAAGGGTGGGGGTGGGGGCTCTGTCCTCTGGCAGTGTCCAGGGATGGAGCCGCTCTGCCCGCGGACCCCATCCTTCCGGCCCAGCAGCTTCTCCGTGCTTCCCTTTTGCAGGTGCCTTGGCCAGGGCGGCTGACCTGCACGTGGGAGCTACTGCAGGTGCCCTGCTCCACGGCCCGGCTGGCGTGGCCCCCCCAGGCATGCTCGGCCTGAGCCCCATAGCCAATCACGGAGCCACTGTAAGCATCACCGCAGGGGTCAGGGAGCTCGAGCGGGGGTCCTCCAGGGCAGGGCTGACCCACCCTCACCCTAACCTCCTCTATCTCCTCTTGGGGCCCCTGCAGGTGAGTCAGATCCCTGTGGGGGGCCAGCCCTCATCCGGCCTGCAGGACTCGCCACAGCTGTACTCGTCCACCCCCCAGACACAGTTACCGCTCCCCGCAGGCCCGCAGCAGGTACCGGGGGCTGGGAGAAGGGTCCTAGACTCAGAGACACACCTCCCTGCATTGGGCTGGCCGGGAACCTCTCTGAGCCTCAGTTTACTCCCCTGCAACACAGGGATAGCTTTCGCCATGCCCATGGAGTTGTTCACTGGGTTCCCGAAAACCCCCGCAAGGAGCAGAGAGAGACAGGATTGTCTCCTGGGGCTGGCGACTTCACATCTTGCTAAATAGCATCTCCTAAAAAGCAAGCCTGGGGTGGGGTAGTGTTCCTGTGAGTGGCTTATGTCCTTTCTTACCTTCTCTCTCTGCCACGCTTCCCTGCTCTGGCTGTGGGAAGTGCCCTCCCGTGAGCCTGTATGGCTCCCCATTTGGAGCACGGTCTCCATACCCCCAGCCCCGCATGGCTGTCCATTCATCTCAGGAACTGCACCCCAAACACTACCCCAAGCCCATCTACTCATACAGGTGAGGTCCGGGATGGGCCGCGGCTATGGGGGTGGGTAGGGGAGGAGAGGGGCTAGGGCTGCCTTTAGGACAGCTCAGACTTGCAAGGGGGGGGGAGCTTTTGGCGAGTAGAGAGCCCCCAGAAGGGACGTGCTCTAGGAAGGATCAGCTCCCAGGGTGGAGAACCCACTCCAGACCCAGAGCCCGATGCTCTGTTCTGTCATTCCCAAACCACGCAGCCTCGGGGAAGCGGCTTGGCCTCTCTGAGCCTTAATTCCCTCTGATGTAAAAAGCCATCAAAATAATATTGTGTACCCTGCAAGAGTGGGGGGTGGGTGGTAAGCAGCCTAGTTAAGTCTAAAGGCCCACAGACATTCACTATGGGGAAGGAATAAAGAGAAGAAAAGAGTTTTCTCAGACTGGTACCACTGTCTGAGCTCAGGGTCAAGAAGGGCAAGGGGTGGGCAAGACCTAGGGCCATGGAAAGGTACCAGAGCTAACACCATTTGAGTATGGAAGGGCTGGTACTGGTGAGATCAAGCAGGGCAGACTTCCTGGCAGAGGGGACCTTGGGCTGTCAGCCTGAGACCCCTTTACCCCTGGCCTGCCCCACCCTTCACCTCCAGCTGTCTGATCGCCATGGCCTTGAAGAACAGCAAGACAGGCAGCCTGCCCGTGAGTGAGATCTACAGCTTCATGAAGGAGCACTTCCCCTACTTCAAGGTGAGGGGCCCCAGTGGAGTGTAGGGGTGTTAAGAGGCCGGCTGCTCTGGCCTCTCCCTCACACGGCCCCAGACCAAAATGGGTCACTGTCTTAGGTCACCAGTGATGCCCATAGACACCTGTGCATTCACACAGGCATGGCCAAAGAAGCCCAGAAGGAAGAGGGGGCCTTGGAGCCGGACCCTGCCCAGAGACGGAGTTCACCGGGCATCCCGGAGTGGGGGAGGGCAGAGGATGGCGGGGTCAGCTTAGTGATTCCTCACAGACTCCCTGAAACACCCTGATGCATAACACAGACGTGGCAAGAGCTGTTGCTTCTCTGAGCCTCAGTTTGCTCATCTGTAAGATGGGGAGAATGATAGCCAGCTGGCCAGGGAAGTGAGGACTCTGCAGGTAAAGGGCTGTGGCAGCTCCTGGCGTGTGACTGGCCATCACGAACATTATTTTTGTTGGCATCAAAGGGAAATAAGGAGCAGGAGGTCAGAGGGTACCAAGCTGCAGGGTCCCTGACTTGGACAGTGTCCCTCGCAGAAATATTGCAGACAGTGGTGTGTGCGAGTGTGGGGGGCAGGGGCTAGAATGTGAGCTGCACCGTAGTATCTGATTACCTAACAATTAAGTATGAGCATTGAAACACGACTGAATATACTTGGTCAGTTATCCGCATGATAGCATCCTCTTTCTCACTTGCTTCCTAAGGAGGAGAGGAGGAGGGGACGATTCGGCATCCCTGGGCTTGTTCTCACATAGTAACTGTTGGCTGGAGCTCATATGCGGCTGCCCCTTTAAAAGGGCGTGGCCCTCCTGGTGAGCCACAGTCCCCACCAGTCTCTCTTGTCTTCCTAACTCAAGGCCGGGCTTCAGACTCACTTCACCCCACCACTGCCATGCCTTGCCCCTCGAGACCTGTGTCTGAGATGCCCCTGGAGAGGAAGGGCTTACGGGGAGGTCTCTGAGAACATCTGTGTGTCCATCTGTCCCCACAGACGGCTCCCGACGGCTGGAAGAACTCGGTGAGACACAACCTGTCCCTGAACAAGTGCTTCGAGAAGGTAGAGAACAAGATGAGCGGCTCCTCGCGCAAGGGCTGCCTGTGGGCCCTTAACCTGGCCCGCATCGACAAGATGGAGGAGGAGATGTACAAGTGGAAGAGGAAGGACCTTGCTGCCATCCACCGGAGCATGGCCAATCCCGGTGAGGCCTAGACACCCCCACTGCCACCCGCAACACATGTCCCTGCCCATAGGTCCTGGCCTCGCTGGTGGGGACATGGGTGCCTGGTGGACTTTCCTCCTTTCCTCCCGGGAAACATGCCTCCCCTGGGGCAAGTCCACGGAGGGGTCTGATCAGAGGCCTGTGGAAAGCTGTTCAGTCTCCCAACACAGCCCCTAGTTTCTCACAGAGAAATGCCAAACTAAGCAAACATGGGAGGACATCACTTTCTTACTGTGCCTACTGCCTTGGCACCAAGTTTCAAAACAATAAAATAATAAAATAATAACACCCAGTGTGGGCTAAGATGTGGAGAAACAGGCACCTTCATAGTAGGATAGGTGAGATTCTCAGTTAAACTTTTCCAAGGCAAAATAATATATAAAAACCCTGCAAACTGTTCCCTACTTTTTTGGTCCAGTTATTTTACTTCTGGTAATGTATGCTGAGGATATCAAAAATTCCAACAAAAGGTTTACAGACAAAGTTATTTTAAAGATTTGAAAGAGAGAGAGCACATGCAAGAGAGAGGGAGAGCATGAGCGGGGGTGGGGGGCAGAGGGAGAAGCAGACTCTCTGCGGAGCAAGGAACCTGACAAGGGGCTCAGTCCCAGGACCCTGGGACCATGACCTGAGCCAAAGGCAGACGCTTAACCCACTGAGCCATGTGGGAGCCCATAAGTGTCCTCTTTTCTAAAATGTGTGCCATCTTAGATAGGTCCCGGAACCCTGGTGGTCCAGTCTCAAACTGGTGTGACATTTAAGGAGACTCAAGCCACCAACCAGATATAATTTCAGAGTAATCATCTCTCTTGCTTATAACCAAGAGCATTAAGGAGGATCCAATTTTCAACCCACAGCAACACCTAATGTCTCTTTAGTAGCAGGGAGCGGCTAGGACCCCTTGTGCATTCATACATTTTGTCCCAATGTCGTGGGACCTGTCCTCTCTGCCTTGCTTCCTCTTGCAGAGCTGTTAGCTTCAGGGACGTCCTTGAGCTAAAGCACTGTCCCAAAGAGAGGACGTACCGTTGTCATGTGAGGCTCCCTCATTCCTCAAAGACCCTATGCAATCTGTGATTTCATGACATTTCCCCAACAGCACTGTGCAGAGTGTACGGTGCCCTCTCATAGACGAAGAGACCGAGGTTCAGAGAATCTAAGGGAATTGCTAGGGTTACAGGCATGCTAACACGGGGGCCTGGGAAATGCAGGCCGGCTGCTGAGGGACCTCTCCCTTGCCTGCAGAGGAGCTGGACAAACTGATCTCGGACCGACCAGAAAGCTGCAGACGGCCTAGCAACCCCGAGACCACCGTGCTGACTCACGCCGCCACAGTGGCCATGGCCCACGGCTGCCTGGCTGTCTCCCAGCTCCCACCCCAGCCCCTGGTGACCCTGTCCTTGCAGTCAGTCCCCCTGCACCACCAGGTCCAGCCCCAGGCACATCTGGCCCCAGATTCTCCAGCCCCAGCACAGACCCCGCCCCTGCATGCCCTGCCGGACCTGAGCCCCAGCCCCCTGCCCCATCCTGCCCTGGGAAGGGCCGCCGTGGACTTCATCAACATCAGCACCGACATGAGCACCGAGGTGGACGCCCTGGACCCCAGCATCATGGACTTCGCTCTGCAGGGTGAGGCTACAGGAACGGGGTAGGGCGGGACAGAAGGGGATGGTGGGGGTGGGAGAAGCTGCAGGGCCAGAAAGATGGGGGCGGGCAAGCGAGAGGAGGTCCGTCTGCATTTACCCCTCAGCTCATTCCTTGGACAAGTACTTCCCAAGCGCCTCATGCTGGTGAATTATAGCAAGCGTTTCATGAGTGCTTACTGTATGCCCTAGCCATCACCCCAGTCCCACCATGCAATGGTCCTGGCAGGCCACTGCCATTTCCTGTCCCTATTCTGCTGCTGAGGAGATGAGACAAAGAAGTGAGGTCGCTGGCCTGAGGGTCACCTGGCTAGTAAGGGGCAGAGTGGTACCTCCACCCAGGGCTCTGACCCCCAGCTTTTACTCAGTAACCACTTGAGTGTGTGTGTGCCAGCCATAGGCCAGGTCACGCTCTGACCCACTGCCTGCCCCTCGGTCGTGCTTGGCATATAGGAGCTGATCGAATGCCTGCACGGACAAGGGAAGTGTCTTATGATTTGTCTGTTCACAACACGGGAGCTCCTACCGTGCGCCAGCCAAGGGCCGAGGACTCCTCCCTGCCCCTGCCCTCTGGGAGTTCTCTGTCTAGAGAGGGAATGGACTGGTTAGCAGGTTTGTGAGTTAGCTAGTGAGGGTGTTATTTACAGCTGTGAAAGGGTATATTCTGCCCTCCCTGCCTGTCCCCCTGGATTATTATGTAGGGAAATTGTTGTTTTGTCCCCAGGCTGGGCCATGGTGGGAACCCTGAGGGAGAGTCCATGTTTCTACACATTCCCCTGTTGAAACCTTGGGAGGATAACGGGGGTGGGGGGAGGGGGATGAAGTCTCTGATTGTCTCCACTCATCCCAAGGAGCCTGAGGCTCAGAAGCGACACTCCCCGGGATGCCCAGTGGGAAGGGGGCGGGCTGGGGCTGGAACTTGTCTTCTCCATGCCCCCTCCCCTGCAATCGCTGACTTTGAACCCTACACACGGTCTTTGCCTATTCCTTAAGTCAGGACTCGATCTCGGGTCCGTCTGTCCTGAAGCCAGCTCATCCAAATGCCTTTGTCTTTGAAAGGGAACCTCTGGGAGGAGATGAAGGATGGGGGCTTCAGCCTGGACACCCTGGGGGCCTTCGGAGACTCTCCCCTTGGCTGTGAGCTGGGGGCTTCGGGCCTGACCCCCGTCTCCGGCGGGAGCGACCAGTCCTTCCCAGACTTGCAGGTGACGGGTCTCTATGCCTCGTACTCGACCCCAGACAGCGTGACCACGTCAGCCACCACCTCCTCCTCCCAGTACCTGGGCGCCCCAGGGAACAAACCCATAGCCCTGCTTTGAGGTGACGGCCTTGCCTGCCCCCACCCCAGCCCCTGACAGAGAGCTCCCCGGAGCCCGGTGTACCAGGAAGTGAGGCCTCTTCCACCTGTTGGCGCCCCTGGCCCTCTCACTCCCCCGCAGGAGGCCTTCTGGGCAAACAACACCCCCCCCACCGCCAGGTCAGAAGGACAGAGGAAAATGGACAGGCACACCAGCTTCCCCTGACCTCAGTGACGTCCCCCGCACAATGCTCCTCCCAGAGAGTGACTTCTGAGAACGAGATTTCTGGAACCTGCACCCCCACTGGGCTCCTGAGAGGACCTGCAGCCCGCCTTTGAGATGGGACGCATTGGTGCGCCATGGGAACTCTCCGGCGGGGAGGCCCTTGAAGTCATTCCTCTGGGGCTAAGCATCCACTCGGGCCTCCCGAGGCCAGGAGCAGAACCAGCAGAACCGTCAGCTCCCCTCGGCCGGGCCCGGGCTGAACTCCGGGACAGGCATGCGCCCCCCACCCTCCAGCCCTGCTTTTCCTGCAGGCCATTGCACACAACAGATCCTGCGCCATGCTGGGCCCTGGGCCCCTGTGTACCTTTATTTATATTTATTGGAGCCCCTCTGCAGCATCGATTGGACCCCGGCCCCAGAATGAGAGTCCCCGGTCCCTGCCTGCCTCCCGGCAACCCTTCCTCCTAAATTTCTCCAGGGGCTCATGGCGCCAACGGGCTCTTAGAGCCTTGGGCTGCTTTTTTAGAACAAAAAGCTCTTGGGATACTATGGGACATCCTCTTTTTCTAAATCAGAGACCAGAGACGTTTCTGACTGCTTGGTCATGATCCAGATTGCTTCCCACATGCGCCCAAGAGGACGGGAGTGTACCTCACTCCAGGCTTGGGGGCTTCCGAAGGGGAGACCGGGATGGGAATGGGAAGGATGGCGGGGGCCATTCGTGCTGGGATTTAAGACACTGATGGAAAAAAAAGCAAAGGGGACCATGTAGAGCTTGCCCCGCGTGGTGAGAGGGCTGACGAAGCTGCCAGGCGGTGTGTTTATTGGCACCTGTTTGCCTCTTCCTTGCCCTACGGCTGTCTTTATGTGGTTTTCTTTCTTTCTTTCTTTCTTTTTCTCTCATTACCAATTACTGATTTCACAAGTGGTGGATTCTGCAGACCGTGGGTGGGAGGGATAGGAGAGCGGGTCCGGGAAAAGAGAAGGTAAAAGAGGAGGACCCTCCAGCCCCATCGATGCCGAGAAGTACAGTGGTGGTTCGGACCACTGTTCCCTCTTGACCAGCTGGATGTCCGGCTCCTGTGTCTGGGCATCCCCAAACCCGAGGACCAGACTCTTCACCAGACAGCTGCCTGGAGGGCTCAAGGCTGGGGCTTGTCTTAAAGGACCATCTTGAAGTACTTGCTACCTAGTTCTGGAACTTTCTGCCAAGCAGCCATCACCTTTAGACACAGACTGGTGCTGGCCATCTGAGCAAGACCGCTCAGTGGCTTTGTGCGATGTGACCCTCGACAAGTTAAGATGTTTGAGTTGTTGCCAATGAAGACCCCGTGTTCAGGAGACGACAAGACTCTCAGAGAGTAGCGTTGAATAACTGTCTTTTGTCAGTAAAGGCTGAACCGCAGCTCTGTGGCTCAGAGGGAGGCGTGGGCGGAGGTGAAGGACAAAAGTGTGGTTTGTCACTCACTGCTCACAGCTGAGGTGCCATTTACAGACGGGGAAACTGAGGCCCAGAGAGGCAACACCACAGCAACACTGAACCCAGGGATCTGATGCCAGGTTCCCCTTGGAGATTGTCATTATTGGGAAAATCAGCACAGCCATCATTCACCAGCCCTCAGTGCCAGGCTCTTAACAGGCATCCCTAGGCAGGGACGCAAACCCCATTTATTGCTCAGAAAAAAGAGGCTCAGACCAACCAAGGAGGCAGGACTGAGGCCCTGAGTGCCAAACTCCAGAGTCAGTGCTCCATGGCGCCGCCTCTGGTGCGTTCCCAGAGTCACAGGAGGTAACAAGGTGGGAGCAAATGCACCCTTTTCAGCACCACACCCTCCTGGAAATTAGCTCCTTCAACCCTCCTTACGCCCTACCAGGCACCTGGCTTCGTTACTGCATCCGTTTTGCAGATGAAGAAACTGAGGCTTGGGGGAATAAAGGAATGTCTTGCCACCCAAGATAACAGCAGAAGGATGCATTCATTAGGAGTCAACTCATAAGCCCTTCTGGGGAGTGGCTTGCACACTCCCTGGGGAGACGGGTCCATGCACGTGTGACAATGAGCATGAAGGAAGATTAGAAGGATGACAGGGAAGGGGGACCAGGTCCACCTCTGGAGAAAACAGGCAGGTGACAGGGAGAGACTCCCTCCACGGCTTGGCTCCAAGGTGGACCTGTGACCCAAGCCTGGCCAATGAGCACATCACTCCCCCTACCCCCACCGCCCTCATTGGAGGGCGAAGCCTCAGTAGCCGGGTCACCCTAAGGAGATGGCTGAGAAGCCTTTACTTGAGTATGTCCCCTACTCCTTACTGCAGGCAAGCAGGGCCACGTATGTATAGAATCAAGGTGGAAACACCAAGGTCCTAAGGTCACAAGCTTTAAGCCAGAACCCTAATCCCAACCCGAGCCCCACCTGTGCGGGGGCTGAGCTGACCCCAGGAGAAAGCACCAAGGCGAGACCCGAGGAATGAGGCTTCACGGACCAACTTCTCTGCAGATGGTCAACTCTGGAGAAAAATGCTCAGCATTCGCCACCCTCTGAACCCCAGCTGCGTGCTGCACTGAGCTAAGCCCCAGGAAGCCACTCCTGATGAGTACAGACAGCTCAGCCCCGCACAGAGGCAGGAGACTCACCCATTTCCCAGATAAGAAAATGGAGACTCGGCTCGTGATCGTGCAGCTTTTCTTCTCCCTTGGGGAGAAATCGCCCACGTTCTAACCAATGCCGCTGGTGAATGTGGACGGGGGCTTACTTTGCAACATGTGCTGTGACATAGCTTAGTTCATTTATCCTGGTGGGGGGGTAGTAGGTGCCATCCCCCGTGGGAGGCGGAATAGTGGCTTCTGGATGGTGGCCACGTCCTAACCCTGTGACTTGGTTCTGTTACAGCAAGGGCGAGGAAGGGAGCAGGGGGCATTAAGGTTGTGTTTCAGCTGCCCTGAAACTAGGGAGGGGGTCCTGGATATCCAGGTAAGCCCTGTTGTAATCCCGGGATCCTGAGAAGTCAAAGAGGGGACAGGAGGCTCAGTGTCAGCGCTGAAGAGGACACCTCACCGGCTCTGACAAGAGAAAGGGGCCGCTCCACACGGGAAAACACAAGCAAACAGACTTTCCCTCTGAGCCTCCCAAAGGACCACAGGCTTCTCAACACCCTGACTCTGGCCCAGCGAGACCTGTCTCAGACTTGTGATCTCCAGAACTGCGAGAGAACAAGTGTGTGTTGTTTTTCAGCCACTAACCAGCCGTCTCGGGAAACAAACACCCCATTTTACGGAAGAGGAAACTGAGGCTCAGAGAGGCGGAGCCCGCTTACCTGGGAGGAGTCAGGGCTGGAGGTGGGACTCCCAGCAGCCCCTCTGCTTCCCCACCAGCCCCTTATCCATCCCCAGCTGGCTGGTCTGAAGTGGAGCTAAAACTGAGGATTTGACCGCAGGTCTGCAGATCTTCTGGCCCTTTGCATGGCGTCGCCCTGCCTTGAGGAGTGTTTGCTCCTGAAAGGCAGCTGCGGGAGGTTCGGGGAAGGGGACAGAAGGAGTGGACCGAAGGCAGAGGAGAGGAGGTGATGAATCAGGTGTTCCCTCCTCTGGACGAAGCTGGTTGTCCGACACTGTCCCTCCTCTGGGTATGAATGTGGGGCCTTCCCCAGGGTCTCAGCACCTCCACCTCCAGGTGGGGGGTAGCAGGATGAAGCCCAAACTGGCGGAAGGACAAGGCTGCCAGTCCCTGCCACCCTGTTGAAGGGATGCAAGCAAAAAGGTGCAATGACTTCTGAGTTCAAATTGCTTCTAGGCTTGACCTGTAAGGATGGCGACTGTAAAAATGAACAAAAAAGCTGGTACGTGTTGGGGAGGATACGGAGAAAACTGAATCCTCGTGCCCTGTTGGTGGGAAGGTAGGATGGTGTAGCCCCTATGGAAAACAGTACCACGGCTTCTCTAAGTGATGGAGAGAATTGTCATCTGGTGAACAATTCCACGTCTGGTAAGCTACCCCCAGAGGAGTGAAAGGAGGGACTCAGAGATGTCTTTGCACTCCCATGCTCACAGCCAGCATTATTCCCAAAAAGCCAGAAGGTGGAAGAAACCCAAGTGACTATCGATGGATGAATAGATGGATGGATGGATGAACAGAATGTGGGCACTGTGGTCTGAAGTCTGTGTCTGGCTATGCCCCCCATTCATTAGTTGGAATCCTAAAGCCGGCAGTGATGGCATCGGGAGGTGGAGCCTCTGGGATGTCCTTAGGTCAGGAGGGTGGAATCTTCATGAAGGCGACTAATGATCTTAGAAGAGGCCCCAAGAGAGCTCCCTGCCCTTTCTGAACACGGTGAGATGTTTGCGACCCAGAAGAGGTCTCTCACCTGGCCATGGTGTCACCCTGATCTTGGATTTCTAGCCTCCAGAACTGTAAGCTATGAAATTCTGTTATTTATAAGCCCCCAAATCTGTGGTATTTTGTCATAGAAGCCCGAATGGACTAAGACAGGAGTGCATATGTTCCATGGAATGTTATCCAGCCCAAAAAAGGACAGATGTTCGGACACCTGCGGTAACAGGAAAGAACCTTGTGGAACTTGTGCTGAGCGAAAGAAGCCAGCCACAGAGAGACAAATACTGCGTGATTCCACTCACAGGAAGTACCTAGGGTTGGCAAATGCACTCACGGAGACAAAGTAGCTGGCGGTCGCCAGGGCGGGGGGAAGGGGGCAATGGGAGTGTGTAAGGGATAAGGAGTTCCCGTTTGAGACAAGAATGTTGTGGAGATGGAGGGCCGTGCTGGTTGCTCAACTGTGTAGATGTACGAAATGTCGCTCAACTGTACACTTCGGAATGGCTAAAATGGTGAATTTTGTTATGTATACCTTACCCCAATAAAAAAAATGAAAAATGAGACATCCTAGATTCTTGGCCTGTGTTTCCTGGACATGAAGCTGCTTAGAGCTACACGTGGGTGAGAATATCACAAGATACAGATCATCATTGGGAGTGGCCTTTCCTATTATCTCTGGGGGTGACCACATCTCTGCCAATAAGACTGCTTTCCAAAATCCCTCTTCCGCTCAGTAGCCGGAGGGACTTGGGGATCCCTAGGTATACATTTCGTTTTCAAATCCACATTTCATATGTATATTCGTATTCTTTTGCATGATACATATGTATCATGTAACAGGAGAAGCACAGAAGCTGAGAGACCAGCTCCCAACTGGAGGTGGTCAGGGAGACCTGACTGGAGGAAGCACCATTGGATTTTTTTTTTTTTTTAAGATTTTGTTTATTTATTTGACAGAGCGAGAGATCACAAGTAGGCCAGAGAGGCAGGCAGAGAGGCAGGCAGAGAGAGAGGGGGAAGCAGACTCCCTGCCGAGCAGAGAGCCTGATGCGGGGCTCGATCCCAGGACCCTGAGATCCTGACCTGAACGGAAGGCAGATGTTTAACCAAAGGAGCCACTCAGGCAACCCTCAAGATGTGATTTAAAGAAAAAACACATTTTGAGAGATACGCTAATGCCTGCAGTTCACTCTGAAATGGGTCCAAATACGAAAATGGATTGACAGATTGAGAGAGGGTTGGACAGACAGAAAGATAGTAAGCAAAGACAAGCACAAGAGAATGTCAAGGATAGCTGTGAGTATCAGGTGATTAGGGGTCTGCGGCAGAGAATTCAACTTTTTGGTGTTTGGAGATTTTTCATAGTAAAGTGGCAGGGGGAAGAATGACTCTGGGTTAAAAGGCCAGCTGACTTTTGGAGCTGGGGAATTAGGTGGGGAGGGCACACCAAGGGGCAGAAGTTAGGGTGCCAAGTTTGGCAGCGCCGCACATTCATGATGTAGACAAGCTCTTACACTCAAGGACATGGGGCTCATTCAGGTGGTTGGTCGGGGCGCAGGGGCTCCAGAATCTGCTGACCCCGGGAGGGAGAGACTTCACTGAATAGAGAGGATGGCTGGCCTCCAGCCCAGGCCTGGCCCAGGAGGTGTCAGGTTCTTGATGGGGATCCAAGGGATGATGTTGGTTGGATTAGCCCCAGGGAGAGGAGTGGGGCCGGTCTGGATGGTGTCCTTATGTTTCAGGATACAACCTCTGCAGAGGTTCAGGATTTCTGGAAAAGCAAGAAGCTTAGCAAGATTGGGTCTGGCTCAGCAGAGAGCAGAGAGCGACGGGCGCCCCTTCTTGAAGTCAAGCTGAAAAGACCAAGTCTACCTGTGGCCTTTGGGATACAACCTCCTATCAGAGCTGTGCCTTTCTCGGATGGGGGCTTCTTTAAGATGTCAGCTGAGGCAGGAGGCTGGTGAGCGGCAGTGGTATCACCCAGGGAGGCGGCCTGCCTGTTCCGGACCCGAGAATAAGTCAAGGCCAAAGTGTTTCCTTTAAGAAATACTTTATTCCAGGGGCACCTGGGTGGCTCAGTGGGTTAAAGAAATACTTTATTCCACACATCTCCTGGTGGGTTCCCCCACCCACCCCTCCCAGGTAGTAGCTAGTCATCAACTTCTCTTTCCTTCCAAAGCCGAGAGAGCCTCTTGCACCTGGAAACGTTTCTTCAGGTCCCAAGGCAGCACAGAGGTCTGCTCCCTCTCCCGGTTGGCCTCCGGATGGGACAGCAGCTCATTCATCTTTCCCCCACTCCTCACCGCTGCCAGGACAATCTTCTTTGCCAGGGCTGTCATTGGCCGATGGCCCAACTGTATTTTTTTTTTTAACTCAGGCGTCCTCAAGCATCCTGGCTTGTGGGGGCTTCCCTGAGCATCCTCGCCAGCCTCTGAACGGGTCCGCAGGGAAACCGCCCATCCTGGCAGTAGGGGAGTGGCTGGCTGCTCCCATCCCTGTCACCGGGGGAACCCAGGGACGGGGCCGGGAGGACAGGAGGTCTGACGTGGGGCAGCCTGTGAAGCCCAGAGCTGGTGGGCCTGTCACAGAGATCTCCCTGAGCAAATCGGTGTGGCCCCAGGGGCCACAGCTCCACCCGTTGGGGCCGGATCCCTCTGCCAACATCCAGGCACGAGGTGAGAGAGTGACAGCAGAGGGCCTCTCCGGGAGGGGTAGTGTTGATCATAGCAGTGACACTCATGACCCACCTGTCCACGAGGGTGTGTGCTGGGGGAAGGAAGGGGCCGGTGGGGGGCTAGGAGCCACAGGGAAGCCGGACGATTCTGCCCATTTACTGTCTCTCCCTCAAAAACAAAATCTCTGAGCATGGACCAATGAGACATTCCTGGTGACTCGCTAAGGGTGACTTGGGGAATAATAAATCATTTCCTCTCTTAGAAAATTATTCAAACCCGTTTCCGGGTGACTCGACAGCATCTCAATAAGCATCATTACCAAAATAGGGATTTTTGTTTCTTCTTGTCTCTGCTCTTCTTTCCTTGGCCTAGTTATTCTGCTGAAATACAGAAGATGCTTCCATCAGGAATTGGTCTCAGAGTGAAAAAAATAAAAGATTCCAGGATCTGATACAAGAACTCCTGGATCCCGCATGCCAGGCACCAGGAAGCAGAAGGAAACCGGGGCGTTTGGGTTCAGGCTGATTCGGTGACGCAGCAAAACGTGTTCTCTCAAGAGACACAGACCGACCTTCCCCGAAGCAGAGAGGAAGCCGTTTCTGTTTGGAAGGGGACACTCCTGAGACTTTTATTGAGACAGGAGTGAGTGGAAGGCCAACAGCCCTGCAGAAATGTCCAGGATTTTTTTTTTTTTTTTTTTTTAGCAAACCCCCAAGGTCCTGATGAGGCCTGCGGTAGGCGGGTCAGCATGGTTTCTCTTGCCCATGGTCCCGCAAGAGAGTGCGGTGGGCTGGGTTCAGGTGGAGGTCGGGCTGTCCATGGTGGACAGGAGGTGAATGACTTGTGCCCGCTCGGCTGGGCTGACGTGCTGGCTCATGTACACGATACAGTCCGTGGCCACTTCTGGATTGTCCTGTACCAGGCTGCAGGAGGAGAGCAGAGAAGGGCTGGGGTCATCCCTGCCACTTAGGTCAGTGGGCCCTAGGGCAGTCCCCAGAATCCCTGTGCAGGGCCATGTCATATTCCAGGGTGTGTGACAACTCAGAGCTCCCAAATCTCTTCGTGCTGTGGTCATCATGGGGGTGACGGTCCCATGTAGTGGGAGGGATGAGAACACCTCAGAGGACGGTGGAGTCCATGAGTCACTAGCTGTGAGACTTCCCCGGAACCTCAGTGTTGTTCCCCAAATGGGGTCCCACGGGATCACCTGCCCACCTCACAGGGGACCCTGCTGGAATGGGGTGAGCTAATCCCTGGGGAAGGCTGATACCAAATGGGAGGCAGCAACCTAGCACCCAGCAGTTAAGAATGTGGGTTCTCACAAATGCGCTCTAGTTGGGACACCTGGGGGACCTCAGTTGGCGAAGCGTCTGCCCTCGGCTCCAGCCATGATCCTGGGGTCCTGGGATCAAGTCTCACATCGGGATCCTTCCACAGCAGTGGGTCTGCTTCTCCCTGTGCCCCTCCCCCTGCTCATGCTCTCTCTCAAATAAAAATAGGAAATACAGAGTACTGTGAATTGTGTAAGCCTGATGATTCACAAACCTGCGCCCCTGGGGCAAATAATACATTATATATTAAAAAAAAAAAAAAAAAAGGATACACACACACACATAGCGCAACGGCTGTGACCTTGGACAAGTTACCCTATAGACTCCAGCAAGGAATGCAGCCCTGAGCCCAAGGCCCGGGGACCTGCAGCCATTCTGGAGTTGGGCAGCTGGAAGAAAATTGTGGCTCCCGCACTTGCCGATAAGTCCAAGGGATGGGCGGGGGGGGGGGCGACGTGGCCACTCACCCTCTGATGGCCTTGAGGACGGAGTCGCGCTTTAGGCACTTGATGTTCTCGCGGATGGTGGAGTGCAGGCCATCCCCCGCCTGCCAGTGCTGTTCCAGCCACCGCACCACCATCTGGTTGTTGTCCCACATGTAGGCCTGGGGGAGGGGGAGAGGCTGGCTCAGAGAGAGACCCCACCGCCCAGCAGGCTAGCCTCTGCCCCCCACCCCCATCTCTACCCCAGGCCCCAGGCCCACCTTGACGGCCCCCTCGGTCTCCACGAACCAGCGCCGCAGCATGGACTGGATGTGCACGTGGCTTAGCTCCGGGCTGGCCTGCAGGATCTCCTGCCTGATCTGGTCCTCCAGCAGGAGGCGGCGCAGGCGCCAATACAGAAAGGTGCGTGAGGTCTTCCATTCCAAGATGTCCTGTGGACAAGCCCCAGCCAGGCCTGAGCCCCTCTGGGAGGGGATGCAGGGCGCCATCTGGGGCTAGGGCCTGCACGAGGCACGGGCTCTCTGATCATTCCCATTTTGCAGACCAGGCAACTGAGGCTTTCAGGGGAGGCAGAGGCCCCTGCCCCGGGGAGGTGGCAGAGGCGAGAAGCCACCAGCAGCTGACACTGGTTCAGCAGACACAAGCAGAGCTTAGGCTGGGAGGGAGCACCCCACACAGGGTGGTAGGCTGACTGTAGGATATCCTCTTGGGGGTGGCGCGATGGGGTGGGGCTCAGGATCGGCAGTGCTGGGGAGCGCAGGGCAGGACCAACCGGTCCCAAATGCAGCAGCCTGGCAGCGCAGCACGTGCGCGGACACACACACACACACACACACACACACACACACACACACACACGTCAGGGTAGTTCCCAAACCTCGCTGCCTGTTAGAACTTCCTGGGGATTTGAAAGCACACTGATGCCCAGCTCCCACCCCGCCTCCCCCAGACTCTGATTGAATTGGTCTGGAGAGCAACCAGGGCCCTGGGATTTTTTTTTCTTTTTCTTTTTTTATAGCTCCCCAGGAGATTCTAATGTGTGGCGCTCCCGCCCAGATCGCCTCCTGTTTGGAAACCAGGCCACCTCGGACTGGACCCCTCACACCCTGCCCCACAGCCCTTACAGTGAGGGCACCCTTCTCCAGCATGCAGATGGGCTTGTCGTGGAGGCTGGCGAACTGCACCGCCACCTGGTGATAGATGGGCAGCAGCTGTTGCTCCCGGGCTTTCAGCTGGCCCTCCAGGTCCTTGCGGTCCTTGTCCGAGAGCCCTGGTGTTCCTGTGGGCAAGGGCACAAACCAGGCTTTGTGGCACAGTCCTGCACTGGAATTCCGATCGTACCCCCAAATCGAGCGGCTCTTGCCATCTCAGACAGGCACTCACAATGGCAAGACGGCCTTGAGCACGCAACTGTGATGATGCCCCCTTTTATCAGAAAGAACCATGCGCTTTGCATATTGCAAAAGATAAGAAGGGAAGATTATAAACAACTCTTGCCAATTTCACACCTTAGAAGAAATAGACAATTTCTTTGAGATAAATAAATTAGGGAAGCTCTGCCAAGAGGAAACCAGATAACCTGAATAGTCCTGTGTATAACAAAGAGGCATTTGTAGCTAGAAACCTCCCACCAAAGATTTAAAGAAATAATACGAATTCAAACTCAGGCTATAGGAGAGAACACTTCACAACTCATTCTAAGAGACTGGCATTACCCTAACACCAAACCGAAGAAATAACACACACACACAGGGATAAACCTTCTACAGAGCACAGTTACAAAGATATCACCATCTAGTTATGGACTTTTTTTTTTTTTTAAGAGAGTGAGTGAGTGAATGAGCGGGGGAAGGAAGGGCGGAGGGAGAGGGTCAGAGAGAATCTCAAGCAGGCTCCACAGTCAGAGTGGAGCCCAGAGTGGAGTCTCACAACCTTGGTATCAGAACCTGAGTCAGGGGTGCCTGGGTGGCTCAGTGGGTTGAGCCTCTGCCTTCAGCTCAGGTCATGATCTTGGGGTCCTGGGATCGAGCCCCGCATCAGGCTCTCTGCTCAGGAAGGAACCTGCTTTCCCCCTCTCTCTCTCTTCCTGCCTCTCTGCCTGCTTGTGATCTCTGTCTGTCAAATAAATAAAATATTAAAAAAAAAAAAAAAAGAACCTGAGCCAAAATCAAGAGTCAGACGATGAACTCACTGAGCCATCCAGGTGCCCCCAATATGGACTTTTAAACAGAATTACACCTAAGGTTACAGGAGAAACAAAGCTATCACTCAAACAAAACTGGTAAAATATTTTGTCTGATGGACAATTCTAAAAGGACATCTTGTGAAAATGCTCATCTTCTTCACTGGCCCCAAATACTTCCATTTTTTATATTTTGGGTGTGTTGAGAAATAAATACACTAAGGCATTACACATTTTTTTTTTAACGTTAGAGGGGTTGATTTTGCTACACTGAACACTGAAAACATCTCACCATTTTTGTAGCTGTGTTTCTGCACATTTCACTTTGTTTTCACCGTACTAGAAGGCCCCGGTAGCAGAGCAGGCAGGCCCCTCTTGCCCTCTGAGAGATGAAGCACTTCTAACCCTCTCACCTAGCTGTTCCACGAGCTTCTTGTAAGCTGGGTCGATCCTTCTCATGGTCTTTATCAGATCTTTCTTTCTGTACTTAATCTCCACCGTTCCCTCCGGCTCCAGAATATTCGCCCTGAGAAAAGAAGAGGGAGGGGTGGAAGTGTAGGCGATGTTCCCCAATAAGCAACGGCCAGGAGACATGGGGTAGAGGCAGGAGAGCCAGGAGATCTGGGTGTGACCTCTTAGCTCTTTCACAGACTCACTCTGTGACTTGTGCAAGTCAGAGGGGACTCTCCCGTCATCTACTTCTATAGCCATAAAATGAGGGGCTGAGCCTACGTTTTAAAATCAAGTTTTCTGAGCTCCAGAAGGCCCTTTCAGCTCTGTGAGCATATGACTTTCTCCAGAACAGCCTAGCTCTCCTGCTCTTCAGCCTCTCCTAATGTCTGTTCTCTTCAGGCCACAGTACTATTTCTGATCTCCTTAGAGTTCACGGAGTCACAATGCATGGTCCAGTGGGAGCTGGCCTCCCATTTCAAGCCTCTTACTCACACTTCAGACTGCCCCCTCCCCCATCCTTTGATAGCTTGGAAGCCCTGAGGAATACTCCATGGACCTCAGAGCTTCCTGGTGGCCACAGTGAGAAGTTCATTATCACTCCACTGGAGGCTGCTTGTGTCCTGAGCCCTCCTGGAGGCCTGAGCCTCAACAGTGCTCCATGAGGGTCTGGGAGCACTGATGGCAGGACAGGTTTGGCTCATTTGCATATCACGATGTCTGCCATAATGCCTGGCACATAGCAGGTACTCAATAAGTCTTCACAATAAACACTTCACCAACTGACCCACCCAGGCGCCCCTCTACTGAGAAAATCTACTTGTGCACTGGATGCTAGTTTCAGTTTGCTAAAGCTGGATGCTCTCCAACCTTCAGAAAGTCAGAATGCCAGGCACCTGGGTGGCTCAGCTGGTTAAGCGTCTGCCTTCGGCTCAGGTCATGATCCCAGGGTCCTGGGATGGAGCCCCACAACAGGCTCCCTGCTCAGCGGGGAGTCTGCGCTCCCTCTCCTTTTGCCGCTCCCCCTTACTCATGCTCTCTCTCTCTCTCAAATAAATAAATAAATAAACCTTTAAAAAAACAAAAAAGAATCTCAATGCCCTGGTAATCCCTGGCCAGCGGCTCAAAGGTGACAACAGCGTTTGAGGACTGGGGCTGAGAATAAGCAAAGGCTCAGCCAGATTGAGGGAGACACACCCACCTGCTCTCCTTGTCTGCGTACAATTCTATGCACAGGGGATTGATGGAGGAGTCCAAGACCACCCAGGAGCCTCCCCGGAGCTCTGCGTTGGGTGGGATATAGGACAGGATGGGCTGTTTATACTGCCTGAGGCTGTCCACGATGTAGGCTCCGAACTTCAGCATCTGGTCGTACATGTCTGCCAAGCAAAGCAGTCACCTGGCGAGGAGGCCTCCAGCCCCAGCACCTGTCCACATGCCAAGCCCACAGCCCTCATCATCCTGGGGATCTCAAGAAAGTGTGTCAGCCAAGATGCTTGGTGGCACCACGGAAAGAGCTCTGGGCTGGGAGTCAGGATTGGGCATAAGTACAGAGGGCACCCTGACCATACATGTGACCTTGGACATGTCACTCTCACTGCCTGGGCCTCAGTGTCCCCATCTATAAAAAGGAGGCAGAGGGCCATCCCAAAGATTCCTTCCAGCTCTGACTCTGGGATGCCCTCATCAATGCCTGGCCCCCTGCCCAGCAATAACACAGGTCCTTGCCTCCTGCCCACACACAGCGTGGCCCTTATTTTCCACCAAGTACCAGGCACCTTACGTGGTTACAGTGCAACAGTACAATCAGTCATCATCACACCGAGAGCTGACACCATATGCCAGTGATCAGCTCATCAAATAGCCCCCTTGGGCCTCTTGGGTTGGTCTTAGCCTCTTCACAGGAGGAAAGTTGCCAGGGCTGCCCTCCTGGCCCTGCCCCTCACAGTGTGACCTCTGGAATTTCACATGGGGAACCCTCATGTCCTCATCTGTAAAATGGGAAGATGTGACCTGAACTGGTCCCGTCCTCAGGACTGTGGGGACCTCAGCTAAGAGGATGACGAAGCCATACAGAGGAGAACCATAGCACTACATTGAGGGGGCCTCCCTCTTCTGGGTGCTGACCCCACTGCTTTGGGGCACCCAGAGGAGAGACAGCCATACCTTTCATGCCACCGGAGAACCCCCTCCAGTTGGCAAAGATTATCAGGGGCAACTTCTCTCGGTTAAAATCCTTGATGGCCTGGGCTGTCTTGTATGCCGAGTCTGGGAGCCACACCTGGCCCACCTGCTGGATTATCTGAAACATGGAGTGGCCTGATCAGACTCCTCTCTGTGAGAGTGGCAAGGGGACACGGAGACAGCCATCTGAGCCCCACCCTAGAGGGCAGGCAATCTGGTCTGCGTTGGCACCCGCCTCAGAACCAGGGCTCACAGGGAGGGCCCAAAGCTAGTCTGTGAGGGGCTCTGTTTGCCTCCATGAGCTACAGGTTCCTTTTGGCTCATTTCAGGCTCAAAGGGCAGCTAGTCCCGACTACACTGAGTCCTAGGACCCGCCCCTTGCCTTCTGAGCTCCTCCCAGCATGTGCCACGGCCCACCCTAGAAACAGTGACGATGATGGAGGCAGAAGGCAGGGAGGATTCCCAGGGACTTGTCACCCTCTAAAGAAGAAGAAATGCTGTGTGGGGCATTTATGCATCCCTCAGAAACCATGCGGGAGAAATGGGACCCCAGGGCCAAGGACTCACCCCAGGCTCCGGCATGTGACCACCCAGGACCCGCTCTTTGTTGGCTAAGCCAGCTGGAACAGCAGTCCCAAGTTCCCAGACCCCTCACCTTGGCCTCCGAATCCAGGTTGGCAGGGTCCGCAGGTATCACCACCTCCACGGTCCGCGTCTCCACGGCGATCACTCCAACAGGGATACCCCCCAGCCTGTGAGGCCCGGCATGGGTCAGCCAGGCTGGGTCAGCCAGGCTGGGTCAGCCAGGCCACACCCCCCGTGGACTCAGGGTACATGGGTCCTCTCGGCCTTGGGGGACATCCTATGGGCATCCTGGGTACGTGGTGCTCATGGTGGGGAGGGGGGCAGGCAGAAGACAGCATTGTTTTCTCTTGAGTGGGGCATTCTCTTGGAAGCACTTCTTTGGAAGTTTCCAAAGCAGTTAGAGCCTCCTCACAAGCTGGTGGGCTGGAAAGGGGCTGTTGGCGCCCCTCTTGGGGGCACCAGTCGTGGTGGTGACAGGGACGGCCAGGCTACTGCAGGGACAGGAGCAGCGCTGTCCACTAGAGCTTTCTGCGATGCTGGCGCATTCTTGGTCTTGTGCCATCCAGGACAGCAGCTGAGATGAGCTACTTCCTGAGCACTTGAGGCATGGCGAGTGCAACAGAGGAAGGGGGTCTCTTTCAACTCATCTAGGTTTACATGGTCACACGCGGCCAGCAGCTACCACACGAGATAGGGTGGGTCTAGGCACAGAGGCCCATTTGGAAAGGGTTGAGGGATGCCAAGCCTGCAAGAGCTTCTGCTCAGGGGGGATTCTGTGACATCAGTAACCGTCACTGCAAGCTCCCGGCCGGCCCTGTGCCAGGCGCAACCCTGGGTTACTCTTGTTTATGCTCTCAAGGACCGTAGGGATGGGAAGTCTTTCAAAAAAGGAAGGGTCTCCAGGTGGAAGGGGGAACAGATCTCATTTCTGGTTTTAAAAAAATGTTTTTAAAATAAAACACTTATGGAAAAGTGACCAGCTGTAATGCTTGGCTTCATGGTTAGTATTTTAATACATATTTATTGCCTGGAGAGAAAGAACAGCAACAACAAAGACAGTACTGGAGGCCCCTATCACTTACGGAGCATTTGTGATTGATTTTTTTTTATTAAGTAGGTTCCACGCCTGGCATGGAGCCCAATGTGGGCCTTGAACTTGCGACCCTGAGACGGAGACCCGAGCGGAGATTAAGAGCTGGCTGCTTCACTGACTGAGCTTCCCAGGCACCCGCATTTATGATGTTGTAAGTGCTTAACATTCATCGTCAAAACAGTCCTCCCTCGTGGTTTAGTAGGATTATCAACCCCACCCTGCAGAGGAGGACGTGGAGGCCCAGAGAGGGTGAGTGACACAGCCGGGCTTGACCTCAGGTCAGACTCCGGAGTCGGAACCCGTAGCAACGACATCATGCCAGGAATCTGAACGGTAAGTTATAAGGACACTGCTTTGGGCTCCACGTAGGAAGGATCTTGCAGGGAGCGGGATATATCTGAAAAGAGGAGGACTACACCGCTGAGGAGTGAGCTGATCAGCTCTGGGAGCATTCAAGCATTTAAGCCATCCACCAGCTGTGTGTAGACAAAGGGGTTTCTGACCATGGCCCTCCTGAAAGGGAATTCCTAGTTTGGAGTGTATGCGCAGTTTTCTTGCAGGAGCACCCAGAGCTGTCTTCTAATTCCCCGAGGGGCCCATGGCCCCTGTGGCTATGGAGCCCTGCCCCAGGGGCAGACACTAGGGGCCAGGGTACTGGCCCCCAGCAACAAGCTAGCTGAGACGTCTGCTAAGGCCCCAGAAAAATCCAGCTTTATGAAGAAGTTCATCATCCAGAAAACAATCCCCCAGGTTGGTTTTTCTTTCAGAAAATCCTGAGGCCAAAGCAAAATGCTCTCGGGGGTCACCTGAGAGGAAAGGACCCCTGGTCTAGTGCCTGGGGGTCCCGATGCCTGGGGAGGCTAGCTGAGTGCAGCCTGCCCCGTCTTCAAGGTTACCTTGCTCGTCCTGTTACCACGGTCTGGGCCCAAGGTGCCATGATTTCCTTGAAACTGCCATGGTCGAAGAATCCACTCTGCCAGGATCCCTTCAGAGCTGCAGACAGGAGGAAAGAAGCCCAGGCCAAGGGGTGGGGTTGATGAGGGTCCTTAGGGTCTGCCTGGTGGGCCAGATAACCTGGCCTTGACGGCCCAAACACCTGCTTCTCCAGAAAACCATACAGATCCCAACCCCGTTAAAAAACAAAACAAAACAACAACCAAAAAATCCCCCAAAAAACAGAGCTGCAGAAAACACTCCAAGTCGGGAATTCAGCAGCTCCTGTCAACGCCAAACACACGGAGATCCTGATCCTAAGGATCAGCCCAAGATGGAAATAGAGTTGATGGGACACCTTCAAAAGGTGGGATTTGGGAAAGGGACCATGTGCCCTGAAAACTCATATTTGACACGCTGGCTGTAGCCTCACAACATTTAATGTGGAGGCGGGGCGCATCATCAACTTCTAAAAGAAAGAGATAATGAGACAAAGAGAGAGATGGAGAGAGACAGAGAAGAGAAGAGGAGGGGAGGAGGGAGGATACAATGACGTCCGCTGCCGCCATCCCTGGACAGGGAGCAGCGCCGTGTCCATCATGGGGTTCGGAGCCAGGTAACAGGAGGGCCACAAGCTGCCAGGGAGGAAAGCTGAGGGCCCGAACCCCAAGCAGCCTGGCCCCAGAGTCTGCTTGGGGGCTGGCCTGACCAGATGGAGAAAACGGTCAGAAACAAGTTGGATATTTTATAATCAAGTTCAAGCCACACCCCTCGGTGCTCAAGAAAACCCAAGAGAAACCCGAGAGGGGCACACAAGCAGAGGGGCGCCCTGTGCCTCTGTGCCCCATGCTGCTCCTCTGCGGGGGGCGCCCTCCTGCGCCACACAGCTGGACAGCCACGTTCTAAAGGTGGCGGCATCTGACATTCTAGACCGGGGATTGGGGGTGGGGGTAGCTCAGCTTTCCTGCTCTGTTTGGCTGCTCAGAATGTAACCACACACCTCCCAGAGACAAACCGGCCCCTTGCAGAGGGAGGGAGGGACGGAGAGGATGTGTGTGTGCGCACATCTCTACGTGTATGAGTGTGCAGAAGAGGCTGGGTCGTCTGTCCTGGGTGAACCCCTGGAGGGCTACATTTGTAAGGTGGAGCCAAACAGAGAGACGTTAAGAAAGAGGGAGGGGGGGGTAGTCATCTCTGGGAGACTCTGATGTCTGCATTTTCCACCTCTGTAACCACGGGGCAGTTTCGGGAGGGAGACCATGACCTGTGTCACGCTTCCCCTCCATGGACCAGCCCCAGAAACCAGAGGCTGCTTCCACTCCTTCTTGGTTAACAGCTCAGCAGAAGCATAGAGGAGAAAATCCCCATCCTTCCACGCCCTCTACATTTGATCTCGGGTGTACCCCTCTGGGACACGTGGCTAAGGATCCATGCTTCTGAGCGTTCCTTTGTCCCACGTGCAGAAAAGAAACCCAAGAGCTTTAGAACTTACTCGGGTGAGGCTTTCCTGCAAGCAGCCACCGGGGGTCATATGGAGCTTTGGTCGGGTAGTATCCAACTTCTCTGTCAATGGGGTCCGTGGGTGTGATGATGGGGACTGGGCTGTGATTATTCTAGAAAAGGAAACCAACTCAGTCTCCTTGTACTCGCCAGTAATACCTGCGATCTGCTTCTCCCCTCTGACCATGATCACGTCTGATTACGCAGGACAGCCCAGTCCGGACCAGCCAGTCATCACCAGTTTGAGTAGCATTTGGTGCCAGGCTCTCCACATCCCTGCTCTGAATCATCAGGTTAATCCCCCAGGGTAGGTACTCCTGTGATTCCCATTTCACAGATGAGGAAACAGAGGCTCGGAAAGATTAAGAGACTGGCCCAAGGTCTCGCTGCTAGGGAGGAGGAAGCCAGGAATCAAATCCAGCCTGGCTGCAAAGCTCCAGGATTCTTTATTGGTCAGAGTTACCCCTTTCCAAAGCCACCCTTACAAAGGTATTAAAAAAAAAAAAAAAAAAAAAAAAAGGAGGGGCGCCTGGGTGGCTCAGAGGGTTAAGTCTCTGCCTTCAGCTCAGGTCATGGTCCCAGGGTCCTGGGATCGAGCACGACATCAGGCTCTGTGCTCAACAGGAGCCTGCTCCTTCCTCTCCCTCTGCCTGCCATTTCCTCTCTTTGTGCTCTCTCTCTGTGTCAAATAAATAAATAAAATCTTTAAAAAAGAAAAAAAAAGAGCAAAGAACAGTGAGTACAGAGCTGGGTGTCAGAGAGGGAAGGAGGGAGGAGTAACGAAAAATGAACCCCAGCCACATGGCAGAGCTCCTTGTTCCCCAAACTCCCACGCTACCCAGCTGGGGGAGCTGATTCCAGAGTCTCCAGACACGATGCTGCAGAGGGTGTACTGCACCTTTGGCATATAGGACAGCCACTCCAGGATGGTGTACACGCCCTCGAAGTCGTCTGGCACAGTGGTGTGGGAGATGCCGTTGTAATGCATGATCTGCACGCCACCCAGCTGGTTGTTGGAGGTGTAGACCTCTCGGCCCAGGACCTGCTTTGACAGGGCGCATTTAGCAAGCCCGGCCCCTACCCCACCCCGTCGGGGCTCAGGACTCGTCCATCTGTTTGGAAATCAACTCCCTCCAGGATCCTCAACCTGCACATGGCAGTGACCTGGGAGCTCTCAAAAATCCTGCCACCTGGGCTGCACCCAGAACCACTGCAGCAGAATCTTCGGGGTTGGGAGGCAGCATCAGTATTTTCCTTCAGCTTCTACGTAATTCCAACATGCAACCCAATTTGAGAACAAGTGAGCCCACCGATGACTTGGGTCTTCTCACAAAACGAAACCCTACCCTGAGTTTCTGATTCAGCATGTCGGCACCGAGGCTCGAGAATCTGCTTTCCTAACGGGCTCCCGGGGGAAGCTGCTGCTGCAGCGGGTCTGGGGACCAGACTTTGAGAACTTCAGTGGGATTCTATCAGACATTACCTTACGAAGGCTTTACAGCCACTTGGGGGTATGTTTTAATACAGTGAGAACAGCAGAATACCAAACTCCACATTCACCAGGAGTCAGGCAGACAGAAGACAAGAAGGAAATACACTAAAATTTTAATAGGAGCAAATTTACTTTTGGGGGGTGGAGTGTCTCTTTCCAGTTTTCTGTAATATGTAATGCCACGTTAATAATTTTTAAATATTTAAATGGCAGTACACAAGAGAGTTCTACCACAAGAGCCTAGTATTTCTTTTTTTAAATTTTTTTTTGGCTCACGGCGCCCTGGTGGCTCAGTGGGTTAAGAGTTTGTCTTTGGCTCAGATCATGATCTCAAGGCTCCCTCTCTCTCAAACAAATAAAATCTTTAAAAACAAAATAAAGTAAAACAAGTTTTTTTTTGACTCAGGAGAGACCAAGACAAGTGCAAACTGGAAAAAGAGCTGTACATCAGTAGGAAGGACACTGGTTTCATGCTGAGAAAAGGCCTCCATCAGGAGACAGTGGAAAGGTTACAGTGAGTCCCCATCCCCCACAGCCACCACCCCCTGTTCCTGCCCCACCCACTCACCTTGTTTAGCGCGCTGGCTCCCGTCAGGATGATGTGAGAGTTTTCCACCTGGATGACTCGCTGGCCCAGCCTCACCAAGTAGGCTCCGATCCCCACAGCTCGGCAGGTCACCTGTGGAGACGGAGATGGGGCCCCGCTGAATTCCCGAGGCAGGCATGCCCCACTCCCCACAGCGGGGGTAGGAGGAGGACAGGCCAGGAACCCACCGGGCACACATGGAAGCTACAGCCTGGCCACCGGTGACCTGACTGGTGACCAAACAGCATGGGCACAAGCCAGTTCTTCAGGCTCACCTGACCCTGGCTTCCGGAAAGAATGTGGTTAACAAAGAAGAGTGTGGTGAGGCCAGATAGCAGACATGGAATGTTCTGGTTCTTGCTTCATCCAAGGCCTAGCTCTTATACGTACCTCTTCTGAGCCAATGTAGCCTCTCGTACAACCAAAGGATGCCTAGGAGCCAGGGCAAAACTGGTGAAATCGGAGTGAGGTCTATACCAAGGTAAGGGTGCTGAGCCAATGTCAATGTCTTGGTCTTGGTAATGTACTGTGGTTACGTAGGATACTGTTACAGGGGACACTAAATGAGGGGGACAGGGGACCTCTCTGTACTGCCTTGTAACTTCTAGTGAGTTGCAAACTATTTCAAAATTTTATATTTATATATCATTACATAAAATATATACTTATGATACATATATGATATATATAATTATATATATTATATAGGATACATATAATATATATTATATACTGTGATACATATATATTATATATAATAGTAAACTATTTCAAAATTATATATAAATATATATAATTATATATGATACAGATAAAACATCTATTTTAGAATATAGAAAAATATACATATCTTTATAGATTTTGGAATATATAATATGTAAGTTATTTATATATATATATCCAAAGGTATATATTTTTTATTTTGAAATACATATAATGGTATCTAGAAAACAAGCCTAAGGAAGACGCCCATGGCCAGCATTTTCCACCTTGGAAACTGAAGATCCAACACGGAATGTAAAGATAAGGTCTTGAATGACAGTGTACCATGAAAGAGTAGTACTATTACTAGGAAGAGCAAATATTCCTGGAAAGGCTAAGGGAGGGAAAGGGGAGATATTCATTTTGTGCCAATCAAAATCAGATAAAAATTCTCCTAAATACTCAGTACCTTTTTTAAAAATTTAAATTCTAGTTAGTTAACCTACAGTGAAATACTGGTTTCAGGAGTAGAATTCAGGGATTCGTCACTTACCGACAACACCCACCGCTCATCACAAGTGCCCTCCTTAATGCCCATCCCCCAGCCTGCCCATCCCCCACCCACCTGCTTCCATCAACCCTCAGTTTGTTCTCTATCATTAAGAGTCTCTTATGGTTTGTTTCCCTCTCCCCCCCTTTTCTCCCTTTCCATATGTTCATCCATTTTCTTTCTTAAATTACACATGATTGAGATCATATGGTAATTGTCTTTCTCTGACTTATTTCACTTAGCATAATACACTCTAGCTCCACCCATACATTTGCAAATGGCAAGATTTCCTTCTTTTGGACAGCTGAGCAATAATCCATTGTATAAATATACCACCTCTTCTTTATCCACTCATCAGTCAATGGACACTGGGGCTCTTTCCACAGTTTGGCTATTGTGGACATTCCTGCTGTAAACATTGGGATGCATGTGTCCCTTCAAATCTGTATTTTTGTCTCCTTTGAGTAAATACCTAGTAGTGTGATTGCTGGGTCATAGGGTAGCTCTATTTTTAACTTTTTGAGAAACCTCCAAACTGTTCTCCAGAGTGGCTGCTCCAGCTTGCATTCCCACCAACAGCATAAGAGGGTTCCCCTTTCTCCACATCCTCACCAACACCTGCTGTTTCTTGTGTTGTTAATTTTTAGCCATTCTGACAGGTGTGAGGTGGTATTTCATCGTGCTTTTGTTTTTTTTTTGTTGTTGTTGTTGTTGTTGTTTTTTAAGATTTTATTTATTTATTTGACAGAGAGAGATCACAAGTAGGCAGAGAGGCAGGCAGAGAGAGAGAGAGAGAGGAGGAAGCAGGCTCCCGGCTGAGCAGAGAGCCTGATGTGGGGCTCGATCCCCGGACCCTGGGATCATGACCTGAGCTGAAGGCAGAGGCTTTAACCCCCTGAGCCACCCAGGCGCCCCTCATCGTGCTTTTGATTTGCGTTTCCCTGACGGTGAGCGATGTTGAGCATCTTTTCACGTGTCTGTTGGCCATCTGGATGTCTTCTTTGGAAAAGTGTCTATTCATGTCTCTTGCCCATTTCTTAACTGGATTATTTGTTTTTTGGGTGTTGAATTTGATAAGATTGGACCATGATTCAAACACATCAACTATAAAAAGATACATTTTCTGATAATTGTTAAAACTGACTGTGAACCAGGTTTCAAGGATATTAAAGACTTGCCATGGATGTTGATGGGTGTAAAAATAGCACTGTGATTCTGTAAAAAAGCGGTGTATCTGGGGGTCTTTATCTAGCAAAGATCCACCCTGGGCCATCCAGAGGTGGTAAGACAAGACAGGGGGCTTGCTTTAAAATACCCACAAACATGGGATGCCTAGGTGGTGTAGTCGTGAGGCATCTGCCTTCGGCTCAGGTCATGATCCCAGGATCCTGGGATCAAGCCCCTCATTAGGCTCCCTGCTCAGCGGGAAGCTTCCTTCTCCTTCTCCCACTCCCCCTGCTTGTATTCCCTCTCTCGCCATGTCTCTGTCAAATAAATAATTAAAATCTTTAAAAAAAATAAAATAAAATATGCACAAACAGGGGCGCCTGGGTAGTGCTGTCAGTTAGGCATCCAACTCTCGGTTTCTACTCGGGTCATGATCTCAGGGTCATGAGATCGAGCCCTATGTCAGGGTTGCATTCAGCACAGAGTCAGTTTGAGTTTCTCTCTCCTTCTCCCTCTGCCCCTACCCCCCTGCTCTCTCTCTCTCTCTCCCCTTCTCTAAAATAAATAAATGAATCTTAAATATATATATACATATATATATGTATATATGTATATATATATATGGCTACATGTTGCTAATCACGGGAGCTGTGTGATGAGCACACAAGGCTCTTTTCTTCTGAGACTGCTTTAAAGATTCCATGAGACAAAGTGGAAAAGGAAAAGGAAATAAAATAGGAGACTCACCAAGCTGATGGTGACAATCTCTTCATAAGCCAGGGAAGACTCCCCCGCAATCATGCCAGAACCCCGGAGATTCTCTATGCCCACACCACTGTCCTTCCCAATAATATCCGTGATGACATACCTTCATGAACAAAACATGGGTTCAAGATTGAGCTCTAGCCCAGGAAAGTTCAAGGCTGACATATTTCCCCAGAACCCAGGGCAGGGTTGATGAGCAAGGTGAGGGAATAGAAGGTGGTAAAGCAGCCAGAGGTGAAATGAAAGCAGGGGTCTAAGACCCTCATAATTGGCCCAGAAGTTTCTAGAAGGGCAAGTGCAGCATCTATAATTATCACCCTTCCCACCAAAGATGTCTGCCTATTTGGAGGCTGTCCTAATGAAAGGTCACCCCCACCCTACATACCTCCACAAACAATCTAGAATAAAGTTTGGTCTACAGAGTGACGAGGAAAGGTGCTTATTTCACAATCAGTCAGTCAAGATTCTATGGCCTAGAAGTGAAACACTGTACGGCCTAACCCCTGTTACAGATTCACAAGACACTGCTGCAGTCAAAGCTTCTGACAAGGTCTGCAGTAAAGATGCTTGTTAGATCCCATTTAAACCCAGGGTTTCTCAATGTACTTGGTTCTTCACCATCCCCCACAATGTATCACCAACTAACATTCCAGAAAACCTAGCCTGGGAAATTATGACTTTGTCAACTTCATTGGGAAGAAAAAAAAACAAAAACAAAACCCCACAACATTCCCTAGAAAAGACAGCTGGCAACCTTGGACCTCCTCACAGAGCAGACCCCTTCCCTGCCTACACCTTCCCAGCTTTCCAAATCGCTGCTGCATCAGCTAGGCTAATTTGGTCATAGATGTAACCTTGCAGCTCTAGGGACATCACGGGAATCCAAGCTAATTCTTTCCCAGGTGAGGTACTGTATTTGTGAAAGCCATGACTCACTCTGGATGGCAAGGATGGGCTCACCCTGAAGAAAGCCCCACATGTCTTAGTCCCCAGTGTCCGGAAGGCCCGGGGATCCCACTGTACAAACACCATCATCCCGTTTGAAAACATCACCCACAAGCCCGGAGGCAAAGAGAGGGACTACCCGTCAGTAGCTGAAATCAACCACAGGCAAAAGGAAGGAGCTACCTGATAACTTACTGACCTGGATTCTCCATCTTCCTCGATGTGTTTACAGTGGACAGAATTCAGGGAGCTGATTGTGGTGTAGTCTTGGGGGGTCAGGTACAAGTACTTAAATCCCTTAAAGAAATATACACCAGTGAGGCTGTGAATCCAGTTCCCTGCACTAGACAGCCACTGTTTGTTTTTTTTAAATGTTAATATTGTAGGGGCAGATGTTAATAACGAGTTAACCATGTGTTAACAGCACCACTGGCATGTCTGACGTTAATTCCATATCAATAACAGCTACAGACTGAAGGTATGATCAGTGCCAAGCACTTTCCACTCATCCTTACACACGACCTCCCATTTCTCCTGCTCTGAATCAGCTCCTTTTCCTCCAAATCACCTCTTCATCCCTGCTCCCTCAAGGGGTCTGTTCTGACTTTTTCCCCCTTATTGCCAGCTCCCTCCATGAAATTTTGTCATATAGTTTATGTACCACGTGTATATGCATTGTGTATACATATGCATGTACATGTGTGTGTACATATGTATATATGCTTTTTACATGAAAAGATTAATTTTGGGGGGCGCCTGGGTGGCTCAGTGGGTTAAGCCTCTGCCTTTGGCTCAGGTCGTGATCCCGGGGTCCTGGGATTGAGCCCCATATCGGGCTCTCTGCTCAGCAGGGAGCCTGCTTCCCCCCCCCCTGCCTGGCTCTCTGCCTACTTGTGATCTCTCTCTCTCTCTCTCTCTCTCTGTCAAATAAATAAATAAATAAATCTTAAAAAAAAAAAAAGAATAATTTTTGCCCCCCTTTGGCAGAGGCAATGCCACTGCCTGGAGGACGCCTGCTCTGGCTGCAGAAAAGACCTGTCCCCTGCATTTCCACATCACAAAATGTGATCTTTTCACTCATTCGTCGTGTGTTTTATTGTGGTTAGTGTCTCTCCATTTCCCGGATGATTTCTGAGAATCTCCTGCGGCCAGAAACCAAGCCTTACTCACCTTTGCCTCCTTACTGTACGCCACATTCAGGGGATGCTCAGGCTACATTAGCTCTGTGTTTATAAACTTCTCGTTGTTATTATTCCCCTCAGGCGCCTTTCCAGAGACTTTTTTCCTGATCGCTACTCCCGTCTGAGAAATTTTAAGATCGATCTACCATACGTCTTTTCTGTGCTGTAAATGTGTATCTGTGCTTTATGTGCAAAGTGCACCAAGATTCTTCCCGCCCCGCTCCCCCACCCCTGTGGGCACTATCACCCCCACTGTGGGGCATCACATCACCATGCTGGTTTGGGGACATACTTTGTTGGGGTCTCCTGGGTCCACCCAAGCCACCTGGAATATGTGCTTGATCTCCTCTGCAAGGCCAATACCAGCCCCACTGTTGGCTGCGAGGTAGATTTTGGGGATGCCCTCTGCCCGGGCCATCTCTGATGCCCGCAGGTACAGGAGGTCTTCTCCCATGCCAAAGGACCCAATTCGGAACGTGATGTCATTGCTGATGACGATCACGTCCCGCCCTTCCGGATACTCTGGAGTCTTGAACCTCATTTTGAAGGCCACCATGCCCACCTGCCAAGGAGATGAATGCACAAGGAAACATGGCTTGTTTCTTTGGGAGTGGGGGGCAGGGTGTTTTTTGAAAGGGTGAGTCCAGCCAGGGGCACACTCCACGGAGTTCCTACCTCATTTCCCCCAGGAAGGCGGTTCATCTCCACTAGCTGGCCCTGGGGGTCCAGCACGAGTTCAGTGTATGTCAGGATGTCCTTGGGGTACTTGTCTGGGGTGCCCCACAGTTTAAAGAGAGCCTGGGGATAGGGAAAGAAAGAGAAAACCCAAAGTCCTCATTAGGGAGGCACATTTTCTAGTTCTTCCTCTCTTTAAATTATGAACTATGGACGGAGGCTCCTGGGAGTGGCTGTCGATTAAGCCTCTGCCTTGGGCTCAGGTCATGATCTCAGGGTCCTGGGATCCAGCCCCGCATCGAGCTCCCTGCTCAGTGGGGAGTCTGCTTCTCCCTCTGCCTGCTGCTCCCTCTGCTTATGCTCTCTCTCTCTCGCTCAATCTCTATCAAATAAATCTTAAAAAAAAATTATGAACTATTGAAAGCACACAGAAAAACATGCAGAATAAGCAACACCCACGCCCCTATCTGGTGGTTTTCTCAAATCATAATTTCTTCGTGGCCGCTTATGAATTTTTTTTAAAGGAATAAGAGAAATGCAGTTGAAGTCCCTGGTGTACCCCCTCCCCAAGCCCAGATAATCATTGTCTTGAATTTAGTGTCCACTGGTCCTGTGTGTGTTTTTATGCCTTTTGTTATAGAGGCATAAATTTTAAACACACAGGGGCACCTGGCTGGCTCAGCTGGAAGGTATGCAACTCTTGATCTTAGGGTTGTGCATTTGAGCCCCACGTGGGATGTAGAGACATGACTTCGACTTAATTTTTTTTACAAGATTTTGTTTATTTATTTGACAGAGAGAGAGATCACAAGTAGGCAGAGAGGCAGGCAGCGAGAGAGGAGGAAGCAGGCTCCCCGCTGAGCAGAGAGCCCGATGCGGAACTCAATCCTAGGACCCTGAGATCATGACCTGAGCCGAAGGCAGAGGCTTAACCCACTGAGCCACCCAGGCACCCCTTAATTTTTTAAAAAATATTTTATTTATTTATTTGACAGAGAGAGCGATCACAAGTAGGCATAGAGGCAGGCAGAGAGAGGGAGAAGCAGGCTCCCTGCGGAGCAGAGAGCCTGATGCAGGGCTTGATCCTAGGACCCTGAGATCATGACCTGAGCCCAAGGCAGAGGTCCAACCCACTGAGCCACACAGGCACCCCTTAAACTTAATTTTTTTTTAAGATTTTATTTTTAAGCAATCTCTACACCCCATGTGGGTACCCACATACCCCAAGACCAAGAGTCGAATGTTCTTCCAACTGAGCAAGCCAGGCGCCCCCCGACAGGGCTTACACTTTAAATAAACTGTCTTGTGATGGACACACCCTTCCGTACCTTACCCTTTTGGCTCCCCCATGTGTTTGAGAGATTTATCCACACTGAGAAATTTAACTCTATTCATTTTCTCTGCTATTCAGTTTCCATGGCGTGAGTAGATCACAACTTACCTATTCATAAATCTTTTTAAGGAACGTTTAGGCTGCTTCCAATCCTACAGTATTAACAATAGGGCTGTAATAAGCATTCTTTTTTTTTTTTTAAGATTTTATTTTAGAGAGAGAGAGAGAGCTAGCACGAGTGGAGGGAGGGGGAGAGGGACAACCAGATTCCCCGCTTAGTGTGGAGCCTGACGTGGGGCTCAATCCAGGACCCTGAGATCATGACCTGAGCTGCAGTCAGACATTTGATGGACCCCCCCCCCAGGCACCCCTGTAAGGAGATCCTGGTGGTCTCTTCTTATAAACATGGATGAGAGTCTCATCAGGGGAGTACCTAGGAGTGGGACTGCTGGGTCACAGGGTTTGTGAAGCTTCAAGTTCACTCAATATTATCAAACTGCTCTCTCAGTTTTTCAAAATGCTTTACAGTCCCAGGAAGCAAGGATAAGAACTCCTTTTCTCCATATGCTTGCCAATACTTAGTTTTGTCAAATATTTTCACATTTATCCGTCTGCTGGGTATGGGTATTGGGGAACTAAGCCGTACTTCATTGATTATTAGGAAGGTGAGAGCCTTTGAATATGTGTACTGACCATGTGAGTTTCCTTTTTGCCAATTTCCTCCCGTTTATAACTCCTGCTCATATTTTCTGTAGCTTTGTTTTTCTCTAATTGACTAGTGCTCTTTAGACAATCTAGTTGTAATCCGTTGCTAGTGATAGGCATTGGGACATATTCTCCCCGTCTGGGGCTCATCTTTCGTTTTTTGCATAAAGAACTTCAAAATTTTAATATAGTCAAGTTTATGGGTCTTTTCCAGTACAGTGGAAGCTTTTAACTGACTCTAAGTGACTTTAAGCCTCTTGAAACTTACTTCTGTATACTAGATAAGGTAGAAATCAAGATTTGCTTTTTCCAATTAGGTGAGCCCTCCCTTACCTATGGGGGAAATGCTCCAGGACACCCAGTGGAGGCCTGAAACTTCCAACAGGATTGAACTCTCTACGTACTATGGTTTGTTCTATATGTATGTACCCAGGATAAAGCTTAATTTATAAATTAGGCATAGTAAAATAATACTAATAAAAGAACAATTATAACAATAAACAATAATAAAAGTTATGTGAACATGGTCTCTCTCTCCCTCAAAATGTCTTACTGCATTAAACCCACCCTTCATCTTGTGATGATGGGAGATGATCAAATGCCTACGCGATAATGGGGCGCCTGGGTAGCTCAGTGGGTTAAAGCCTCTGCCTTTGGCTCGGGTCATGATCCCAGGGTTCCGGGATCGAGCTCTGAGTCGCGATTTTTGCTCAGCAGGGAGTCGGGCTCTCTGCTTTGCCTCTCTGCCTACTTGTGATCTCTGTCAAATAAATAAATAAAATCTTTTTAAAAAAATGCCTATGTGCCGAGACAAAGTGAGGGGCATGATGTAGGCAATGTGACAGAGCCTTAGGCTAACACTGACCTTCTGAGCATACGTCAGAAGGAGGATCATCTGCTTCCAGATGGCAGCTGACCACAGGTAAGTGGAACGATGGAAAGCAAAGCCATGGATAAAAGGGGCATACCGTACCTTCTAGTGAAGTTGATTCCCTTAATTCATCACCCCACCTCTGCATTCTGTCAAGTCTCCACTTATGAGTGGGTCTGATTTCAGGCTCTGTGCTATTCTTTTTTTTTTTTTTTAAGATTTTATTTATTTATTTGAGAGAGAGAGACAGAGAGCATGAGCAGGAGGGAGAGGAGGAGGAATAGGGTGAAGCAGATTCCCCACTGAGCAGGAGCCCAACATGGGGCTCGATCCCAGGACCCCAGGATCATAACCTCAGCTGAAGGCAGATGCTTAACCGACTGAGCCACACAGGTGCCAGGCTCTGTGCTGTTGTACTGGTCTACTCATCTAGCTCTATTACAACACACTGTAGTAAGTACTGCTACTTTAAACCAAGTAGTGACACTGGCTAAGACGAGTCCTCTTTGCTCTTTTTCAGTATTGTTTTTGCTATTCACAAGCTTTTGCTTTTCCCTATGAATTTTTAAGTTTCACCAAAAAACTTTGGAATTATACTGAATGTATTGATTTGGGCAGAACTAATAGCTTTACAATATTGAATCTTCCCATCATTCATGAGCATGATAAACCCCTCCATTTCTTTAGGCTTAAAGTGTTTCAAGAAAATTTTAAAATTTCCTCCATAAAGGCTTTGTATGTTTTTTGACTTATTCACAAGTAAACTTATACTTGCTTTTACTGTTGTAAACAGTATTTTTTTCCAACTACATTTTACAGGTTCTGCTGTTCGGTGAGAATGCAGTTAAGTTTTGGACACTGATCGTGTATCTAGCAATCTTGCTATATTATTTCATTGGTTCTGTACATTCTTACATTTCTTATATAGACATTTATAACATCTGCAAAAACACCATTTCTCTTTTTTTCTTCTGCATTTCAATCTTTACACCTTTTATTTCTTTTTCTTGCCTAATTGCACTGGCCAGAAACTCCAATAAAAAATGTTGAATAGATATGGTAATAATGGATATATCTGTCCTGTATCTATCTAACATTTATTTCACCATTAAGTGCTATTAGTTTTAGATTACTATCTTTTATAGAGATAAATTCCTTTCTATTCTTAGTTCATTTAAAGTTTTTAGTATGAACAGAAACTATCTTCTCAAATACTTTTTTGCATCTATTGACAAATTTAAATTTTTTCTTCATCTATTAGTCTAAGTTACATTAATAGACTTCCTAATATCAAATCATATGAACAGGATAAATCCTACTTAGTCCAATAAAAAAATATATCATTACTGGATTTCATTTACTAATATTTTATTTATAATTTTTGTGTCCATATTCATAAATGAGACAACCAATTTTCCTTCTTCTAATGTTCTAATCTGGATTCATATTAAGGTAACAATAACCTGATAAAAAGAGTGAAGAAGCATTCCCTTTGTTTTTTTCCTACTCTCCAAACAATCAATACACAAAGGGAATTATCTGTTCTTTAAAGACTAGATAGAAATTGTAAAGCCACCTGCACCCAATTTTAGTGGACAGATTTTTTTGAACTATTATTCAATTTCATTAATGCTAATTATTTATATTTCCTATTTCTTCTTGAGTCAGTTTTGATAAGATATATTTTTCTTGGAAATTTTCTTTTGTCTAAGTTTTCAAATAGTATTTTCCATAGTATTATGTTTCTTTATGTAAAAGAAAAGGGATGGATTTGTTCCTGATTTGTCTTCTTCTTATCCTACGGCCCTTGAGGTCAAAGGTAAAAGGATAAATGATATTCTTAATCATACAAGTTTCTATTTAATTACCGACTTAATTATAAATAGTTTACATATATTCCTCACAATTAACTTTGCATAGGAGGTACTATTATACCCTCACTTTACAGAGGAGGAAATTAGCCCAGAGAGGTGAAGGAACTTGCCCAAGGATACACAGAAAGCAAAGGACAGTTCCAGAAATGAAACCCATGCCTGAGTGACTGCAAATAGCGGCTTTTCCTACCATGCTGCCTCTCCTATGCCTGAAGTGAACTGAGGCTTTCCTGCCTACAGGGGAAGGTCCATGATCACAGATTCATGAACATCATTTAAAAGGCAATGGAAGGGTTGTAAACAGATACCCATGTCACCAGTGCCAGCCTGTTCAGTGTCCCTGAAAGGCCCTACTACATAAAAAAATAAAGGCATAGTAACAATACTTCAAGGAAACACCAAAATGTTACTGTAGTCATCAACGGTGAATAGATTATATAAGGGTGGAATTTTATTTACTGAGTCCTATTTTCCAATGAATACTTTAATATTCAGGAAAACCCAAGACACTATTTTTTTAAAAGTAGACTAAAAATTCCTCAAAGCAGTGAATGACTCCAACCTCTTCCTCACAGGCTACCTGCCCTTAGAATGGAGCCAGGCATGTGGCAGGAACTTAAGTGAGTGTTAGGAAACCCAGAGGAGGGGTGCCTGAGTGGCTCAGTGGGTTAAGCCTCTGCTTTCGGCTCGGGTCATGATCCTGGGGTCCTGGGATCGAGCCCTGCATTGGGTTCTCTGCTTGGCAGGGAGCCTGCTTCCCTCTCTGCCTGCTGCTCTGACTACTTGTGATCTCTCTGTCTGTCTGTCAAATAAATAAATAAAATCTTAAAAAAAAAAAAAAACCCCAGAGGAAAGGGCACCTGGGTGGCTTTGTTGGTTAAGTGTCTGACTCTTTCTTGATTTTGGCTCAGGTCATGATCTCAGGGTTGTGAGATCCAGCCCCACATCTGGCTCTGGGCTCAGCACAAAGTCTGCTTGAGATTCTGTCTCTGCCCCTCTCCCTTGCTCACATGCTCTTTCTCTCTCTCTGAAATAAATAAATGAATCTTAAAAGAAAAAAAAAAAAAAGACCAGCAAGAAACACATCAAATATTAAGCAATGTGTCTTTAGGACATGGAATGATGAGTCACCTTTTCCTTTTTTCCATGCTCCTTTAGTTTCCAAAGTTTCCATGTTATATTACTTTTAATCATTGGGAAGAAAATGGGTTCATTTTAGGAAAAATATTAGGAAGGCAATTTCAATATTGATTTCTTTTTCTCCAAGTAGACCTCATTCTTCCAACTTGGGGTCTTCAGAAGAGTAACTAAGGATAGGGGCCGGGGGGCTGGTGGACTCCCTAAGGGCACCCGGGGTGGTACAGCAAAGCTGTAGGACTTGCCTGCCTGAACATCTCTGGGAAGTCATAGACGTAGGTGGTGCCCAGGGACTGGGCCTGGAATCGCTTGGCCTGAAGCAGATCCTTGGTGACGTAGGGAGTGTTGATCAGCATCCCGTGCTGGCGTCCCTGTTTGTCACCAAAGGAGTGAAACATGATCTGGAAAGGAAGACAGAAAAACAGAGTAAAGGAGGGAACTTTCAGAGAAGCATATTCTTGTCCCTTTTAATCCTACTCTCCTCAAATCATGTCACAAATCATGTCACATCACATGACAAAGTAAGTGCCTCACAGAGCTAATCTTTTCTCTGCCACTGTGGGCAACCAGAACAAGAAGGGACAGTGGCAGGTGTGGGAGCATAGCTCCAAAAATGTGACTATCATAGTACTTTACACACACACACACACACACACACACACACAACCAAACATGAGTGCACAAATACTGGTGAGATCTGAATAAAGTCCCCATTTGAGTTAATAGTACTGTACCAATGTCAATTTCCTATTTTAACAAGGTCCTGTGGTTATGTTGTTATCATTGGGGGAAGTCAGGTGAAGGGTACATGGGAACTCTCTGGAGCATCTTTTTTCCCTCTGTACTATTTTTCTAACTTCCTGAGTCTTTAATCATTTAAAGAGTTATATATTTAAAAATGGAAGCCAACAGGATATTTGATTCAGTTGACAAACGTGTTCTTAAACATGGTTGGGGAAAAGACACCCATTTCCCTAAGTGAACCGACCTAGGAGCTGCATTATAATCAACCATGGTATTCCACATCTTTTCCCAAATATGGTCCTAAAACAGATTAAACTTGAGATCGATTCTCCTTCCCAGAGGAATGAACAACTGGGATTCAGAAGCTAACATTTATTGTAAACTCAGAGGAGCTACCCCAACCCATCATGGCTGGCATGATAGCCACCAAGTAGCATTTTAGCCTGTGTCTTGCTCTCGGGAGCAGATTTGCTCTGCCTCTGCTCTGACTTGGATTATCTGTGGCACCCCCTGCCCCAGCCTCCCAGCCTTACATTTCCAGATCTGGGGTCGGTGACTTCTTTGTAGAGGCTGATGTCCAGGTAGTAGCCCGACTCATTGGTGATGAACAGGCGGATGGGAACAGCATTGCCAGTGGTGGTCTGGCGGATGTTGATCTTGACCTCAGCCTGCAGCACACGGAGTTTCCACAGCCGACTGCCATAGCGCATAACCATGGAACGCACGGACTCCTCGATCTGCCCCAAATGACAGCAATTCCGATCTCAGGGCCCATTCTGTGCACACTTGTAATAAATAGTTCTAGCACTGATAACATGGGAACGATGACATACGCTGAACGCAAAATACCAGGACACAGTACGTATCCAACAACTATTAGCCAATAATAACCAGAGTCGCCATGCTAAGCATGTCAGGAGCATCATCTCCTTTCATCCTCATAATTACATGGAAAGGCCAGCACTTTTATACTCTGGTGACAGACGGAGGCTGGTAAGCGAGAGAGCTACTGTACCTACGTTACATCATGTTTACCTCCACCACGAAGCCCAAATGTTTGCATTTTCTCTTCTGGGAACTATATGGGTTGGTGGAGTTTGGGCATCAGCACGGGCCCTGTGCACCCCATGGATGCCAAACTGATGACCCAAGACTTCTTTTACCCCAGAATCACCATCATCAACTCTGCCTACTCATGAAGAACCAGCCATAGGAGAACGGTTCTCTTCCCCCTTCCCTCCCACATGCACTCCCCAAAAGAGCCAGGAACCAGGGATGACATTTTGTTTTGCAAGACACTTTGGGCATGCATGTCATCCTAAAAGGGAAGTACGCTGTCCATGGAGGGTGACCATCAGAACAAGGATGATCCTAAGGGTGGTGGCAAAAATATGGCCCTGGAATTAAATGACAGAAGGTTGTTCACCCACAGCAATGGAGGCTCAAACATGCACATGCGACCTTGGAGGAGGGTGCGACCTTGGAGGGGTCCATGATGACGGTGGGCACGAAGTTCAGGAAGATGTGGTTGCAGTCGGTGCGCACGTTGGTGTTGTTGAACGCCACCTCCAGCTCGTCCATGGCCTCCAGGAGCAGACGCTCACCCTCATTCTGCAGGTACTCAAAGGAGGCTTCCTGCCAAATTGGGGGTGGGGGCGCAGAGGGTAAAAGAAGAGGCCCACGGCTAGAAACAGAGCCTCAGAGAGAACAGAGAGAGGAAAGAATTTCCCCTCCTTCAGAAAGTGTGGCAGAAGAGAAGGGTAGAGCCCTACCTCCAAGGCTTTTTATAGTCTATTATAGTTATACCTCCAAGATATTTACCAAGTTTTGCATTTTCTCTATTGGGATGCTCTGACCACTGGGCCTTCCTGACACTGGAGGGACTGCCCCTCCCAGGGTGGCCAATTCCTAGAGATGGTAAACGACTCACCCCTGAGTGTGGTTTTCACAGGCAAACCAGCCAATCCAGAGCACACACCTCCTCTCTGGGCTTCTCAGGTCCCAGGTCACTATCCACCTGCCCTACTCACCCCAGGCCCAGGTACCAGACACCTAGAGACAGCCCCTGAGCTCCAGAACCCACTGAAATTATTCAGACTAGCCAATCCCAAGCCTGCCTATCCTGCCTCACTGGTTGTTCTTTCCTGCAGAAATCACAACAAAGACTCTTATCCCATTTCCCTCTCCTCCCCTGCCTCCCCACCATCCCATGTGGCTCCCCTTGGGATGATATGCCCCCTCCTCTTGGAATCTGAGAGTGACAATCTTTTTTGGTGGCAACTGTCTTCTAGCCTGTAAGTAAGTACAGGCCTTACTGTACTTGAAAATAATAAAACCCATTAAAATATCTCATTGACTGAGGTCACCAAAAACTGACATTAGCTTCACATCCATCAGTAGAGGATTTGGGAAAAAAAATTATACACACGGTAGGTACATCCATGCAAGGACAGAGCATGAAAGCAATCATCTCCATTACCACGAGAGATGAGAGCTTCAAGGATCTGACCAGTAGGGGCACCTGGGTGTCTCACTGTGTTAAGCATCTGCCTTCAGCTCAGGTCATGATCCCAGAGTCCTGGGATCCAGCCTGGAAGTCAGGATCCCTGCTCAGCAGGGTGTCTGCTTCTCCTTCTGCCCCTCCCCCTACTCCTGCTTAAATTCACACACTCTTGCTCTGAAATAAATAAAATCTTTAAAAAAAAACAAAACAAAACGGAATTCACTGTGGTGCACCTGGGTAGTTCAGTTGGTTAAGCACCTGCCTTCAGTTCGGGTCATGATCCTGGGGTCCTGGGATGGAGTCCCACATCGGGCTCCCTGCTCAGCAGGGAGTCTCCTTGTCCCTCTCCCTCTGCTCTTCCCCTCTATACATGCTCTTTCTCTCTCTCTCAAATAAATAAAGAAAATCTTTAAAAAAAAAAAAAAGTAGTTCTTAATACTGTTTGAAAAGTCCACAATATAATCATAGGTAATGTGTCTGAATGCAAGAAACGATGAAAAGTGATCATGGCACTCAATAAGCAGATACAAGAAACTGCTTTAATACACTGGTATCTCTCTTCTCAACTCCCTTCTCATGCAGACGGATCCGTGGGACGCAAGAAGCTCATCCACGTGCTGCCAGCCGGGACACGCACAGAAACCACTTTGCTGTCAGCCTCCCCCGTGCTGGCCAGACAGGGGTCACAAGGGCGCACCCCACGGTCCCCAGTACAGAGCGGGGATGCAGGGAAGGGCAGGCCGGCAGACGAGTGAGAGGCTCAGAGGGAGAAAGAAGTGTTCGGTGGCGTCTTACCTTTGTAATGAGGTCCGAGTGCCTGATGATGGCGCGGATGAAGAACCTGTAGTCCGTCACTTCTGCCCCTTCTTTCACTTTGGCGGCGCCCAGGTACAGGTGCATCTTGTGGTTGGCGCAGGGCACCGCGGTCAGATCGAAGCTGCGCATCCGACTGAGCTCCAGCTGGTAGGCCAGGGCGGGCTCCAGGTGACGGTAAATGCGATCTTCTGCAAACTGCAGGGCCAGCCAGGGCACGGAGACAGACAGACACACAGACACACACAGAATGGGACCCTGGGCTGTGTGCCTGCTGGGTCCATGCCCTGTCTTGCAGACCACCTGTGTTTGCGGCTTTCGCATCAGGGTGGGCAGCCTTCATCACGTCACCTGTGAGCAACCCCAGGGCTCGGGGATTTGGGGTTTGGGAAGGTCCAGAGGAGAGCCTCAAGCCCCGCGGATCCTGCACACGCTGGCCCGAGCCTCTTGGCTCCGGGGTGAGCCTACCTAGTCCTCAGCACCTGCCAGGACAACCAGCCTCTGATCGTCACAACACAGAGTACCTCTCAAGAAGTCACTAAGTGCCGATTTCTCTGTGGAGACGGGTCCCCCAAAGGAAGCAACAGACAGTGCTGGAGACCGAAGTGGAGAGAAAATGAAGACCCTCACCGAAGGGCGGGTCTGAATTAGAACTGAAAGGCTTTGGATAAATTCAACTACAAGCTACTGAAGAGGATGGAGTCTAGAGTCTGCGTTGGGAAGAAGCCCACCTGTTCTAAAGCAGGGACCAGCAAAGCTTTTCTTAAAGGGCCAGAGAGGGAACGTGTGAGGCTGGTGGGCCACATGGTCGGTCACAGCCATGCCATCTCTGCCACCGGCACAAGAAAGCCACAGCAGACCAAGCAGATGTAGCTGCATCCCAAGCAAACTTTGTTTATAAATATAGGGACCCAGCCTGCAAGAACATAAGAAAATGAGGTTGGGGGAGCCATCTGAGGACAAAAGTGATCCAGATGAGGGAGACACCGGAGTAAAGGCCGAAAGGATGGGAATCCTGGGGTCCTATTGAGCTCCACAGGGAAACACAATCCCAGAGGAAGGCTGGTGGCTACACATCAGTTACATGTTCTAGAATACAGGGGTACCTTAAGGACTGGGGACTATACTCTTCCTGAAGAGCAAAGACGTCAGGGAAGTGAGAACAGTACTACTGCTCTATGTCATACCTCGTCTCTTGCTCTAAACGTGAAAAACTTGGGAAATTCTTTCTGCAAAAGAAATCCATACAAAAAAACAATGAAATCAACTCAGATTCATTTAAATACTGATATACTTGTTTTGTAATTTTTTTTTAACCATAACCCATCTGCTTCTAGCATGAATCATTTGGAAAGCCTTCTCTTTTTCAGCAATTGCTCTCTTCCACCCCCATCGACAGAGTAATCACCAAATCAACAGTACTGAGTCTTGAGGAATGTTATCATACATTATAGGGTCGTACTGAGAATCACACTGACCTCTTGGGCAATCAGGAATGTGATTCTTCGGAGTCCATAATCCACAAGGATGTTTTTCTGCATTAAAAACAAAACACACAATGGAATATTACCTAGCTACAAAAAGACATGAAGTACAGATACAAGTGTCAACATGGCTGAATCTTGAAAACACAATGCTGACTCAAAGACACCAGTCACAAAAGACCTCATGTCGCAGGATTCCATTTCCATGAAAGATCCAGAACGGGCAGATCCAACAAAGACAGAAAGTAGATTCGTGGTTGCCTAGGGCAGTGGGGAGGGTGGTGGACTGAGGGAAAACGGGGAGTGATTACTAATGGGTTTTCTTTTTGGAGGCAGTGTTGGTGAAAATGTACTAAAATATATTTATCATGATGATGATTACATGACTGTATGAATATGCCAAAAAGCACGGAATTGTGTACTTTTAATGGCTGACTCAGTCAGTGGAGCATGTAATTCTTGTTTGTTGTGAGTTCAAGCCCCACACTGGGTGTGGAGGTGACTTAAAAATAAAATCTTTAAAAGAAAAAGATGAGGGATGCCTGGGTGGCTTAGCTGGTTAAGCAACTGCCTTTGGCTCAGGTCATAATTCTGGAGTCCCAGGATCGAGTCCAGTGGGGAGTTTGCTTTTCCCTCTGCCCCTCCCCCTCTCATGCTCTCTCTCTCTCTCTCTCTTTCTCTCTCATTCTCTTTCAAATAAATAAAAGCTTAAGAAAATTTTTTTAAAAGATGAGTAAAAAAAGCCCAAAAAAGTACACACTGTATGATTGCATTTATACAAAATTCGAGAACAGTTGAGACTAATCTATGTTGTTAAAACTTAGGCTAGTGGTCAGTTGTCTCTGGAAAGAGAGGAGAACATTCACTTTTTGATCTGCATGCTGGTTACACTTGGGAATTCACTATGAAAATTCATCAGGCTGTACTTTTACAATTTGTACACATTTTCCATATGTTAAACTTTAATAGGAAAGTACTCAAGAAGGGCAAAAAATTATTTTTAGGTAATCCCTAAACAAAATAAATATTTTTTGAAGATTTTATTTATTTATTTGACAGAGAGAGACAGCGAAAGAGGGAACACAAGCAGGGGGAGTAGGAGAGGGAGAAGCAGGCTTCCCACTGAGCAGAGAGCCCGATGTGGGGCTCGATCCCAGGACCCTGGGATCATGACCTGAGCAGAAGGCAGATGCTTAACAACTGAGCCACCCAGGTGTCCCCAAAATAAATATTATCATATATAGTATTATGGGGAAAGAAAAACCCAAAAGACAAGGAAATACAGTTCTTGCTTAACTTGTCCACACAGTAAGGAAAATTATTAGGGGAAATGAGTAGTCTTAGCCCATTTCAGAAAGATGTTAAGTAGACAAACAAAAGAATACTTAATGGAATGTGGGTTGCAAAGAGAACAGAATAACCACAAAACGAAAAGGGTTTGAATGAGGGGAAACCAGCCTAGTTATGGGGAGCCTCAATCATTTGTTCTCAACTAAGGATGTGTATCAATGTGTGAATGTGTGGGGGAATGTATATGAATGTGTGTATGGGAGAATATGTATGTAGGTATCCACTTAATGTAAAAAAATTTAAATACAAGAGCAATATGTAACATTAAAAGTCCTTCCCCTAGCAGGTGTATATCTTCCAGCTCTCCTCTCTTCGGTATGTCATATGTATATTACATACTTTTGTACAGAAGCACATATGTTCAATCTTTTCTAGTTCTTGGATACCTTCCTGGGATGGAATTTAGAGGGCGACTTCTTCATCCATGCTTGGGGAATCCTCATGGCCCATACTTTCCGCAGGTGAGTCTGGCATCCCTCCCACTGCTCTCTCCAGGCAAGAAACACCAACTTCCTTGAGCATCATTTGATTTGGCTTATAGGGTAGGATGAGCCCCAACAACCCAAATGTCATCTTATCTATACTGTGGGATGCCAAGTGTCAACCCAGTAAGGACACCAGCTATGTCAAGAAGAAACCTGCAGAAGGGAAATATGCCAGTATCTTCATCCTGGGACTGCATGGTAGGGGTGTGGGTTTTGTTTTCAGATTTGCCTGTGCCTTAAACATTTCCTACAGCGAACATCATTACCTTGCTGATTAATCAAGTCATGTCTAAGTAAATCACGACAATAGTGTTCCTAAGCTTTCAAGGTGTTACCTATGACTCAGCATCGTTCATCATCTCCTGCCCAGGAATTATGAGGCCAGGTCCTCTGAGGGATGCCAAGTCAGAGGAGGTAAGAGATGTCCCTCTCATCTGGATAATACGGAGAGTATAACCAATGTACAGGTAAATAGATTAACAACAACTGGAAATGTCCAACTGTTCTTGAAGTTGAGACCGACTCAGGAGAACTAACATTCAGACCTGGTAGATCTGATTAATTTAAGAGTTAGAAATCTCAGCATCCCATTTTATAGATGGGAAAACTAAGGATCAGAGAGGTACAGTAACCTGCCTGAGGTCACACAGTACCTTCCCACTGTTTGCACTACCTAGGCTTGCCAAGCTGTTCCACATCTGTTTGCGGCTGAGGTCCTTGAGCCGACCCTCCTCCGGGGGTGAAAATATATGCTGGCAGTGGCCACATGTTTATGTAAGAACAGGTTCTTTGCACATAGGGCAGTCAGTATAAGTGACTCTTTAAAGATTTTGAATTTTGGGGGTTATTTCAACAAAAACATTCCCCCCCCCAACTATGTATTGAATATGTCCTCAAAGTGGTATATATCCCACCTCATTTCATCATTCATTGCCCTCTTTCCTGGCTAAGTGGTATACAGCTGACCCTTGAACAACATGGGGGGTCAGGGGTTCCGACCCCCTGCACGGTTAAAAATCCATGTACAACTTTGGACTCCCCAAGAACTTAACTATGAATATCCTACCGTTGACTAGAAACCTTACCAATAACATGAACAAGTCAACACTTTTTGCACGTTATACATATTATATACTATAGTCTTACAACAAAATAAGCTGATAAAAAGAATTAGTATTAAGAAAATTACAACGAAGAGAAAATACATTTGGAGCACTGTACTATACTTGTCGGAAAAAAATCTGGGTATGAGTACACCTGCCTAGTTCAATCCATGTTGTTCAAGGTTCAAGTATATATATATATTTTTTTTAATTTTTTTTTTTTTAAGAGATAGAGTATGGCAGTGAGGGGGCTTTGGCAGAGGGAGAGGTAGAAAGAGAATCTTAAGCAGGCTCCACACCCAGCCTTGAGCCCAATATGGAGCTTGATCCCACAACCCTGAGATCATGACCTGAGTTGGACGCTGAACTGACTGAGCCACCCAGGTGCCCCTATGCATTGTCTTTTAATCATCACAACCCCCGAGGCGAGAGAAATGCTGCCCCCATGTTATTGGAGAAGAAGCTAAGGCTCTACCGAGTTCACCCACTTCCGCCCAAGGTTATAGGCTCTGAGGAGTAGTGGGGCTAGGCTGAGAAGCAAGGTCTGTGACCCTGAAGCACCCAGCAGGCCTCAGGCGCATGGGACACCCTCGCCACAACAGCCGCTCCTTCCTCCTCCAGTGACGCAGAACCAGAGGCGGTGCCCAGCACACCTTGGACTGTACGAACGTCCGGAAAATCGGCACCAGCTCCTCATCTTCCAGGTGGTCCGCATGCTGGATGGCCACATTCAGGATGTGGATTGGCTCTTCTCTGAGGTTCTGGAAGAGCAAAACAAAGGCAGGTGGTAGAAGGACTCGGGGACCCCAGCCTGCCCCCTCCTCAGCATGGGCTCCCTGCTCGGACACTGACCTTGCTGTCTTCCTCACAGTACAGGGAAGTGCAGGCCTTGCTGAAGAGGGGGGCTTCCTGGGGCACATTGGCAAAGCAGGAGATGACTTCATCAAAATTCCTGGAGGTGCAGGGTAGAGAGGTAGGGCTGAGGGGCTGCTGCCCCGTGACGTCAAATGTCAGGATTTTGCTCTGGGCAGACGAGAGACTTGGGTCCTCGCTCCTTCCCACCAACTGCTCTCTGAGCCCATCCAGCTCTGTGCAAAGCTCACGGGGGTCCTGACCAGGTCCAAGATACCATCGATGGGGTCTTTCCCCAAAAGGGAAGAAGGAACCTATGTGATCTGAGATTGTGAATAAAAGGGAGTCCCGCGCTCTGGAACCTCAGGTGGGTTCCCCCTGGGCCTCTGTGCCCCTGCCTCCCATCAGGTGGGCTCCCCTGTCCCCTTGTCCCCCATCAGGCCAGGACACCCTTGCTGTTCACCTCCCGGAATGAACTAAGACTGCTATGGAGTTACACAACAAGATAATCCAAACACAATGCATAACATGGAGGAACAGGTGGGGGGAAAGGGCAGTAATAATAGAACTGACTGCTGACATTTACTGAGCATGTCACTTAGACCTTAACCACACTTTATTATGATTATTTTTTTTAAGTAGGCTCCACACCCAATGTGGGGCTTGAACTCATGATCCTGAGGTCAAGAGTCACATGCTCTTCTCATTGAGCCAGTCAGGCACCCTTCCCCTTCAACTATACTTTAAATACAATATTTAATATACACTATCTCATTTAATTTTCCTGGTGATTCTGTAAAGTAGATCCTTCTCTTATCCCCATTATAAAGATGGGAAAACTAAGGCACAGAGAGGTGAAGTAATTTGCTCAGAGTCTCACAGCATGGAAGCGCACAGCCAGGCAGGCTACCACATAAACAGGTGGGGGCCAGGGGAAGCCCCTGCTGGGGGTGTTTGAAAGACTAGGCCACTCTGGGTACCTTACGAAGTCCTCAAATCTCCTGAAGGCGACCATGGCCCCCATCCGCTGGCACAGTGGGGAGAAGCCGCTGTCCATGAAAAGCTCGGTGCTGTGCCTCAGTAGATCGGGGTTGGTGACGCTGATGGGCACGGCCATCCTACAGGGGGACCGGAAGAGGGGAATGTATCAGCTGCTTGAAGATCTGGCCCCGAGAGCTGTTCCTGTCCGGAAGCTTCGGAGAGCCAGACTAGCACGAGAGCCTGCCCACAGCAGGACGGAAGATTGTGGGTGGAAGGGATGGGGTCTGGGTCTGAGGAGTCTTGTCTGGTTGCTCAGGACCCAGTACAGACTAAGAGCTCCACAAGTGAATGATGAATGGATGAACGACATGCATGTACACAAGTCCAACCTTGACGTGGTCCCAGGCAAGCCCAGATCATGGACTCAGCCACAGAGAAGGAACAGGCTTAGTGCCCACCTCTCCCAGACAGCCCAGCACCAGGCGGCTGGCTGAAGGGGCAGGCCACATGCCAGTGCCTCCGCCCCTGTCAAACCTGCTCCTGGGACAGGGTCAGAAACCAAACCTGGACCCTCGGCCAGCAGCCCATTAGAGCTTAGCTGGTCTCTGCCCCCAGGACTGGCTGCTCACCAGCAGCAAAGAGAAACGGGTCCCCTGGAACTGTGACAATTGGGCCCTGGAATCAAGTGAAAGAGGGGCTATTGATCAGATGGGGTTCAGAAGAGAGTCAAAGAGCAAGCCCAGCGCCGCTCTCCTGAAAAGGGGACCTGTTTACAAGGTTGCCCCTTGGCTGGTGTCTGGGAGCTTGAGGAGGGTCCCCGCCACTCCCTAAATGAGAAGAGGCTCACTGTGCCCAAATTGTCTATGCTGAGCACCTGCTTTCCTTCTGGAGTCTGGGATTTGGGAGCATGCTGAGCTGAGGGTGCGTACACGACCAGCTCCCTGTGAAAACCCTGGGCACAGAGTCTCTAACCAGCGGCCGGACAACACTGCACACAGGTCATCACAACTCATTGCTGGGGGATGAAGATCATCCTCCGTGACTCCCCTGGGAAGGACTCTTGGAAGCTTGCACCAGGTATCCTCCAGACTTCCTCCCCCACCCCCATCCCCCGCACCCATGACCCTTTCTCTCTTGCTGACTGTCCCTCGGCTTTGCTTCATGTCCTTTCACTGGGACAAGTCCCACCTGGACACATCCTGAGCCCTTAAGTCTTCTTACTGAATCCTCAAATACCGGGTGCTCTTGGAGACCCATGACGCAGGTGCGGGGAGGCCTCTGTGACTTCCTGCTGGGTACCCCTGAACTCACTGTCGAGGCCCATGCCCTGCTCCTGGACAGCTAAATGCAGAGTAGCAAACTGGCAGGTAGCAAGGGCTGAGTTCAGCCCACAGATTGACTTGGGTCCCTGCAGCATTTTAAATATATTCTGACACATTAATTACCTATTCACAATGAAGTTGAAGAATTTCATTTATTTTTTAAAGTCTAGATGTCCTGCTTCTCTCGTGGGGGAAAAATAAGGGAAGATTTGGTCGGGCTGACCATTTGCCAGGAACTAGAACAGCATTCCCCCCAGGTAGGGCCATACTCTCCAGGTCCTGCCTCCCAGCCAGACTCCCCATACCTTGGGCCTCGCTCTAAGGCCTGGCTGCCCCATGCACGCAGCTCTCCTGGCCTCCAGTCCAACCTCCCTGGACTGGTCCCCTGAGTCAATTCACAGGGGGTCCGGTGCTATAGCCAGGCCCTGCTGGGAGGTGGGACTTCACTCGTCATGGCCCTTCCTGGAGGCCCTGAAGAGTGGCATTTGGTAGCGACAGCAGGCAGAGTCTGCTCTGAAGACACAGGCCCGGAGCAAGCTTCTGGTACTCCCAGCCAACAGCCACAGCAAGGATCTGAGATGGTCAGGGAATCCCTCCAGGGTCCTCAGTGTCTGTGTGGGTCAAAATAGAACCCTGGACCCATATTGGTCACAACCAATAACCCAAATATGCATGTAAGTTCCTCCTAAGAAACAAGGGCTAACTGACCCACAGGCTTCTGGAGAACTGCCTTCCTATCCTAAGCGGGTTGAACTGCTAAGACAACGGAATCAAGGAAAGAAAAGAATGCCTCCTCACTGGCAGACAGTTTCAAAAGCTCTTGTACCACACCTCCCACAGTCCCCTAAATGATTCCAAGGCCACAAACACTTCGTCTACTTTTCTCTCAACTGGACAAAATAGCATGATCTTTCTTTTCCTTTTTTTTTCTTTTCTTTTTTTTTTTTTTTAAATAAGAAGGGTGGGGCGCCTGGGTGGCCCAGTCCTTAAGCATCTGCCTTTGGTTCAAGTCATGATCCCAGGGTCCTGGGATGGAGCCCCGCACCGGGCTCCCTACTCAGCGGGAAGCCTGCTTCTCCTTCTCCCTGCTTATATTCCCTCTCTCGCTGTCTGTCTCTGTCAAATAAATAAACAAAAATCTTAAAAAAAATAAAACAAAAGGAGCACCTGGGTGGCTCAGTGGGTTAAAGCCTTTGCCTTTGGCTCAGGTCATGATCCCAGGGTCCTGGGATCAAGCTCTGCTAGGCAGGGAGCCTGCTTCCCTTCCTCTCTCTCTGCCTCTCTCTGCCTACTTGTGATCTGTCAAATAAATAAAATCTTTAAAAAAATAAAAATTAAAAAAAAACAAAATAAGAGTAAAAAAAATGACATAAAAATAAATAAACAGTGTATATAAAAGGAGGTCTTCAGGGGGAAGCACTTTGTTTCTTCATCCATAACAGAGTAATACCCTTCTTCTTAAAAGCAATGGAAAGAAAAACATGCTTTGAAACTCCAAGAGATCCAAATATTCCCTGCTTCAAGAAATCATGAGTCCTGCTGCCCAGAGAGAGACAAGATCTGATTAAGTCAACACCCAAATCATGACGAGACCATCCTAGCCACAAGCCAGGCCTGTAGGGACCCCCAGGAGAGCCAGAGCCAGAGGAGTGAGGAAGAAGGAAAGGGAAGGCTCCCAATCCCAGGGAGAGGTATTTGCTTTAGCTGAAGGTAACACACTCTACCTGACCAGGATGGTACTTCAGGTCCTGAAATAAGACGGATTAAAAAAATGGAAGGTGACAGAACAGCACAGGCACACCAGGGTGACCCCAACTGAAAACACTTTAGGGATCCAGACGGGCCAACACACTTGCCCCAGCCGGTGGCTCCAGAGGACCCGCAGGGGCTATGGAGGGCCCTCCGACGGAAGAGGCATGTGCTCAGATCCCTACCCCATGTGAATGAGCACTGGGCCCACACCAAGGGAAGGCCAGGGCTCCTTGTGTGTCAAATGGAGACGACAACACATTTTTGGCCAACAGATGGCGAGGACTGAATGATATAGAGGATGGAAGCACTTAGCATGGTGGCCGACCAACAACATGCCATCGGGCAGTAATAGCACAGTGATCATCATCATAGGGGTCCCGGATGCTCACCAACTTTCTACATGCCAGACACTGCCCTAAATGCCACATGCATCGTATCTCATGGTTTAGGAAAGCACTGTCCAATGGAACTTTTGATGGTGACAGAATATTCTAGAACTGCAATATCCAATATAGCAGCCACAAACCACATGTGGCTGCTGAGCTCTTTCAGTGCGGCTTGTATGACTGAGGAGCTGAATTTTTAACTTAATTTCACTATTTTAATTTAAAAAGCCCACACATACGGGTAGCGGCTACTCTACTGGGCAGGGTGGGTAGAAGCGGTAGACACCAGATTATCTCATCTTAGCGATGAGAGATGGAGAAGTAGGCAGGTCCCACGGTGGAGAAGCGGTATCCCTGATTGTCTTCCCCAGACATAATTGCTTGGTCCCTCCAGAGCCAGGACTAGGGGGCTTAGGGAGAAAAGGAAAACACACTACCCCTGAGTGCATACCACTCCATACCTGTTTGGGTGGGAGGAGGGCAACATGAACTGGAACTCCACCACGCAGGTGCCATCTGGGAGCTCCCGGTGCTGCAAACTGTTTAACTCATAGGCAATGTAGCCCCGTCGCACATACACCTAATAAGCACAGAAGACATTCTCGCAGGGGGCACTGCAGAGTGCCCGCAAAACCCACTGAAGCTCAGGCCGGAGGGATCCAGAAATCATCTCTAAGTGATCCCCAAGCAGAAGCAAAGAATGAATTTGCCCACATTTTACATTACTTTTCTTTGCCAAGGGCTAGACGGTAAATGTTTTAGGTTTTGCGGGATATCTGTCTCTATCCTAGCTATTCAGTTTTGTTGCTGCAGCCTGGAAGCAGCTGGGGACAATATGTACGTGAAGGGGCCACCTGGGTTCCAATAAAACTTTATTTACAAAAACAAGCAGTGGGCCATGTTTGGCCCACAGGCTACGGTCTGCCGATTCCTTCTCTAGAATATTCCATTCTAGAGAAGGTGCCACCCAAGAGAAATGTAACATAGTCACGTGTGCAATTTTAATTTTCAATCTTCTAGTAGCCACTTCACAAAAAGGCAACAGGTGATTATCAGTTTAATAGTATACTTGATTTCATCCCCAATAACCAAATGTCATACCATCTTGACATAGATTCGGTACAAAAAAGTGTTGATACAGTAGCAATTCTTTCTCCATACAGTCTTTGGAATTCAGTGGGCACTGTATACTCAGAGCATAGCTCAACTCCGACCCGCTGCATTTCAAGCCCTCACTAGCCACAATGTGGCCAGTGGCCACCATATCGGACAGCACAGTTCCAGAGGTTAGACAGGAATTTTTTAATTGAATAAGGAATATAAGAATTGTGTAGCAAGAGTTAACATAGCAGACCTTAACTACTATCCTTTAAAACACCCGTGGCTGGCCTCTGGGAACTTGGATTTGGGAGGGTTCCCATTATTCTCCGATAAGAATGGTTCATGGCAGCTTAGTTGTACAAAGAGTGATTTTATGTTGAACATGCACTTTCCTTCTGGGAATTTAATATTTTGTTACATACTAGCACCAGCCCCCAGGAAACCCCTGGGGCACTGAGTCTCTGAGCCTCATTTCAAATATGTTGTCGTGGGGTGCCTGGGTGGCTCAGTTGGTTAAGTGCCTTAGGCTCAGGTCATGATCCCAGGATCCTGGGATCAAGCCTGCATTGGGCTCCCTGCTCAGTGGTGAGTCTGCTAGTCCTCCTTCTCCCTCTGTCCGTCCCCTCCCTCATGCTCTCGCTCTCTCTAAAATAAACAAATAAGATCTTAAAAGAAGGAAAAATCACATGTTGTCATAATTCATTCCTTGAAGAATCTAAAGTGCCTACAGGACCACCGTCAACTTGTACTTGGTTTCCTCTGGATGTCACCCCACGCACTTTGTCCCTCTGCTGATTGTGCTCTGTGTCTTTTCCCTGTAACAAATCAGCCATGAGCATGGCCATCTGCTGAGGCCTGTGAGTCTTCCTAGTGACTCATTGGACCTGGGGCTGGTCTCAGGGACATCCACACATTTAGAGCACAAACGAAACTCTACACATCTCAGTAGACCAAGTAAAACTGTAATGTTCACAATGCTCATCTTGAGTCGTGGAGAAAAGGTTGGATTGTGTTCAATCAACATGCCAAACAAAGGGGCAGGATGCTCAAAGAGATCTGGAAAATTCTCCAACAGAAAAAAAGGGGGGGTGGATTTAGCACTCAAAGCAAAGAAGGTGGGCTGCTGCTTTCCATCTGACATAGGGTTGCCCCTCAAATAGGACAGGTGCTTGGACACATCAGATGCTTACTCATCTATATTCAAATAACCCTGTGAGGTAGGTATTACTGTCCCTATTGCGACGTGAGAAGCTAAACGTCCAGAGAAGGCAGGCAACTGGGCAGAGGTCACACAGCCCATACCCTTGCACCGCTTGCTCCCACTGACTGGAACCTCTTTGCTCTTTCCACCAATTCTGACTCGCTCTGAATGCCTGTTTTCATGTCACTTTCTCATCCAAGTTGGAGCTAACCCTCCCTGTCAGGTTCTATCTGCTGTCTGCTTCTCAGCGTGACAGCTGCATTCCCACTGCAACCTTATCGTGTGGTAAAGAAGAAAGCATTTAGCACGTGTCTCTCCCCAAACCAGAGAGAAGCTGCCTTAGGGCACACTGGCTGTTCCCTGGTTTATCCTCAGCATCCAGCACACAGTGGGTCTCGATATAGTTGAACATTGGAAAGAGGGGGGAAAGGCACTGATGAGTGCTACTGGGTCTCACTCCTAGAAACAGGGAGACCTGAAAAGAATTGGTTTTTTTGTTTGTTTGTTTGTTTTTGTTTTTAATTTGACAGAGAGAGAGAGTACAAGTAGGCAGAGAGGCAGGCAGAGGGGCGGGGGGAAGCAGCCTCCTGCTAAGCAGAGAGCCTGATGCAGGGCTCGATCCCAGGACCCCGGGACCCCTGGAGGCAGAGGGTTTAACCCACTGAGCCACCCAGGCGCCCCTGAAAAGGATTCTTTGAGCTGAAACCAGGCAGGAGGGAAAGACTGCAAGCCAAGGAGACTCTGGGGCTGTGAAATGTTCGCAAGCCCCAAACATTCCCCATGGAGACCCAGTACCAGGATGGGTGACCAGCAGGGTCTACAAAGGTGGCAGAAGAGGGAGTGGGGGCCATACGGGACAGAGACTCCAAGATCAGAGGGTTGTGCTGCTGGTCGCTCCCTTCTCTGCCCCATCACAGCGGGAGGTCACCTGAAATTGCCACCTAGGTTCCTCCCAGCTTTTGTGGTTCCCAGCAGATGAGTCTTCCAAAGGTATGTAATACAGGGAGTCAGGGAGTCAGCACAAGGGCCTGGGCTCTTGGTGGCTAGTATTTAGAAGTGCCCTGCCGAGATGAGGACGGGATGGCACAGGAGTTAACAGGGATTATCAGCAAGGACTCTGGACTGGGACCTCGTGTGAGTCCTGGGCTTGCCACTCCCCAGCTGTGAGACCTTGAGCGAGTGGCTCCACTACTCTGAGCTTCAGTTCCCTTCCCTGGAAGATGGGTATAGCAACAGTCCCTACCTCGTGGAGAGAAGGACAGGATCCCGCACTTGAGGTACGTGGCCCAGGGTCAGGCGCATGGCCGGCAGGCAGTGGGTGCAAGTACTGGTATTTTGGGAACAGATGCTGTTCCTGGGGCCTCCCTCCTACTTACCTCCAAGGATGCCATGCAGACGACTTTATTAGCATGGTAGAAGAAAGTGGGCAGGACATCAAATATGGTCGTTTCGGAGAGTATTAGTTTCTAGGGGATGGGAAGAGAAGGAAGGGAAACATGAGCGAGTTTCAACCACGGGTCAGATGAATGGAGGGATGGGGCAGGGAAGAGACACGCATAGTGGTTCTATCAACAAAACGCTGCCAGCGTGCAGCATCGATCAACGGTTCTGGGAGGACAGCACCTAAGGTTCCCCGTCCAGAGGTGGAGAGGGTGGCTGAAGGCTTGCCAATGATCCCAAGGTGTGGGGTGGGGGAGCCCAAAAGATGAAGCCATGACCTAGCCATGTGAGTGTGCAGGGTTTCCAGTAAGCTCCACAACACCTGAGTTTTTAAAATGGCCCTTCTGGGGGGAGCCTTGCTGCCCGATACCCTGTCCATCCTTGCTGCCCGATACCCTGTCCATCCTTGCTGCCCGATACCCTGTCCATCCTCTCCCAGAGGCTCCCTGAGGCCCCCTCAGGCAGCCCCGGCCACATGGGGCTAAAGCATTAGTGTTTCCAACTGTGTGCTGAACCCAGGTGCGGGTGCACTGATGGCACGGGGAGCGCATCTCCCAGACGCCCCACCCAGGGCACAATGTGTGCTCTGGAAGGGGGACCGAGGGCGGTGGCCTCACCTTGAGGTTTTCTGGACAGAACTGGTGGCCATACATGTCGATGGCAGACAGGAAAATGGACTCCACCTGGTTGTGCCTCAGCTCGTAGGACGGGAGGTGGGAGGCGATCAGGACCTGCAGTGGGTGGGGACAGGGAAGCCAACCTTACAGGGGAGAAGCCAAGGGCCGGGCCCCAAGATGGGTCACAGAACGGCAGCAGAGGGGCTGTGCCCTGTGAGGGACAGGAGTGGGGAGGGATGGCAGCCCATGACCCTACCTGTCTGGCTCTGAGGGCCACTTTGCAATGCTCACTCTTGCTCAGCTGAGTGAGCTCGTTGAGGATGGAGGTCAGCTCTTCCGACAGGGAAGGGTCTGGACCACAGAGCTCATCCTTGAGGGGACAAAGACAGAATCCAAATGGCTTTCCTCCACCAGAATGAAACAAGCCAGCACTCACCCTCAGCTGGGGGGTGCAGGTACCCCAACAAGCCAGATGGCTCCACAGCTCCCTGGGCATCCCTGGCACAGCCTGATAATCACACCCATGCCCTAAACACCCACTTGGACGAAAAATACAATTAAGTCTTTACCTATATCACTATTAATAACCAGCTGTTATCAGGCAAGCAACTCCACACTTGACATTCATTTCCCCAAACCCTCCCACCCTTCTGAGGAGTTACGATATGATTCCCATTTTACAGATGAGGAAACTGAGGCTCAGAAGCAGTGTGCCCTGCCCCCGGGCCACAGAGCATGGGCAAAGCCGAGCCATATCCAAACCCCGGTCTATTCCGTCCTCAAGGCTTCTAACTCTTTCCTGCCTGACTTAAGGGTTTGACAGTTTCAGAGAACAGTGAGGAGGGGGACTAGAGTTGGGTACAAACAAGAGTAAGGTTCACACGGGATGCTCTAGTGAGGGTGGTAAGCCACCTTCTGGGAGTCCCCAGGGGGAGAATTCTGGAGACGTCAAGGGCAGCTTCTTACAGAAAAGAGGATTTGGAGTTGCAGAAGAGGTAGAGGGACTGTGGTTCCCATGAGTATCCCTCCTCCCACTTTGGAACAAGGGACCTTTTGGCTAGAGACCAGAGGGCTGTGAGCACCTGGTCTGCCCTAAATGCAAGCATGGCTTGGGAAGGGCTCAGAGCAGGTGCTCCCCAATACCTGCTAAAGACATAACAATGACTTGCTGGGAATGGGAACACTCCAGCAACATGCCCCCGCCCCTGCCCCAGCCCAGACTATTCTCCAAGAAGTCACCAGATGGGGGGGACCATGGGTACCCCCATGAGCCTGTTCTGTTTTCATGATCAGAACATTTGTAACGCATTAATATTTCACACTTGTACACAAACACACAAGCCTGTTTGTGCTGAAGAAATCACATAGTTATTCTAAACTTTCTCTCCCTTCCCCAGTGTGATTTGCTTTAGAAACTAAGTCCCTCAAAGACTCAAACAATTTCATTTCCAAGTAAATATTCAATTAACAAGTATTTCCGGAAAGTCTCCTAGGCACCAAATACCATCAAATGCAAAGAACTCATCATTTTTAACAAATGGAACCAAGAGAGCCAAAAGAATAATGGATCTTGCCACACATCCCCCAAACCACACCTGGTACATCTTCAGCCCCCTTCACTAAGAAGCCCCAAGCAAGTGTCCTAGTTCTCCGGTCTGGGCCCCCCTCCACCAGGCTGTCCTCTGGTATACATAATTTTTAGCACCTTCCTGCCCAGAAGAGAGTCAGTATGTACACAAAGAGTAACGAATAGCAGGATAATCCACAGCTCTCATCCCTGGCCTTTGAATGGCGAGCAGGTGCTAACAGAAAACAGGCATACCTTGCTTTACAAACACTCAGCTGAAAAAACCTCTATCCAGGGGAGGTATTTTGCAAAGTATTATATACAATTTTAGCAGTGGCCTTTCCTGCAGAGTGGACATCTCTTTAGGCATAAGTTCCCAATCATGGCTGCATGTTGCAATCCCTTAGAAAGCCCTCCCCCTCGCAATTTAATTTTGAATAATTTCAAAAACTACATAAGAATTAAGGATCAGTTGGGGCTCCTGGGGGCTCAGTCAGCTGAGCATCCAACTCTTGATTTCTTCTCAGACCATGATCTCAGGTCCTGGAATCGAGCCCTTGGTTGGGCTCCACACCCAGCGGGGAGTCTGCTTGAGGATTCTCCCCACTCTCTCTAAATAACACTCTCTGCCCCTCCCCCCCAACACTCTCTCTAAAATAAAAAACAAAATTTAAACAAAATTAAGGATCAATACATTGAAAATCCCTATACTGATGATCCAGATTCACCAACTGCTAAACTTTTACTACTATTATCACATCTACTTTTCCTCTGGTAAGCATGCACACGCACACGCACATATGCACGCATATGCGCACATATATGTTTTCTTTCTTTGAAAGTCAGTTACAGACACCATGATCCTTCCCACTAAGATCGTACCTCAAGAAAAAAGATCTCTTAGCTAACTAAAGAGCCATTAAAACACCCAAGAAGTGGAACATTAAACTGATAATATATAACATACAGCTTGCATTTGAGTTTCCCATTGGGAAAGCTTTCAAAAAGTATTAATGCCTGGCCCACATCCCCAGAAAGCCTGATTTAACTGACCAGGGTAGGGCCTGGGCATCTGTGTCTTTTAAAAGCTCCCCTACACCTACCCCGGGAGATTCTCATGTAGAGCTAGGATTAAGAGATCCTCATGTTACCCTAGATTTCAAAATGATTCTTTACAAAAATTTCAGTATTTATGAATCCATCTTGTTAGGGTGTTAACTATCCTATAGGCCCAAGCCCAAATCTGGCCCACTGCCTATCTTTGTAAATAAAGTTTTATTGGCACACAGCCACACTCACTCACTTATAGATTGTCTATGACTTCTTTCATGCTACGACAGCAGAGCTGAGTTGTTGCAACACAGGCTGTGTGGTTCTCAAGATTAAAATATTTACTATCTTTACAAAAAACAAAACAAAACAAAACAAACAACAACAAAAAAACACCTTCTAGCCCCTTCTTGCTATAAGCCAAGTCCACCTCTCTCTTAATCTCTCTTACTATCTGCGGAGTCTACATTTTCCAAGGGGGCCATCAGGAACCATATCAAGGAAAAACATCTTTACCTATAACGGACGCTAATTATCATCTAGTAGGAAGAGAAATAAGAACAAAGAAACTCTACACTTCTCCAAGAAGGGAAAATAAAAATCCTCCCACAAGACTCAGAATCCAATTATTGCCTAGTAACTCACTACTCTGGGGCCAGGCCATGGGTTCAAATCCCAGCTCTGCATTTAGAAGGTGGGTGCCCTTGGGAAAGTGACTACTTCAACTCCGTGCTCTGCCAAAGCGAGTGAGAACAGGATGTGCATTGCTTGCTGTGAGAATTAAATTAGTATTTGTAAAGCATGTTAGGAGTGCTTGGTGTCTGGTAGGTGCTTTGTGTGAATCATGATCTCCTGCAGTGACTCAAAAATCCCACCCCCTGCCTGGTTTTATAAACAAAGCTTCATTGGGACACAGCCACATCCATGTGTTTACATTGTACAAGGTCAGGACTGAGCCAGTATGAACCAGCAAAAGCTGGAATATTTATACTCCGGCCCTTTCCAGAACGTCTGTGGATGCCAAGCCACTCCCACAGTGAGTACAGGGCGCCCTTTCTTGCTTACGATCAACATGATCACCAGCTGGTTCTTCTTGGCCACCTGTGCGTGGGAAAAGATGCAGTCCAGCACCTGGGACATGTCTGGCTTCAGCTGCTCCCTGAGGTTGATCACACACTTGTCGTAGTGAGCTAGAGGGAGACAAAGGGGTAAGGCTCAGGGCCCTCCCGCCCTGTGGGCTTGTCACCAGTGCTGGTGGCAACTCTTGCCTTGTTGGAAATGGTGCTCCACCCGTAAATATCTCCGCAGGAGGTCCAACACCACCGCCTTCATGTAGCCTCGGGTCCCGCTGCGGTATCTGGGGAGGAAGGAGAGGCTGCTTGAACCATCAGTTCCACTTCCTGGGGCACCCGCGTCTACAGCGGGGCTTTTAGGACTTCCAAAAGGAGAAAAATAGTAATCCAGTATCTGGAGGCTATATCTCCTAATCCTCAAGGCTGGGAGCGATATGTGAGTCGGTTCATTTGGATGCACTCTGTAGGCCAAGGACAGCAGTGACTTGCCCAAGGTCATACATACAGCCAGAGTCCAAGTCTGAGCATTTGGATGGCTCCTGCCCATCCCCAGAAAGAAAGGACAGGAGGCTGAAAAGGGTCAGCCTTGCATACACAGTTGATACCAAAAATGATCAATTAACCATCCTAGGTATAAAGAGAGCTTGAAAGATAATTAAACGAAACTTGGAAGATGTTTATCGATAGATCCCTGTGTAAATTTCACTTCCTTTTTAGAAAACAAATTTTAACCTGGATGTTTGCTAAAACATTCTAAATCATTTCTGCATGTAGGAAACTGAGTTTCCTAAGTGATTTAGGACATTGAGTTTTAAGGGCATTAAGACCAGTTTAACCCCAGAGTTACTGACAACAAAAGGAAGAACCTAAAACATGCATTTATTCAAATGTGATCTTAAAAGAATACATAGAACGGAGCTTTGAGGGGCGCCTGGGTGGCTCAGTCGGTTAAGCATCCGACTCTTGGTTTCAGCTCAGGTCATGATCTCAGGGTCGTGCGATCAAGCCCTGCATCAATGACGGAGCCCTGTATCAGGCTCCATGCTCAGTGGGGAATCTCCCTCTCCATCTGTCCCTCCCCCCACTCACGTGCATGCGTGTGCTCGCACTCTCTAAAATAAATAAACCTTAAAAAAAAACAGGGGGAGGAGTCAAGATGGCGGAGAAGTAGCAGGCTGAGACTACTTCAGGTAGCGGTAGATAGCTTATCTAAAGATTGCAAACACCTACAAATCCAACGGGAGATCGAAGAGAAGAAGAACAGCAATTCTAGAAACAGAAAATCAACCACTTTCTGAAAGTGAAATCATTTGGTATTTGTTGAGAGTGTCTCTGCTTTGACTTCTCATATCACAGCCCTGTTTGGAGGACAAAATATTCACTGAAACTATTATAAGCTGGTTATTAGAATGCTATTTGACTAATTGAAAAATCTTCATAATTCATGCAGAAAGACCAACCTTTCCCTTCATGAAAAAGAATTCCATATTCATTTAATAGGAAATGAACTATTTAATTAGGAAATTTAATATATGGTTATTTGCTTTAAATTCTCTGTGAGTCAGTCTGTTCAAAGACTTCAAGTGAATTCTTGATTATTCCAACAAAGGGAAAACTGGCACAGATATTTATCCAGTGAGACTGGGTTCAAGTTCCTCCAAAGAACACTGGAAAAACTATCCTTGGTACAAGTGTAGCAGATTGCGGTGGTTCTCAAAATGCGGCACCTGGATCAGCAGCAGCAGCGGCACCTGGGAACTTGTGAGAAATGCAGATTCTTGGGGTGCCTGTGTGGCTCCGTGGGTTAAGCCTCTGCCTTCGGCTCAGGTCATGATCTCAGGGTCCTGGGATCGAGCCCCACATCAGGCTCTCTGCTCAGCAGGGAGCCTGCTTCCTCCTCTCTCTCTGTCTGCCTCTCTGCCTACTTGTGATCATTCTCTCTGTCAAATAAATAAATAAATAAAATCTTAAAAAAAAAATTACCCAAAAAAAACAAAAAACAAAAAAACATTGCTGTGATATTTATGTTTAACAGAAAAATCTGCTAGGGGATTGTTCATTTTCTTCTAGGTGTTTCTCTGAAGCTAAAGTGTGGGTTTAAGGTTAGCGGCCAAAGAGTTCTGGGGAGGGTCTTCCCTCCTAGCCCTTGGCTGCGAAACTCATTCTTCGTGGGGAATCCACACTAAGACTCCCTTCCTTGGCTCAATCCTATATAGGCAGTCTGAGTCCCCATGAGACAAGGCACTCCCTGAAAAGAAGGGCAGTCTCCCAGGGCCCTACTTCTCTGTGCCTCTGTTTCCAGCACATGGTGACCGTGCATGTACTTCATCTCCTCCAATTTCAAACTGTTTCAATTCTGTCTTCATAAGCACAGCTTTCCTATGAGGTAGAGTTTTCATACAATAGGGTGGTTCTTCTTGTCATCAGAAAGGCTACTCAAAATACAACTTCCTCATCAACCCTCTTCAACAGTGATTTCAAAACCACAGGATAATCTGTAGAGTCCTTGATGGCCTATAAAATCACCACATCCCATGGTCCTATAGGCAAAGCTACCACAAGGACTCACCGTGTATCGGCACTTTAGAAGCGTTAATCCACTCATAACTCAGAGTGACTAATTGTGGGTGAAGGGTTTTTATTCCCATTTTACAGACTGGCAAACTGAGACCACAGGAGAAGAAAGCCTTGCTTGGGGTTTCTGGGGTTAGGAATACCTATGCCAGGATTGTAATCAGGGTCTCTGGACCCCGTGCTCTGTCTCTTGGTTGGAGCCTGCCCTGAAGAGAACCCCAGAGTGCTGTATTAGGGTAATGCACAGACAATGAATGTGAAAACCGCCCCACACAGAGGGCCAAAGACTCACCTCTGGACAAGCTGCACAATGCTCTGAGTGTTCATGAAGAAGACCTCCCGTTCAGCCTTCCGCTGCAGGGTGGCCGCGTGGCAGTCTAGGATGGTGGCTATCTGGATGGGGACAACAGGACAGGCCTGGCCACTCATAACCACACTATCTGGTCACCATGCAGGAGTCACCAGGACGACCCACCCAAGGCTCATTCAAAATCTGAAAATTTCAGCTCCAAAGCCCTCTCTGGCCACCTGGAAATAGCTGTTCATCCCGTTCAACACAGTGTTTGACGAATCTGAGCTTAGAATGACATCAGTCCCATAAAGACCCATGCATTATTCTTCTCCACAAATACGAACAGACTGGGGGAAGGAATGCAGTTTGCAACCCCAGGGAAATTGAAGTGGGCTGGGTCGGGGGGGTCTTGTTTTTATAACTAAATTTAGTGTTATGAAGCATACTGTTTTTGGCAACACAAAGTATTTTTAATGAAAAACCTGTGCCAACAACAAACTCCTAAAAGGTCCAAATAGGCACTTTTCTTAACCGGGGTTCTTCAGAGTTTTATCAAGATATAATTTACATATCATAGTATTCCCCTTATTCATTCATTCATTTTTTAAGTAGGCTCTATGCCCATTGTGGGGCTTGAATTCATGACCCCAAGATCAAGAGCTGTAAGATCTGGGGCACCTGGGTGGCTCAGTCGTTAAGTGTCTGCCTTCAGCTCAGGTCATGATCCCAGGGTCCTGGGATCGAGCCCTGCATCAGACTCCCTGCTCGGCGGAAAGCTTGCTTCTCTCTCTCCCACTCCCTATGCTTGTGTTCCCTCTCTCGCTGTCTCTCTCTCTCTGTCAAGTAAGTAAATAAAATCTTTAAAAAAAAAAAAAAAAAGCTATAAGATTTATCGACTGAGCCATCCAGGCACCCCCGCCTTTACAGTATACAATAAATTGAGTATTTTTCAGTATAGTTGTGCAACCATTTACCACTATCCAATTTGAGAGCATTTTCACCACCCCAGAAAGAAACCTGATAACCAGTCAGAGCTACACCTGAGCCCTCTCCCCCAGCCCCTGGCAACCACTAATCCACTTTCTGTCTCCATGGATTTGCCTCTTCTGGACACTTCGTGTACACAGAACCATGCAACGCGTGGTCTTTTATGACTGGCTTCTTCTGCTTAGCACGTTTTCAGGGTACATCTATGTTGTGGTATAAATCTGCATTAGATTCCTTTTTATGATGGAACAACATTCCAAGCTCTAGAGTGGTTGACCTCCAGGAATGACCTGATCTATGCTGACCGGCAGATCTATGCTGACCCACAGCTCCGCAAATCACAACCACGTGGGTGGGGGCACCATGATGGTATGCGGCCCTTCCAACCAGAGGGCAGAAGAAAACTGACAGAGGAGGTTCTTCCAAATGCAAATTACCTTGAAAATGCTTGATAAAGCAACACTCCCTCCTCCGCAAAAAAAAAAAAAAAAAAAAAGCACAAAATCAGGCCAACATAGAACTCTTAGAGATATGTCATACTACTCTGGAATGCTTTCCATTATTTAAAATTATTCTACATACATAGGGCCCCAAGATGATCACCTTACAGATACCGGAGGAAGAAAATCAGAGCTACAGACTAGCAAGAGAAACCAAACACCCTCTGCTTCAGCCAGAGTGCATTGGGGGAAATGTTCCCTGTATTTGTACCAACTGCTAACTCCTATTCTGAACCCGAGTTTTACGGAGTAAGGCCCCATAACTGTGTTCATCTCAATGACTTTGGGGAAAATGCCGGGGTTCGGTAGCAAAGGGCTCAAAAGGAAATGCTCCCTGGGCGCCATCTTCGGTGCTTGATCAGAGGCCATGGCGGCCGGAAATGGAGCTCCCAAGGCGGAGCCTGCAGGCCCCCCAGTGAGGCCGGGGGTGGGGGGACACGCACCTGTTGGCTGGGGAACTGGCACAGCACTGAGGTGATATTGCTGGCGTACTGAGCCATCACCCTGCGGACAGACTTCTCCACGGGGGCAGGGATGCAGCCAGACACGCTGGTCATGATTTCCTGCAGTTCCAAGAGCGGCAGTGATGGGTGCCGGAGGGTCATCATGAGCTTCTGCACCCACTCCTTCAGCTGAAGCAGGGACCAGAGCATTAGCTGGACGCCCTGTGTGGGGGCATGGGCACTGCCACGCTCCACAGGGCACCCGACACACTCAACCCATCCAGACCCAGTACACAAGGAGCCAAACATCTACACCTGGCAGCCTCTGGAACTGTCCTGAGTGGAATGGCCCCCTGACTCCAAGGGGAATGCCCAGTTTCCCCCACACCCCCTTCCCTCTATGCATCCAGACAGCTGGCATAGTGTGGGAACAGAACAGGAGGCCATGTGAAGAGCTAATGTTTGTGGACACTTTCCACTCTAAAACATTTATTTGTATGTTCTCTAACTTCCTTCACTAAAGACCTCAGATTTCATGGCATAAACCCTCCTGGCTCTTCACACAGACCAGCACACGTGTGTAGAATACACACCTGTCCCTTGCACGTGACTTACCTTTGTGCTAAAAATGGGCTCCGGCAGACAGTAGCCACTCATGACGTTGGTTAGGTTTTCTAGGACATTGTGGAAAACCTGGTGCAGTTTCTCTCCCATGATGGGTAGAGTTTGCTGGGAAGGGAGCTTTCCTGTGAATGGCTTGGCCTGAGGAGACACAAGAAGAACCAGAGGTCAAGGACACCTGCCTCTTGAGAGAGACAAGAGAAACAGAGGAGGGAGGCAGATCTACCAGTACAGTGCACAATCTAATTAGGATGATGCCTGAGGGGAAAAGAACAAAACCGCCTATAAGAACATATATTGGAAAGTCAAAATTGCTAAAATCCCACTTCATGTGGGTTTCCCAAACCTCCTCCATTGCAAATGCCATAGTCTATTGTTATACACTCCTAGTCATTTTGAGGAAGTAAGATCCTTTTGTTTTGCTCTGCTTTCTAATCAAAATTATTTCCCTTGTTTTCCTTATTTATTTTAGGTCTTTACTGAATCCCAAAGATAAACAACTAGCAGGATGGAAATTTATGAAATTCTCATGCAAAGGTCCCAGCTTTTTGTAAATCATAAACATTTGTCCTTAGAGAACAACAACAACAATAACAACAAGCCCACCCTCAAGGGGCAACCTTGACCCCAGGAGCCTGTTTATTTATTTATTCATTCTACAAATGTCCACCAAACACCTATTATGTGCAGCCCTGGGGCCCAGGAGCTTTAGGATGAGCTACTCTTCTGGCCCAGAACCCTCAGCTCCCTGCCCCCTCCCCTGTCCCAACCCTGTGGGCTCATCCCGTCCTTCGAGATGAACTGGAGGGTCTCCTTCTCCACAATCTGGTGCTGGCTTCTCCTGCTGGGCACCCACGGGGGGAGGGGTGCAAGGGCAGCCCCTCTTACTGCACTTACAGCGCCAAAGGACAATCTTGTAGGCAAACATGAACCAGCAACCAGGGACTGGTGGCTGGGCCCTGCCTCCTGAACCTGGCATGGGAAATGGCTGCTGAAAGGAATCGCATACAGGCACACACACCTTTCTGGTGATCTGAAAAGGCTCAGTCTATTTCTGACTTTGGGAACCCACTACAGAGAATACTGAAAAAAATGAGAAGGAAACTGACAGAATATTCTGGGAAAAAAGAGGCGATCTGGTTCCTTTCTAAATGCTCCCCACTCTGGGCACAAGTACTAGCTATTACAGAAAAAAAAACACAATATAGGCACGAATGAGTAGCTACCTCTTCATGCCTTGCTTAGGAGGGTGTAAACATTCATGTATTCAGCAAGACCTGCTTTCTTCTGAGGACCCTGTATGCCCCACGCACTGTGCTAGGCACGAAGAATACAGCGATGAACAAGAAAGTAGTCCTTGACCTCAGAACTCCCAGTTTCATGGGAAAACTTAACAATTAATTATAAGAATCTAAATTGGAGATCGCCCTGGAGCTTGACTTCAGGGCCATACATATTACTGATACTCTGGTACCCCCTACCGCTGGTTCCAAGGACAGGCTACTGCCCCCACAGCACCCGAACCCCTGTAACTATGTGCCTGCCCTGTTTTAGGAACTGGGCATCCAGCAGGGGCGAGAACGACAAAACACACTGGTCTCTTCTGCTTCCCACTTAGCGAATGCCCAAAATTATACCAAAGGGACAATCAGTGAGACACCTTGTCTGTCTCATCATGAATGACAGTACCAGGGAGAGAAGGGTAGCAGGGCAGGAGGCTGGGACTGCAAGGTCAGGTGTGTGTGTGTGTGTGCCATTTTGTAAAGGGTGGTCATAAAAGGGGCCTAAGGGGATGAGGCATCTCTACATGATACGCTAACCTGAATGAGTTCCTGGATTTGGGCAAAAACTACAGGAATCATACAGTTAGTGTCCTAACACTAATTTTGAAAGTTAGGTTAATAAGGTGTAATTTAGGGGTGCCTGGGTGGCTCAGTGGGTTAAGCCTCTGCCTTTGGCTCAGGTCATGATCTCAGGGTCCTGGGATCGAGCCCCACACTGGGCTCTCTGCTCAGCAAGGGGCCTGCTTCTCCCCTACCCCCACCCTGCGGCCTGCCTCTCTGGCTACTTGTGATCTCTCTCTCTGTCAAATAAATAAATAAAATCTTTAAAAAAATACATTTAAAAGTGTTCTAAAAGTCTCTAGAAACGGGTGGCAGTATTGGTCGCACAAGAGTGTGAATGCGCTTAATGGCACCGATCTGCACTTCCAAACAGTTCAAATGCTGAATTTTGCATTGTTTCTCTTACCATTTAAACATGACCACTAAGGAGATCTGAATAATATATGGACATCAGTGAGTAATAACGTATCAATATTGCTTCATTCATTATAACAGTATTAGCTACTCCTTGTAATTATATGCTAATAACTCCATATTACAGTATGCAGCCTGAGTTTTACTCTGGGTGGGCTGGTGAGCTGCAGGTGGGAGGGGTGTGAGCAAAGGGTAGGCGGGCTTCTGTACCCATCACACTGGCTTCTGAGGGCTCACAGAGGCAGGACAAGAGCTGGGAGCGTTCAGCCAGCTCCGCTCCCAGAAGTGGCAAAACAGTGAGCACTCCTGAGCCAGCCAGGGCAGCTGCGCTGGGGTGCAGCGTACCGGGTGCACTTTGGAAGGGTCATCGAGCTCCAGCCTGGCCACCACACAGCCTGCTTCCAGCGCGGCCCCCGGGCGCTCAATGTATTTGATCCGGCCACTCTCCTGCACGTTCAGGGTCATGATCATCTTCATTACCTGTTATGCAGGAAGGAAAAATAAGATGAGCCCACCGGGACTGGCTTGTGTGTGTGACAGCACCAGAGTCATCAGAACTAGGACTCTGAAGCAGCCGGTGCTTGGTCATTTAAACACAATGATTCCCTGGGCAGAGTTCAAGTGTAAAGGACGGAGGGAACTTGCATTTGCCAGAAGCCTGCTGTGTGCCAGGCTCAGGGCTGTTCATGAATGATCTCCACCTGCAAAGCCAGCGAGGGAGGCAGGTTATTTATTGTACCCATTGTACAGACATGGAAACTGATCTGTATTTGTAAAGTAAAGCCCCTCTCTTAGAAATACTGTTAAATCACATGTGGGGGTGCTTCAGACACACATTCCTAAAACATGGTACATTTTGTGACCAGCTCTTTTTTAAAAGGCAGTGAGAAAACCCTCTGGGGAACCTCTGGTGAAATAAGAATGTGCTCCCTCTAGGGTCGCCAGCCCCTTTAACTGGCCTCTCCAGGCAGGAGTCCACGTGCGTGGACATGATGCATTTTGTTACTGTGGTGTGGGCTGCAGACACTCAGCATCGTGCTCCTTTTGCTCAGCAGGTCACAGCTTGGGCACCTATGACAGGCCTGGGCTGGAACCCCAGCACCCACCCTTCACTCTGTGACCTCCAGCAGATGCCTTCCCCTCTCTGAACCTCAGTTTCCCCAACTACCGAATGGGGAAGAATGACCATCTCACCTCATAGTGCTCTTATAAGGGCCACTCAGGAGGAACCTGGTGCATGGCAGGAGGCCGGCTAGCATGAGCTCCTACTTCCGCCCAACTTGCACTGTCATCGTCATTTTCATTGTTACTGACCTTGGCGGCATAGAACGGAGGCCCGGTGTGAACCCTAGCTCTGGGGGACCTTGCATTCCGTAGCCTGCCTGGGCCCCATTTCTTTGTGTGTGAAATGGGGATCCTATCTGTGCCCATCTGCTATGATTGCTGGGAATATGACAGAAGGTAATTAAACAGGTAAAATGCCTAGACTAGCACCTGCCACGTGGCAAGCACTGTGTTAAGTGTTGCCTTACAGCTTTTGAAATCACCGCCATGGTTATTATTAACCCGTCCTTCCTCACTCGCACGGAGGTGTACACTTTTGAGGTTTTTCCCTTTGGATACTGCAGAAAATTGGAGCTGAACCCCATGCCCCGACTCTCTGAGGAATCGACAGATGGTAGCCCAGGGGAGAGGTGAGGCCAGCTGGCCCGGGGTGCAGGGGTGCAGGTGCAATGCGGGATGGTCCCTCCTTGGGGAGCGGGGTGAAGGGGAGGCCTGGCTACAGCCCCAACCTGAGGGCCGGCTCTGTACTCACCTCCATGTCGGCGTAGCTGCTCCCAGCCTCAACATGGCCCCCGTCTTCCACTGTGTACTGTATTAGCTTCCCAGCCGAAGGGGCCCTCAGGACCGTGGGATCGTTCTCCTTCTCAAACACGCAAGTCTTGTTGCCGATGGTAATACGGTAACTGGGAGACAGAAGGGGCGGGTGGGTAGCTGGGGGAAGACCATCAACCCAGAGTGCCCATGTCTGGCTTTTGACAACGTTGTCCCCTTCCTGACGGCAGCCCAGAGTGTCCCCCTCCCCCCACCATGTGTGGTCTGCGGGATTCCACTCACCCTGATGCTAGCATCTGACATTACCACAAAGATACTGGGAATGAGTGGGATGTGCAAAGGGTATGACCCTTTTCTGGCTGAAAACCAGTTCCTTTTCCTGATACAATTCTAAGAGGCTCAGAGAAAGCCACTGATATTCTCCAAGAAATATTTACTGACTCTAAGGCTTCACCTTATAACTGAACTGGCCAGAGTACGTCCCAGGAGGTGGGGGGTTTGGGGGGAAGTCTATGATAATCTTGAATATTCTTGGCAGACAGAACATGGTTAAAAAGAGGTAATATAACAGTGCTCTGGTTGGCATGAATCCAGTCTGCCTTCTTTCAAAACTTCGAGGATTGGGAAGGGAGACAATTCTCTAAGTGGAGCTTTCCAGGCATGGGGCCTGTGGTGCAAACCACCCCCCTCCCCACCATCCCCCAACCCTGGCCTGATTCTCCTGGGCTGGAGGGGCAGAGGAAGTCTTGGCTGCCCACTCAGCCCGGCTGGACTACACTTCACTGTACAAGTTCAAGTGTGGTCAAGTGCACTGCAAAGGGAGGGGCTCTGGGGGAGAGCTCATGATGCCTCCGTGCTAAGTACTTCCTGCACTTATGCATCCTGCATTTCGCTTATCCAGGTGCACAGTGATCAGTCCTGCTCCTTCTGCTTGCTCGATATGTCATGTTCACCAGCAGGCTCCATGAGTCATGACCGTGGTCTTATCCCAAAACCTTGTCCTGTGCCCGGTACATCCAGCCCTAACTGGAAGGCTGCCTCTCCTCCAAGCCTGAGCTCAGACGACTGTGGGCGCTGCAGCTCAGACAAGGAGCAGCTGACACGCTGTCGTACACCTTGCAGGCCCTGGACTTGGGAGTCACGGCCCATTTGGCTCTGGACCCTCCCACATTACCAGAAGCAGGCCTCTTGGGAACCTTCCGAGTACGTCTGCCAGCTTTGAGGTTGTCCAGCCAAGAGACTGTCCTCTCCAGGGGCCCCAGAATCTACTGGGGAAGGTATTTTTCTAAGACCCTTGGGCTGCACAGAGCTGGCTTTATATCTTTGAGCCCCGTGAGAAAGCGTGGCTCTGCGTCATGCCCCTCGCCCCGCCCCCTACATACCTGTCAAACTCTTCTTTCATGTAGGTAGTATAGCTGTTACCATTATAGGACAGCAGCAGCCCCCCGTCGCTTAGCCGGTGGGCATCGATCTCGATATGACAGTCGTTCATGATGAGGATGAACATGGTCAGAGATTGCCGGGCCACCTGTGGGGACAGGTTCAGTGTCCCTGCCTGAAACCAGGAGACGTGCTTGTCCCTGGGCCCCAGGGCACCGTCTGCCCCCACACTACCACCACCAGGAGCAAGGGCTACGGTCCATGGTGGAGTGTACCCTCGGGGAGCAGCTGATGGGACCACAGTCAGCGTGCTGCACCTGTCCCACAGCAGGGCTAGTGGCCACCGTCTGTGGGTGCAGCCCAGCCTGGTCATCTCCTGCCAATCACATGCCCTTCTCATTCCTGCCTTTACGCATCAGCCCCAAGCAGGGCCCCCAGGAGCAGCAGGGAAGGTGCAGGGGTTGGGGTGGGATCTCACCTTGGATGAGACAGCCCTGGAGACTCCACCAGTGACCAGGACTCTGCCCCCCCAGCCCAGCTCTGCCAAGGGGCACACAAGACCTTTGGGACCCTCAAGAGAGGCCAGGTGGCCAGGCCCTGGCCTCGGCTCTGCATTTCGATCTGACATACTAGCCCTGGATTCATTCTGGGTGCTCTCTCTCAGAAAACAGATAGCCCTAAAGAGCCCTCGACCTCTAAGATACATATGTTGAGAGGAAAGGTCCCAAGAAACAGAGGAATGTTTATTGCAACATTATTCATGGTAACAGTAAGACTGAGACACAAACTAGCTATTCAGCAACCTTGCAATGGAATGCTCTGGACCCCCACTGTCAAATAGAGCTAGGCTGGCTATTTACATGTAAATTAATTTAACTTAAATAATGTATAGAATTCAGTTCCTCAGTGCTCAGTAGCCCCCCGTGGCCACACTGGAAAGCACAGATACAGCACATTTCCGTTCCTACGGAAAGTTCCATTGGGCCGTTGGCTCTAGACACCAAACTGATATTAAGAAAACTGTTTAGGGGCGCCTGGGTGGCTCAGTGGGTTAAAGCCTCTGCCTTCGGCTCAGGTCATGGTCCCGGGGTCCTGGGATCGAGCCCCGCATCGGGCTCTCTGCTCAGCAGGGAGCCCGCTTCCTCCTCTCTCTCTGCCTGTCTCTCTACCTACTTGTGATCTCTATCTGTCAAATGAATAAGTAAAAAAACAAAAAAAAAAATCTTAAAAAAAAAAAAAAAAAAAAGAAAACTGTTTAATAACATGGGAAAACTTCAGGCCATGATAATATCAAAGCAGTAAAACAGTATTTGCACCAGGATCTCAACTTTGCAAAGTCTGTGCTGAAACGTTCATGGGGGTTCCCTCGATGTTTTATGCTTTTTTTGAAAATTTAAAATTTTATACAGTAAGCATGTGTCACATTTAAAATCCTGCTGGGGGAACCAGGCCCCCTAAATAGTCAGGAAGCATGGATGGGTAAAGAGGAGTGGTTTCAGAGCAGGGCCTCATGGAGAACATACTTGTTTGACTACATCGGCCCTGAAAATCCCCAAAGCTGGAAGGGTAACACGTGCTCAGTCATCTTAAAAATAAAGTAACAGAACAAAAAAATTCTGCCTCAAAGGCAGACTTGAGTTCTATGTTATCTTTTCCCTCCCAAGAAGGAGGCCTTAGCTTCTTGGGGACACTTGGCCCCCACGGGTCACCCTGACCTGGACCCAGGGTCTGATCCTGTGCCCACACATCTCAGACACGCTGATATTCTCTCTGAAATGACCTCAGATGCCCCAGGAAGGGTAATGGGATTCTTCTGACAGAGCACAGCAGCACCAAGTAAACCGCCCGGGAAACCCAAGGTGGACCAGGGAGAGATCCGAAAGCCATACGTTGACCTTTGGTGCAGACACACAGGACACAGCTGGCCTCATGGCCCCTGGAAATGGAGTCACACACTATGCCGGCTCAGCAAAGGTCCTGCTCATGCTTGGTACTGAACTGGATACTGTGCCCCCAAATTCATGTCCTTCCGGGCACCTGGGCATGTGACTTTATTTGGAAATAGTGTCTTTGCACATGGAGTTAGTTAGATGAGGTCATCCTGAAAGAGGGCGGGCTCTAAATCCTGTATGAGCGGTGTTCTTCAGAGCAGAGACACACAGAGGAAGACAATGTACACAAACACACACAGACACACACACAGAGAGAAAAGGTGGCCATATGAAGCCAGAGGCATAGCTTGGAGTGACGGTCTACCAGCCACGAACACCAAGGTCGGCCCCACAACCACCAGGAGCTAGGAAAGCATGAAACAGATTCTTTCCTGGAGACTTCAAAGGGCCCAGCTGACACCTTAATTTTAGACTCTGGCCTCTAGACTCGGAGAGAACACACTTCTGTTGCCTGAAGCCACCGGCTCATGGTTCCCTGTTACTCAGCCCCAGAACCCAAATACACAGTCCCCTGTACACCGTGTGTATTGCACAAGGCTACACATGCCCAAGCCCTAAGTGCTTAGGTTTCAAGGGCATGGGACTGCCTGGGGAGTCCCAGCACCCAAGCAGGAGCAAGTCCACTCCAGAAAGAAAAACTCCCATCAGCCTCCAAAATGCTGGAGACATCCGAGAAACCCAGGGTCTTCACCTTGAGGATGTACTTAACACCTCCATAAATTAATTCCACATCCACGATGTTCAGCAGAGAAGCTGCAGGAAGGACCTGGCCCCTGAAAGAAAAGAGACTTGCAGTCGGCTGTGGGAATGAACGAGAACACTAGGGCCACCCTCTGGATTTAAACTAATCACCCAGCTCTTTGCCTTGCCTAAACACCAACACATCTGGCTGTATTTAGAAAGCTAAATCCGATGGAAAGGCAAGGAATGTGACACTGCTCAGAACTTAAGGGAACAGCACTTGCTGAAGGGTGAGAAATTTCAAAAGGGCTTTCCAGGAAGCAAAATCCTTAATGCTCGTTCTGGGAAAAAATTCCCAATGTGGGAAGGAAGGCGACACAGGCATTGTGACTCTATTACTCTGCACAAGCATAACAACCCGCTCTAACATCTCTTGCCTTTCTAAAGTTGTTTTGGTAGCTTTATTTGCCTATCACAGTGTCTCTAGGGGTGATTTCTGCCTCTACCCCAGGACATTTGGCCATGTCTGGAGACATATTTGATTGTGGTGACTCCTGGTGGAGAGATGGGGGACTCCTGCTAACTTCCCACAGTGCACAGGAGAGCCCCCACAATAAAAAAATCAGTCAAAAATGTCAAGGGTGGGGACGCCTGGGTGGCTCAGTTGGTTGGACGACTGCCTTCGGCTCGGGTCATGATCCCGGAGTCCCGGTATCGAGTCCCACATCGGGCTCCTAGCTCCATGGGGAGTCTGCTTCTCCCTCTGACCTTCTCCTTGCTCATGCTCTCTCTCACTGTCTCTCTCTCAAATAAATAAATAAAATCTTTAAAAAAAAAAAATGTCAAGGGTGCTGGGGCTGAGAAACATTGGCCCATCCTCATGGTGAGCCCGTGGCTGCTTCCACGCTGGTCCACTTCACTAGCCACGCCCGACTCAGGTGAGGGTCCGGAAGGAACATTTGCAGAGGTGACCCATCACCTGCTTTGCTTCTCAATTCACCTCCTCTCTGAACTCAAGTGCTATGAAGTACCTTACACAAGTCAGCATGACTAAGACTACAGCCATGTGCCTGGGGCTGGCTGCCTTGAGACCCCCCCGCCCACCAACGGCCTCCTCTCCTGCAGCCTTGGTTCACAGGAGAGGAATTTCAGAGGCAAGCACAGAGGCGGGATTCCCTAATTGCCTGCTGCCTGATTGTCTGCCTTACTTGCCACTAACACACATCCCGTGGAGGAGGGAGTGAATTACCCCTGCACCCTACCTTTCCAGCGAGTGTAAGAAATCCGTCATGCAAGTTCTGAACATCGAGTCGGCCACGTTCAAGGCCCCGCACACCACCCCGAGCATGATATCTGGTTTCTCAGCCTAGAAGAGACTCCGCCCTTCAGTGTCAGTGGTGACCAAGCCCACGGGGAGCCCGGAAGTGGGGCGGGGGTGGGGGGCCTCCGTGACCCTGAGGGCAGTACAGGGAAGCTCCCCCACCTGCACTTTCTCAGCAATGAGGTGATCCAACCAGCCAGTGTCGATGTCATTGTTCTGGTAGTGCTCAGTCTCCAGCAGGTTAATGAGATACTCCACGGTGGTCCTGAAGTCGCCCCGGATGGACAGTTCCTTCAAAGCCACCACCATGTTCCTTGAGGGGAAAGGCACATGGATCATTTTCCAAATTAACATACATGTCGGCAGAGCTCCTGCCTGGCTCTCAGAGAGCCCAGAAGAGCACAGTTGAGAGAGGGGCCTGAGTCCAGCAGCCCAGGTGTCCATCTCGGCTCCAGCATTTACTGGTCAGGCCATCTTGGGCAAGTGACTTAATCACTCTGGGCCTCAGTTTCCTCATCTGGAAAATGGGGAAATAACCCTGACTTCACACAGGTGCTGGGAGAATTAAAATGAGACAATCCATATAAAGCACATAGTCTCCACTAAATAAGGTCAGCCATTATGAACACGATGAATGGCCGTGATTATGATTCTTATTAACCACAGCCAGTTGCTCTGCCTCCCTGCAGCTGGACCTCTTCAAATCCCCATGTCCCAGAGCAGGTGCTACCCCCCACCGCCCTGGGCAGTCCACACAGCTGCTCTTCGGGGTATGCACGAGGTGTGTCTAACAGAAGGCCAATGCTGTTACCCCACCCAGGGTGTGGCAGTCACCTGTCTGCATGTGCTCAGTTGGTTACCACCTCCCATTTCCCAGAGGGATGGCCTCTCCCCAAAGAGGGCTCCAGCCCGAAGGGCTGAAGCCCCCACTCCCTAGGAAATCACAGGGAGACTGTACCAGAGAAAGAAGGGGCACTAGAACAATTCTCCTCCTGGGAGAGGAGAGCTTTTATACCTGTCATGGCATTCCCATGTGCATTCAGCAGGCGTGGCAAAGGGGTAAGAACAACCCCAATTTGGGGCCAGGGAAAGAAAGATGCACTGAGGTCAAATGAGCTCATCAGTAGTCAGAGGAAAGTCAGGTGCGGGCCCGGAGTCTGCAGGTAAGCATCAAGCCGTTGGGCTCAAGAGTGACCAACTTGTTCCAATTTGCTCAGGATGTGCCCAGTTTTAGCAATGAGAAATCCTAAATCCTGGGATGCCCTCAGTCCTGGGGAAGGGGACACAGCTGGTCCCCCTATTAGACCGTATTAGCGGCCCCTCGGTGGCTCAGCTGGTTAAGCAGCCAACAAGATTTCTGCTCAGGTCATGATCTCAGGGTCATGAGAGCCCCTGCGTTAGGCTCTGTGCTCAGTGGGAAGTTTGCTTAAGGTTCTCTCTCTTCCTCTCCCCCTGCTCCTCCCCACTAGTGCTGTCTCTCTCAAAGAAATAACAACAGAATTTTTCCCTCTGAATTCTTAAGTCCATAGGCCTATGACCAACATAGGACAAGCCATAGGCTGTTTCCATCAGAGATCAGAATGGGCCGGACTGACTGGCCTCCCTCCCCTTTCAATTTTTCACTCAGCCTGATTAAAACTGATTGCATGGGGGCACCTGGGTGGCTCAGTGGGTTAAAGCCTCTGCCTTCAGCTCAGGTCATGATCCCAGGGTCCTGCAGGGAACCTGCTTCCTCCTCTCTCTCTGCCTACTTGTGATCTCTGTCTGTCAAATAAATAAATAAAATCTTTAAAAAAAAAAAAAACAAAAAACTGATTGCATGAAGCTAGCAAAGAAAGCCACTCATCAAAATCACCAAACTCAATTTAAATCACGACTAAGTACCCTGGGCTAGATAGATTTCAATGTTTTTTTATTATGTTTTAAGTTTATTTAAAAAAATTAAAATTTTTTTTTCTTTTTTTTTTTTTTTTTTTTTTTAACAGAGAAAGGGGAAGGGAGAGAGGGAGAGAGAGAGAGAGAGTGAGGGGGCCAGGGGAGGGAAAATCCTAAACAGGCTCCATGCTCAGCAAGGAACCCTAAGTGGGGCTTGATCTCACGACCCTGAGATCATGAACTGAGCCAAAATCAAGACAGACACTTAACCAACTAAGCCGGCCAGGTGTCCCTAAAGATTTTATTTTAGAGTCAGCTTTACACCCAATGTGGGGTTTGAACTTACAATGCTGAGATCAAGAGCTTTGTGCTCTACCCATTGAGCCAGCTAGGAGCCCCAATTATAATGCTTTTTAAACAAAACATCCACAAAGTCTTTGGGGATTTTTCACTCTAAACACGAGAATGTTTAAACACAAGAATGTTTAATTACAAATTGAGCTGGGTTTTGCGTTTCTGCGCTCAGGGCAAGGCAGGAGAAACAGGAGATGTGGGTGTTTTGGGATTCAGGAACCCCTTTGTCAATGTGGGTTTCTCCAGGACCTACTTATAAGGTTTAAATTTAAAGAAGTACCCCCACACCCCTTTTTCTTAAAAAGCTCTAGTACTTGGCACCTTTTAAATTTTGGAATCCCCTTGGAATCCCCTTTTGGAATCTCTCCCAAGTGCGACCCATAATGACCTCAAGACCAAATGACCTTGGTGAGCTCGTAAGCAGATTTGAGCTCACAGATCTCAGATACAGGAAGAGGGGAGACTTCGCCCTTGGACTTCAGCAAAGGTCACTGAAGATAGGGTCTGCTCTGTGATTCACTCCTTTACCTCCTAAAGTATTGCTGTTTCTGAAGCCCCAGGCTTTTAGCTTCTGCAAGGAAGGAGGGAAAAGAGGAGGGGTGCAGGGAGATACTAACGAAATGGCCTCTTCCCGGTTCTCTCCCCAGGAGAAGCAGTGCCCAAACTGGGAGTCAGCAAATTCATGTAAGCCGCCAGCAGCCGCCACGCTGAAATAACCCCAGACGTTCTTGCTGCTCCGGAAATTCAGTTCCTGAACCGTTCCGGAGCTTGGCTTAAACCCCTGGAGTGAGGAAAGCAAAAGCAAAATGGGAGGCGGGGGTCATCACTCCAGATATATTTGCATCAGAATTAAATCCTAGACAAACCCAGAACCTCCACCACAAGTCACAGCTTAGTGTGATCAATAGAACGTTGATCTCTCCCACTAGCAGTGTGGGTGTACCCATGTCAAGATGTTCATGCATAAATGTAATTTTTACTTTAAAAAAATCTGATTCTCTCTTGCTGTCTCTGTCTCTCTCTAATAAATAAATAAAATCTTAAAAAAGTGGGGGGGGCATCTGGGTGGCTCATTCGGTTAAGCTGCTGCCTTTAGCCCAGGTCATGATCCCAGGGTCTAGGGATCGAGCCCCACACGGTCTCCTTTAGCCCAGGTCATGATCCCAGGGTCTAGGGATCGAGCCCCACACGGTCTCCTTGCTCAGCAGGGAGCCTGCTTCACCTTCTCCTCCCCACTCCTGCTCTCTCTTATCTCTGTCTTTCTCTCTCAAAGAATTAAATAAAATCTTAAAAAAAAAAACTATGAAAATAATCATGTTGGGATAGGGGAGAAGGTACAGGCACAATAGGGGAACACTGTTCACTGATGGAACTGAGTGAAAGTTCATTCTGGTTTTATAAACTTGACATTGTCAGTCATGAAAAGTTTAAATGAAAGAGAAGAGGGGATGGATTTCGAATTCCGGGATTATGAAAATGCCAGCAGGTAAAGAAATGTGATGCGAACACACATCTAATTTGCTTATGGGATGTGGGGGTGGTGCAGAAGGCCCATGCCCCTGAGTATAATTTTGGTAAGGGTGGGTGGACGTGGACCCTCTCACTGGAATTAAGGCTCTTGACCTGTGTAATGGAGGCATCCGTTCTGAGAGACGGAGAATTGCAGGTGCCCGGGCTATCTCCACTCTGAGTCCTCCACCCTCCCAGGCACTGTAAACAAGCCATCATCCCCCTAAAGAATTCCCATTTCACTTGTCCCCCAGCAGAGTCCATTGTTTGCAGCCAAAGATGCCGAGCTGTTACTGCTACCATAGCTTACAATTCTTTAATTAAAAGGCGGGCAGGGGAGACAAACCTCTCTTATCCCAAGTTTCTTGAATGTAATCATTAAACAATGAGGTTGTGGTAGTCTATGCAGCTGATGTGACAGTCAACCACAAACAAGCACATCAAGTGTAACAGATGCCGCTGGCTGGTTTTTGAAGGCACAGAGAAGAACAAGTCACAAAGGAACTCCTTACAAGGGACCAGACTCCATCTCTGGTGCAGCAAAGAGGACAGGGGTGGGGGCAGGAAACCAAGGACCTGGGTTCAAAAGCTGGCTGCTTGTCCCAAAGATGGATGTGGCCCAGAGGGTCCAGCCCTGGGGCTCCGTCATAGCCTCAGCAGATCCCAGGCACAAGGCAAGACCCCAGCCTCTGAAGCTATAGCACAGGGAAAACTATGCCTCGCAGTGGCACTGTCCTGTACGTGAGCAACGAGATGCCGGACGGGACCTGCCCCTGTGCCGGGCACATCCTTCCTACCAAGAAGCCACTGCCTTCCCACGGTACAGTTCCCTTGTCTGTCCTCCCGGAAACCTGGGCATCTCATTCAAAGCTAGCGTTCAGGGTCGGCCCCACCCTGGGAGCCTGGAGGTGGCAGGCGCAGGGGGACACCCTAACTTGCCTCATCAGGGTTCTCACTGGTGATTCTGGCCGCGATGACATGGCCTCGGGCGAGCGGAGGGTTGGCAGGAGTGTCAAACGAAATGGGCGTCACACCCCATGGCGACTCTCCATACAGAAGCCGGATATCCTTCAGCCGGTGCAATGGCACCCCCATGGCAATCTGAAACGAAGAAATGCACCCCACAGACGGTCAGTACCCACTAGCACCCAGGCCCCCAAACACTGAATGCATAGCTAGACGCCACGGAGGAAGAGGTGCAGGAAATATCTCCGGGATCCCGAGCACCTGTGGGCCAGCAGACACTGGGCCACGTGGTGGCAGGAGAAGCACAGCAAGAGAAAGAAGGGGCACCGGGGTGGCTCAGCCAGTTAAGCGTCTGCCTTCAGCTCAGGTCATGATCTTAGCATCCCTGGATCGAGCCCCAGGTCAGGCTCCTTGCTCAGTGGGGAGCCTGCTTCTCCCTCTGCCTCTGCCTACCACTCCTCCTGCTTGGGCTCTGTCTGTCAAATAAACTAAATCGTTAAAAAAAAAGAAAAGAAAAAGACAGAAGGTTTGACTCTGCCCCCAGGGAGCAAACAGTGTCGCTGGGAAAAGCAGCAACTTTCTATAAAACCACATCACGCGATAAGAAAATGCTGGCATCAGGGGCACCTGGGTGGCTCAGTGGGTTAAAGCCTCTGTCTTCTGCTCGGGTCATGATTCCAGGGTCCTGGGATCAAGCCCCGCATCGGGCTCTCTGCTCCGCGGAGGGCCTGCTTCCTCCTCTCTCTCTGCCTGCCTCCCTGCCTACTTGTGATCTCTCTCTCTGTCAAATGAATAAATAAAATCTTTAAAAAAAAAAAAAAAGTTAAGCCAAAAAAAAAGAAAAGATCACACAGACACACAAATAGAAAGAACACAAATGTGCTAGCGGTTAACAACCAGTAGGTCGAAGCACAGGGGATGGGTAGTAATTACTATCCTTGTAATTCCTTCTAAAATTTCCCAAGCTAAAAAAAAAAAAGAAAGAAAGAAAGAAAGACAAAATAGAAAAGAATAAAGACGATGATGGAGGGAGGGAGGAAAGGAAGCAAGGAGACATACACATTTTAAGCACTGGAGTTCCTATTCGTGCAGGAGTTCCCAACTCAGTACGGACAATACTGTCCCTTAAGGGGGTAAATCTGCTCCTGGGGATGAAACGATTCTACTCTTGTAGGTATCAGGCCCAGATATGTCTTCGGCAAAAGCATATACAGTATACCTGTGATATTAAAATTTTATAAGGGGAGAAATTAGGGGGGAAAAGTGTCTAAACAGGCTCCTTATGGGGGCAGGGATGAAAAAAGGTTGAGAAATACTTCTCTGGGTCTGTGAATGGAGAACAGGGGGGTCCATGAATGCCTAGAACTGTATAAAATATTTCCCTCCCAGGAAAAAATTCAACAGGTTTTTGCCCATGTCTCAAAGGGCCACACAGCCAGACAAAGGTGATGAACCACTCCATGGGAGGTTCTCGGGCTGTGTGGCTCTCGATGCCACTCACACGATAACACACTCACATCCCCGGGGACAGCCCGCCAAGAGGGGAGCAGGATGGGCTACTAAGGGCAGGACAGGGGATGCCAGCCCCTCTGGAAGAAATCCCGGGGCTCTGAGCCCAGGTCCTTGCCTGCAGCTGGGCAGCCGGCAGGTTGACGTCTGCGATCATCTCTGTGCAGGGGTGCTCCACTTGCAGGCGGGGATTCAGCTCCAAGAAGTGGAAACTGCCATCTTGGCTGTAGAGATATTCTACCGTCCCCGCGCTCACATAGCCCACAGTCTTGGCCAGGCGGACAGCACACTGCAAAGAAGACACAGAGCCTGAACGGCTGCCAGTGGTTTTCTAGGATCATCTTCACGGGGAGCTTCCTAGGTCCCCCACCAAATGCTGAGGATCTGCTGGGTATCCTTTGGGACCTCGGAGATCGCACTCCCTAGTAGGGCCCCTGGGTGTCTTCATGGACACCCACCCCATGTTAGCAAGACGGACTATAGGGCACTCTTGCTGGCTGGGCAGAGACAGTCTCTCCCTGCGGCTACCCCCACCCCTTCTCCGACCCGAGCCCTGCAGAGCCCACCTGCTCCATGAACTCGAACACAGCCGGTATGGCGATGGTGGCTGGTGCCTCCTCAATGATCTTCTGATGCCGCCGCTGGATGGAGCAGTCACGCCCAAACAGGGACACGGCGTTCCCATACTGGTCAGCAAGGATCTGGACCTCCAGATGTCGGGCATGCTCAGCCAGCTTCATGAGGAAGATGGGGGAGCCAGGGATCTCAGTCTGCACCTGGGGGGACAGCAGAGTGGTTCACTTTACCCTGGGAGACCAGGGCTGGAATGGGAAGCCCTCTGAAAATATGTCCATGATTTTGCTGATTGTTTAGCTTTGTTTCGCTTCTCTCGCAGACATGCCGTTCTCCTCGTTTGAAGTCCGACACTGTCAAAATACACCATGTGGCAGGCGGAATTTCCCCACAATCCCATCTCCTAGAGATAATGTGCTCTTAGGATTTGGGAGCATGCTGGGTAAGAGTTCAATGTCGTTAAGAGTTAATTGGTTAAGTTAATGTGCCGGTAGGAGCTGGGTACATACTGGTTTCTGCTGCACATTCAGGAACACACACAACACACAGAATGTTTTGTGAATAAAAATGGGACCAAAACATGCCACCCAGCAGGTCTCTTTTCCTCCTTCTTAAACAGTACTCTCTTGGCCAGCTGTCCATGGTGGAATCCACGTTTCAGACTTACATCTTCCTTTGGATGGCTAAAGGGCAATTGTCCAGAAATTCTTAATGATGATGTAAAAAAAAAAGTGTTCAAATGGGATGATTGCTAAGAATTTCTTTTAAAAAAAGTAAGCTGTAGGGGTGCCTGGGTGGCTCAGTCATTAAGCGTCTGCCTTCGGCTCAGGATCCCAGGGTGGGAAGCCTGCTTCTCCCTCTTCCACTCCCCCTGCCTGAGTTCTTGCTCTCACTCTGTCTCTCTGTCAAATAAATAAGTGAATAAAAATAAAAATAAAAAGCAGGCTGTAGTAATATATGGGATGGCCCCGCTTATATGAAAAATAATAAAATAGAGCTGTTATGAATGTCTACATAAAAGTAGACACAGAGGTGCCTGGTTGGCTCAGTCGGCACAGCATGCGACTCTTGATCTCGGGGTTGTAAGTTCAAGCCCCACATGGGGTGTAGGGACTACTCTAAAGAATATTAAAAATCTGGAGGCATCTGGGTGGCTCAGTGGGTTAAGCCTCTGCCTTTGGCCTAGGTCATGATCTCAGAGTCCTGGGATCAAGCCCCGCATCAGGCTCTCTGCTCAGCTTTTAAAAACTAATCTGCTAATCTTAAAAATCTTAAAACTAAACTGCTAATCTTTTAAAAACTTCTTTAAAAAATTGGTTACATCTGGGAAGGGGGAGGAGTTCAGAGGTGGTGGTGAAAAGAGAATGTTCCTTTTTTATGCTTAACCTATCCCTAAAGTGTTTGAACGTTCGTGTAAGAACATTTTCATACTGCGCTCACGTAATCAAAAGAAACATGCTCGTGCGCGTGTGGGGGCAGTGAGTATACGGGCCTCCTGTATTTTCCACTCTCTTTTGCTGTGAATTGAAAATGGCCCTAAAAAGTAATATCTACTTTAAAGAAAGGAGGGGGGAAAAAGATTTAAAACCTACATGACCCCTAAATGTAATAGAGGATCCAGGACTGGATCCTGACACAGAAATAAGAGATTAGTGGGGGAAACTGGTGAGATCTGAGTCCAGTCTGGAGTTAACTTAATAGAAATGTATCTCTGTTAATCTGTTGGTTGTGACAAACATGGCAGAGCTAACAAAGACGTGAACAATGGGAAACCAAGGGGAGATGGAGACTGCATGCTACTTCTGCAACTTTCAAGTAAACAGAACGTCTTCTCGCAAAGTACCCCAGAAACCTATCCAGCCCAGGGGAGACACGTGATAGAGAAACCACAACTTTATAGAACACTCATATACTGCCCACATCTGTTTAACTGGCAAACCTTTTTAGAAAGCAATTTATTGACATGTTTTTGTAAGTGCACATGCATGTTATTTAACTAAGTCCTTGGCACAGAGTTTTTACCCAAGAAAACAATTCAGGAGGAAAAAGAAAAAGCATTATTTATGTTCCATGTTATTGTATAACGCATTATAATATACAATATACAATATAATACATATTGTATAATATGTATTATAAATATTATATATTATTATGAAACATATTGAATTATAGTAGCCTTACTCATAACAACAGAAATGGAAACAAGCATAACATTTCACAAAAAAATGTGATCTTCCTTGATAAGGAAGACTACAGACACATAGGGATGTTACACAATCATCAAAATAATTGTAAAGACTGGAACAACATGGAACACCTGTCTGTGATCTCCAGTTTAGAATTTTTTTGAAACATAGAACAAAACACCATGGAAAACGAATGCAGCTCTTTAAAACACACATGTGAACAGAGTCTAGAAGAAAGCCTAGAAATTCTAAAATAGTTGCATTAAGAATGGGAAGATCGTTAGCCTACCTTTTTTAAAAAACATTACCAATGGGCAACTAAAACAGGTATAAAGTCTTAAAAGTGAAAAGCCAGCTACAAGTCAGTAAATACACGGTTCATTCCTAGAACAAAAGTCAATCACCTAGAGATGTTAAAAATACCAAGGCTACTAAAATTGACAAAATGTCCCCTCTTCCAACAGACATAAATATAGTCACAAACAGATAGATACTCTAGCCCTGTATCTCTGAAATCATTTAAAGTCACATGCATTCACAGGATAGAACATCCAAGGAAATGGGTACGGATCAACCCAAACCAGGGACTTCTGGGAGAAAACATACACATTTGCTTCAGCCCACAGCCCAGCAATATTCCAGTTCCTGAAAGTGTCTTCCTTGTTTCCGACACAGTAATGCTAATGAAAATCATCTGGTGGTCAACAACTAAACACACACAGTTCCCCAAAGATATATGGAAAAGTGCTCCGAAAGAAGAGCTCACTTGTCTGAAAAGGACTGGGAAGTCCTCGGCACTCTCTGCCTTCCGGATTCCTTTCCCTCCGCCGCCTTCAGATGCTTTGATCATCAAGGGAAAACCAATTTTTCCTGCCACCTGGGGGTGAAGGACAAACAGACCTCTTTAGAAGGTGGGCAGTTTCCAAGCTACTGGGACAATGATAATGTTCCAGCATCTTGGCCCCCCAAACCTTGTATTTACCTCTAAGCCCTCATCTATATCTTTCACACAACCCTGGTTGTAAACATCTTCTGGGACAGTGATTCTTTTCCCCTGCTGCAGATCACCTTCTGCCCATTCCACCATCAGACCTAGAGAACCACAAAAAAAAAAAAAAAAAAAAAGCTGAATCCTCCCAAGGATGGCAGAGATACACAACACAGAAACCATAGGGCCATCCCTCACCAAAGCCTCTCTAGACCTGGGCGCTGGACCAACCATATACAGACATGGTCTTTTAATTATCCCACAATGGCTTTTAATTTTCTTTAGGGCTAACTCAACCTTGAATGGGAAATCAAACTTAAGAAATTCAGACTGAGCCTACCACAAACAACCACATCAACCTGAACTCAAAAAAATTCCAATTCTACCCACTGGTGTCATCTATATGTAAATCACCGTTTTCTAAAACCCTGTGAAGATTTAAAACAAATAAACTTTCCATTCTGAATTTAAAATTTCATCTTTGGATGAAAAAAATCAAATTGGATAGGAAACGCCCAAGACTTTTTCCTGTTTTCAATTTATCCTAGAAATTCCACTTTTCAGAATTTATCCTAAGGAAATGATTAAAAAATACATAGAGATATAGCTAATAGACTATCAAGACTCTATTACTTTTAGTATTTTTTTTGAAAGATCTTATTTATTTATCTGAGAAAGAGAGAGAGAGCAAGCATGGGAGGGTGGGGGGCAGAGGGAGAAGGAGAAGCAGACTCCCCTCTGAACATAGAGCCCAAGGAGGGGCTCAATCCCAGGACCCTGAGATCATGACCCATGCCAAAGTCAGATACTTAATCAACTAAGCCACCCAGGTACCCCTACTTCTAGTATTTTTTAAAAATTAGAGTAAAACAGCCTGGAAACAACCTAAACATCTAACCATAGAGGACTGTTAAATAAATTACAATATCTCTATTTGATAAAATCCTATGCGGACATTTAAAATGTTCTAAAGTGTATTTATTGACATAGAAGGGTTAGTGAGAAAAAATAAGTCACAAATGATAGTAAATATAAGATCTCTGGATTTTTAAAGGATGCGCCTAGGAAAAAAAGACTGAAAAGGTAAAGCACCTAGAATATAACAAATGTTCAACACCAGGCCATAGGATTATGGATGATTTCTATTTCATTTTCTTTTTTTTTTTGGAATTCTGTGTTTTCTAAGCTATCTACAATGAAACTATACTACCGCTTTAATAATTTTAAAATTTAAAATAATAATAATTTTATAATTTTTTAATGAAAGAACAAAAAATGCATACACCTGTCACCCCCTCTGCTCAGACTGGGTGGAAGAGATACCCCCGCAAAGTGAAGCTCAGGCCACTCACCGCTTCCGCTCCAGGGCAATGTTGGGATCTGCAGTGTCTGGGCCACAATGGTGGAGGCGATCTTATCTCCCAAAGCCCACATGGCCTCACTTGGAGGGCCTGAGGAATCAGGGACAAAGGGGGAAGGCAGAATAGAGTTAGTCACAAGCCACTTGCAGTCAAGTGCCAGCCAAATGCGCAAAGAAAAGTGCTCAGGTCCTAGCTCTCCAGCAAGTGAACAACAAGTTGGGGAAGGGAAAAATCTGGTATCTGCTCCTTCATCAGATGTGGAAGGAGTCTGCTGTTTTTATGTGGATTGTAAACCTTGTCGGAGTTATAACCGAAGCTACGTGGCCCCCACAGAATTCACTTCTTAGGAAGAAGGTAACAAGCTAGACCAAAGGGCAAGCTAGCACCTCAAAAAACTAGACCCTGGGTTAGCAAACTTCTCCTATAATGAGCCAGATCGGACCTATTTTCAGCTCTGTGGGTCTGCTTGTCTCTGTCACAAATACCCAGCTTTGCCAGTGTTGGGCCAAAGCAGCCACAGGCAGGACATAAATGTGTGAGCCAGGCTGTGTTTCAGTAAAACTTCATTTACAAAAGCAGGCAGCGGGCTGGACTTGGCCTGTGGTCTGGATCACCAAGCTCCAGAGGAGCTAAGGGGTAACAAGGGCCCCATGTAACAGCCAGTCAAAGACTACAGACAGAGAAAACATCAGCAAGCATAAGTTACTGGGCAGACCCTTGGGATAGCAGGTGTTGATTCATACTGAGTTGTTTCAAATACGGTGTGTATTGGAGGCCCAGCATGAAGGAAGGAGTGGCAAGAGGGATTTATTGTGGAGGGTAAATGATTCCCCTAAACCATGCAAAGATGTCAGCATGACAGCACACACAAAGTTTATACATGCAAATCCTAAAACAGACCCCATCGGCAATAAGCATCATTTTCCCTCATAAGTCATAGACTTGGTCCCTAAATTTGGAATCCTAGGGCATTCCAAAGCCCTGAGACTAGCCCAAGAAAGTCGTGAGCTTATCAGAAATGTGACTTCCAAACCCGGTCAGAAATCTGAACATAGCTGGTATCTCGGTACTGGCAGGGGCATGAGCAGAGGGTCCTGCTTGTTCCAGCGTCATTCTCCTGTGGGACCCGTGGCAATGGCTCCTATGTCCCTGGGTTGGCCAACCTTCCCTCCTACCCTGCACCGGCGTGCTCCTGACCATGAAAAGGTGAGTTGGGAATATCAAACTGATTCCCACCTTGCAGGGCTACACTGGAAAGAGGACACAACCCGGCAGAATGTCCCATCAATGCCCCGATTCCCCTCTATTGAACAGAGACACATTGTACCTAAGAAAGCAATCTCATGCTTGCACAGGAGCTCCGGCAGTTTGGGGCTTTCGGAAGCATGGCCCCAGCCAGCCCACACCGCCTGTAAACACAGAGAGGCATGAGTGAAGATCTTCCTTTGAGGAGAGCCCCCCCTCCCAACCCCGTCACACATGGAAGGCTTTTCGTGGCGTCACAACAGCCCTGGATTTCAGAGTCTTGGAGGACCTGGAGCCTCTGTCCCTCCCGAAAGGCAGGAATGAGCTGCTCCAGAGCTCAGGGCATCACCCAACCTCCCACTGCGGGCAGACTGGGGCACGCATCCGACTTAAACCTGCACGGGGATCCTCTTGGCAATGTCCACAACCAACTCCACGTTGGCATAATTGTTGTTGTTGGGCCCACCTGGGACAGGGACATACTGATCTGCCATCTTGATATACTCTGGAATTAGATGAGAAAAGGAGAGAAAAACTGAGAGGCTGAAGTTTACTGCATGACAACCTACGGCCATTGGAAGGGTAATGGAAAAGATTCTGTGGCCACAAGCGACAAGTGTGGATGATCATTTGAAGACAACTGAACATGACTTCCACTATGGGAAAACACAGAGGCATCAGGACAAGGCCTGGGAGGGAACAAAGAAAGAAGGAAGGAAGCTTCAGAATGGCTGGGATGAGAGGTGGGGTGTTCGATTAATTCCTATTTCCAGTTTCTCTTAATACTGTTTTGCTATTAAACAACAGTGTTTTTAATCACAGTGAAAAACATACCACATAAAATTTACCACCTAACTCATTTTTTGAGCGTACAGTTCAATAGCATTTAGTACATTCACACTGTTGTAAAACAGATCTCCAGAACTTTTTTCTTTTGCAAATCTGAAATTCAACCCATGAAACAACACCTGCCCTTTTCCCCCTCCTGCAGCCCCTGGCCAGCACCATCTTTCTGTCTCTATGATGTTCACGACTCTAGGACCTCATCTATGGGGAATCCTAGAATACTTGTCTTTTTATGACTGGTTTCTTGCACTTAGCATAGTGTCTTCCAGGTCCTTCCATGCTGTACCATGTGATAGGACTTCCTTCCTTTATAAGGCTGAATACAATACAATGTTTTGATTTAAAATACTCATGCCCTTTACGCCAGAAATTCTACTTCTCGGAAGAAATATGTGCTAAAAAAAATCCTACTCATCGATGAAGCTCAAGAGTGATAAGAGGATGTCCACCGGACAGTGTTTTAAAGTGTGACACACTAGACTTGTGCCCAAGGCAAGGCTTAGTCACTCTGTACTATCGAATTTTCTGGGATCCTGAGAAGGAACAGGGTAGAACTCTATGTGTGGATCCTGAAAGAGAACCAAGAGTGGCATTTCCTCCCAGGCTGCCTGCCTCCAATGTTTATGGAACACAAAAGTGTCAGCCACAGGGGAGGTCCCAGAGGTGACAGAGTGAGAAGTCAGATGAGCTCCCTCTCGTCCCTGAGTTTTTCTCTACTGTCAGAGAAGAGAAACAAGAAAACAGAGTAACACCAGGCTGGGGTCAATGCCAGGGCCCTCTGGGAAAGCCACACAGGAGGACACGACCGGAAGGCTGGGACAGGGAGGGGTGGAGGCCTGCTGTGCCAGGAGCTTTGGGGAAAAGCATTGTCAGCAGAAGATCCAGCATGTTCCAAGTTTCTGGGACAGGAAAGAGCTCCACTGGCCCAGGAACCAAAGAGGCCAGCATGGCTGGAACCCAGGGTTGAACAGCAGAGACACTGGATGGGGCCAAGAGGCCGGCAGGGCACCTTAACTGGCCTGAGGACCTGGAATTTGAGTCTGAGCATGATGAGAGCCCCCACAGGGTAAGGCAGCCCAGGGTTCCAATCCTGCCTTTGCCACATACTGGCTGTATGACATTGGGTGAATGATTTCTGTCCTTATGCCTCATCTATAAAATAGGGTTGATAATCAAATCTGTCCTCTGAGTTAAAAGGAGACTGCTTCTGGGCAAGGCCAGGGCCCAGGCTCTGGGAGGGACTGGGGCACAGCATGGCAGCCTCTTAAGCATTTAGAGCTGCTAACAGGACCTGAGCTGTGTTTTTAAGAAATCATTTTGACTACTGTGTGGATAAAGGTCTGTAAAGGGATGCGATGGTTCACGGGAAAAAAACAAATTGTCCAACAGTTATTTACAGAATGATCTGTGCTAACAGACAGAGAAAACAAATGAACAGAAGAATGCATGATTGAAGTACAATACAGACATCTGTGGGGAAAAACACCTGGAGGAAGAGGGGCCAATCTGCTGTAACATGGACATTTCCCCAAGATGGGATCTCCACTTTGTATAGTAGCCATTTGCATTTTTAGTTAAATAAGGAAGAAAAAGCAAATAAATGCGAGCTCAGGAGAGGTACCGTGGGACTCTGGGGCCCAGGGTGGACTTGCCTGGGTATAATGGAAGAGGTGAGGGCAGGTAAGAACAGGGGGTGGCAGGAGGGGAAGGAGCCAAGGCCCTGGTACCTGCATTGGCCTTCAGGTCCTCTGGGGTCACCATGACTACAAACCGGATGGCCCGCTCGTTCCGGAACATCTCATAGGCCCACCTGCGGATGGAGCGCATGCACTTCACGGCGGCAATGCCATTGTTGGCGATGAGCACCTGCACAGGGGAAATGAGGAAGGGGCCAGAGCTGCACATCTACCTGTGCTGGGAGCTGCATGCTACCCTGGGCTCCATGTCACAGCTCCAGAGCTACTTTACAGCACACAGCCTGGCAGAGAGGTGCTCAAAATCTGCTAGCTGCACGAATACAGAACGATCAGATGGTGGGTGGGTGGGTGGATGGTCAGGTGGAGAATCGAATGGATGGTTGGAGGGGTGGGTGGATGGATGGACAGATGGGTGAGTGGACAGATGGATGGGTAGGTCGGTGGATGGATGGATGAATGGTCAGGCAGAGGATTGGATGGATGGATAGATGGATGATGGATGGATGGATGGATGGATGGATGGATGGATGGATGGATGGACGGACAGGTGGACAGATGGGTGGCTGGGTGGATAGATGGATGGACGGACAGACAGATGGATGAGTGGGTGGGTGGATGGATAGATGGATGGACAGATGGGTGGGTGGGTTGGATGGATGGACAGACAGGTGGGTGGATGGATGGATGGGTGGATGGACAGAAGGATGGATGAATGGATAGGTGGGTGGATGGATAGAAAGATGGTTGGGATGGCTGGAAGACAGAGGAATGGATGGATGGGTGGACAGATGGATGGATAGGATGGACAGGATGGGATGAATGAAAGATTTTGATTCCTTGGTTGGCACCATCGAATGTTGGCACTTAACATTTTTGAAGGCCTAGTATGTACCAAACTACAGTACAATATATCTCACCATATATTTCACTTCACCCTCACATCAGCCCTTGAAAGTGGTTGTATTCTTATATTTATTTGGGGTTAAAGATATTAAAACTCAAGGAGTTCAGGCACTTACCCAAGATCACACAGCGAGTAAGTGGCAGAGATGTGATTTCTGAGCCCCACACAGTCGGACCTGTGTTCTGAACTGCCCCAATCCCGTGGCTACCTCTGCATTCTGGAGATTAAAGGCCCTGGACTTGGTGGAGAGGAAAGGCAGTGATGCTGCCTGTCCTCAGCAACTGAGAGCAACAGAAAAGGTCCTGGTTTCAATTCTTAATGAGCCATGACCTTCCTGTGTGGCATTAGGCAGACCCCTTCCCTGTCTGAGCTTCATCTCCATGTAAGGAGCTCAGACTGGTCAACTTCCTGGCTCGGTCTATAAGAAATAAAACCAAGCTCTAGCGTTCCTATTTTAAAAAAATAGGCATATGGCTTCAAAGCTTTGACTTCCACTGCAAGAACGTAATTTTAAGGCCCCTCCTATTTCTGACTAATTTTCATAACAGCTCTGAAGGACAATTCTCATTAGAGAGTGGGAATGTGTTTGCAGAAGGGGAAACTGAGCCCATGTGTCATATCCTGTGAGTGGCCACAGCAGATGCAGCCCAGAGCTGTGGGCTCAGATTCAGTGTTCTCTCCTTCCAGAAATACCTCCCGGAGAGCAATGATGGAACAGCATGGCTTTGGTTTTCTTAACCTTATTACCAAAGCAAAGCTTGGTCAAGAAGGAAGGGCTCTGGGTGACCCCAGGACAGCCAGTTTCCCTGGGCCCCATTTTTTCTAGCACATTCTGGGAGCCCCCAGGGGAGAAGGCCACTGCAGGCTGGCTTGCTGTTCTAATCCCACAGCTCCAGCGTTCCCACAAGGAGTCTAGGAGAAAGGGCAAGCCACGGTCACTCCAAAATCACAAAGTGCAGCCGCTCTGGGCTGCAGCCTTCAGCGGCCACCCAGCCTCTCGGCTCCCCAGGACCAGATGCCAGCCACCAGTCAGGCTGGCTGCAACAGTCCCCTGGTGAGTGTGGCAAAAAGTGCAGCCTCTGGATCCCCACCCAGGAGATTCTAACTCCGAGGGTCTGGGGTTGGGTGGAGGAGTCAGTATTCCCAGTCGGCAACCAGGCAGTGGCCAGGTTTGGGAGCCAGGACTCTGGGTTTATGGACGTGGACTCTGGACTCTTGACAACCGGAGTTCAAATGCCAGCTCTGCCACTGACCAGCTGTAAGACCGGGCAAGCCAGCTCCCTTCCCTGAGCCTCAGTTTCCTCTTCTGTAAAATCATATCGACCAGCAGGACGGTGGGGAGGGTAAAATGAGATATGATACGTAAAGCACTTCACAGGATGCCGGGCCAAGTAGGCCCTCAAAAAATCGTAGCTGCTGCTGTTATTAAAATCACTACCACTACACGTTCAAGTAAAGTGGAAAAGAACAAGGTCTTCTCGTCAAACAGACCTAGGTTCAAATCCCGACTCCAGCACTAACTAGCTACATGACTTTGGACAACCAATGTCAAATCTCTCATCTTGGCTCCTGTACGAATACGCTGGGAATAATCAGTCTGTGGCCCAGAGTCTTAACCCCACGGAACAGGAAACAAAGTGAAAAGCCTTTATAAAATATGGCAAATATTGGCTGTTTCCCTTCATCACTATTATTTTAACATATGGGCTTTCTCTCCTGGAAGGAGTTCCACACCTCAGAAGGGCAGAGCTGGGTTTTATGGCTGCCCCCGATAACCTAGAAAGCAGTCCCTTGCACGAAGGCACCTCGGGGTCTCTGTAGACCTCAATCTCCTCTCCCGTGAGATGGGTGTCATGCACCTGTTGCTTCCAGCTGTTGGGAGGGTGAAAGGTGATGAATTCCAGCACGTAGCACTTGGCCACTCCTCTGTGAGCACTTGTCCTCACAGAGGAGTGGCCTGGCCCTTTCTCTGTAGCGTGACCATGAGCCTGAAGCAGTGCTCTCCCTTCCAGCTGGGAAGAGGGGCCCCAACCCACTCCGACTGCCAGGACCCCATCTCTACCTTCTCAATGACCCGGTTCCCCCCAAAGCGTGTGACAAACTCAGCCGGGGAGGCCACGGTAAAGTCTCTGTGCAGGTCCAGCTTCTTCAGTTCTCGGCCCCTCTTCACCAGGTGGAGTCCAGACATGCTAGGTCTGCAGAGGGAAGAGGACAGACCTGATGAGCCAGGAAGCCTGGGCCACTCGGGGAGAGAGTCAGGAGCCCAGAACCTACAAACAACATCAATAGAGAAGTGGGAGCCCATCAGACGCCCCCATTGCTTTATAGTTCTCACCGGGGACCTTGAAGCATTTCACCAGGAGACTCAAGAGGCCGGCGCAGGAATGAAGCAGGAGCGATCCCGACCTGCCCCACAAGCTGTACATTGAGCTCTTTAATCCTAAAATAATTTTTACTTTCTTTGTTCCCAATTCGGGAGCTCAAATAATACAAGAAAAAAAAAACCTTACAGGGAGGGGAGGTTTATGATCAGGGAGAAAGTCTACACAGTCCAATACTTGAGACTTATTAAACAGTACTGATTGCCTTCATGCATTTTTCTGTACGTGCATCTCAGAATTTTTGTAACTGAAAACCAAAAAATGTGTTACCACCAGGGGACCTGGGTGGCTCAGTTGGTTAAATGCCTGACTCTTGATTTCAGCTCAGGCCAGGATCTCAGGGTCATGAGATTGAGCCCTGGGTCAGGGGAGTTGTGGTCCATGCTCAGCGGAGAGTCTGCTTGAGATTTTCTCCCTCTCCCACTGCCTGCCTCCCTGCTCACACACTCAAAGAAAGAAAGAGAGAAAAAGAAAGAAAATTCTTTTTTAAAAACTGTATGACAACCAAATGGTGGCTCCTTGCCCCATTCCCTCCAGAACCACACACACTTACTTTCCTGGCATCGATACCTCTCCATAGTTCTGAGCAATGTCACCATTGTATGTACCATCTAGTGCGACATCATTTAAAACACGAAGTACAGGGACGCCTGGGTGGCTCAGTTGGTTAAGCAGCTGCCTTTGGCTCAGGTCATGATCCCAGCGTCCTGGGATCGAGTCCCACATTGGGCTCCTTGCTCATCAGGGAGCCTGCTTCTCCCTCTGCCTCTGCCTGCCATTCTGTCTGCCTGTGCTTGCTCTCTCTCCCTCTCTCTCTCTGACAAATAATTAAATAAAAAAATCTTAAAAAAAAAAAAAAACACGAAGTACAGCTCTTTGATCTTGAGAGTCAAGGAAGGAGTTCTCTTACTCGGCCATCCCATCTTCTTCCCATCCCCCAATCTCTCAGTGCAGGCATAGTGCAGCCTGGCAGATTTCATATGTGGGATTTCATGAGTCTGGGATTATTCATGGATGAGGGCTGGGGAAGACCAGATCTTCCTTTCTTTTTTCCTGGAGACAGTGGGGTTTTTTTGTTTGTTTGTTTTTGGGTGTTTTTTTTTTTTTGGTTGTTGTTGTTGTTGTTTTGTTTGTTTGTTTGTTTGTTTTTGCATAGCTCTCCTTGTACCTGTTGCTAATGCCATCCATTCCTTCTCATATCCTCCATTATGTCATATCCATGACATAATTGATTAGCTCCAGCATTCTTCATTGGCGACATCCCTCTTGGAGGCCTCTACTCTCTACAGTCATCCAGAGTGGTTCTTCTCCAGACCCCTACACAACTGTCATTCTGAGACTTCCTTTTGTTGATATCCGTAGGATTCCTTTTGTCTTTCCTCAGGGTTTGATCCCTAATTTGGGGGATCAAATGGCTCCCTCTTTTTTGGTGAACTCCCTTGTTTTGGAGGGACATATCCTCCAGTAGTTCTATTTGGTTGAAAAGATGGTACAATGGGACAGCCCCTGATGATGGTACCCTCAACATGCATACCCTGCTTTTGGCTGCCCTGGGCTACCTCATCACTATCACCTTGGAGATTCCCTTTGATTCTACATTGGATCTCTGTTTCCCATCTCCCATGTATTGCTCTTCTTTGGTTTCTTATCTTGTTTCAGTGGAAGGCATCCTTCAGTAGCTTTCTAAGAAAAGATGTTTGGGAGTGAGGGATGGGGTAGTACATGATTCATAGTCTTGCAAGTTCTCAAACTGTCTTTCTTCTGATCTCATGTTTGACCCTATCATTTGGCTATGTATGGAATTCTATAATGGAAAACCTTTTCCTTCAGAGTTTTGGAAGCCTTGTGCCATGGTGTCATGGCTTCCAATGTGTCTGGCTAGAACCAGAGCTGTTCTGATATCTTGATTCTTCACAAGTGACCTGTTTTTCCGTATCCAGAAGCTTATAGGATCTTGTCTCTGTCTTCCATAGTCAACAGTTTCCCAGGGATGTGCTCAGGTATGTGCCTCCTTCCATCTAGCGGGGCTATGAATCTTCAGACTCCTTCAATGTGGAAACTCATATCCTGGGATTTGTCTTCAAGTATTTCAAATGATTTTTCTGCCTCACTTTCCTCTATTCTTTCCAGAAGCCTTATTATTTGGATGTTGAAATTCTTTTTTTTAAGATTTTATTTATTTATTTGACAGTGAGAGAGAGATCACAAGTAGGCAGAGCAGAAGACAGAGAGGGGGTGGGGGAAGCAGGCTCCCTGCTGAGCAGAGAGCCCAATGTGGGGCTCGATCCCAGGACCCTGAGATCATGACCTGAGCCGAAGGCAGAGGCATAACCCACTGAGCCACCCAGGCACCCCTGGATGTTGAAATTCTTAAACTGGTCTGCAAATTTCTGTCTTTTTCCCCCTCTCCTATTTCCTATCCCTTGTCTTTCGCTTTTTGGGCTAATTCCTTCAGCCTTCTCTCCTAACCTGGTGCTGTGTTTTTTAATACCCAAGAGCTTGTTACTGGGTAGCAAAGTCTCCTTGTTGTGAAACCTGTTCCTAACTGTACAACCCCCTCCCTGGCTTGAATGAGGGTATTAATGGCTGCTTTTTCAAGTTCTCTTCTCCTGGCATGGTTTCTGTTTCTTCCAAGTCTCTTGTGTTCCTCTGTTTGTTTGGGATCTCCTCTCCATACTAGAAACAGTACTCAGAACTCAGTCACTTCCTCATGACCAAGAGCAAAAACTAAAGGGCTGACAGAAGGTACTGAGATGGGGCCAGTGGATGCTGAGCTCGATGCTCAAGATCGGGGCGGGGGGGGGGCTGCTATATACCGGGGAACCCCAAGTACACTAGAGTCTTCTTCCTTCAGTGGTCCAATTCTCAAATGGCCAGGAGCTGGGGAAGGGGTGGTAGGGGAAGGAGTGGTGGGAGAAGTGGTGGGACAGGTCTGAGGGTGGAGGACAGGGCAGATTTCAGAATTCAGCCCCTACACAGACCCTGATCCTCATGTTTGGGATACAGACCTCATATGCCTCCGCTATGCCCATCAGTGCCCAATCCCAAGACCCTCTGTTTTTCCCTCTCCAGGGAATGAACCACCCGTTTTCTGTTGGGGTACAAGTGGGCAGGCAAGAAGATCTGGGCATCTTTTACCCAGTTCTTCTCATTTTGGTACCTCCCCTTCCCCCCAGGTGCAGAGGTACCTGACTCTGCCAGCCCCCACAGCTTTCGGAGTACAGATCCAGAAGGTTCTCAGCTGTCCCCACTGCTGCTTTAGGACTCAGCCCTCTTGGTTCTACTAAGCCAGTTACTGCTTGTCCATTTGCTTCTGGCCTCTAAAATGCTGTTGCTAATCTTCCCCACTGTTCTGCCAGGCTTGATGGGTTTCCATCTCTCTTTTTTAAAAAAAATCTCTTTGCTGTCATTTGGTGGGATGTTGACAAGAAGAGGATCAGGCGTGCACATTCAGTCCACTTTCTCTCTTTTCTTTTCCTTTCAAGATTTATTTATTTGAGAGAGAGAAAGCACAGAGTGGGGCAGCAGGAGAGAGAGTCTTAAGCAGACTCCGTGCCGAGCATAGAGCCCAATGCATGCTTGATCCCATGACCCTGAGATCACAACCCCACCCAAAACCAAGAGTTGGATACCCAACTGACTGTGCCACCCTGGCAGGTGCCCCTCAGTCCACTTTCTTAAGGTAGCGATAAGGCACTAAGCTGAGAACTATCAAGAATTAGGGTAGCAGTTAACCACCCACATGTGTCCAGTGGCTATTGCGAGGGCAAGGATGGATATGCCTCCATCTATCATCTGAGCAAAACCCAGGAAAATTGGAAGCAAATACAGAGTCAGGAAAGAAAAATTCCATTTTATAGATGGGCAAATGGAGGCCCAGACAGGCAAAGGGGTCACGGAGCACATCAGTAGGCCTGGGGCTGTTTCTACCACACCAGGAAATGCCGGATGTGGGCATTTCCTGCTATGCCAAGTGTTCGTGTCTAGTACAAGTTCCGTATGGGAAAGCCTCTGACAAACCTGCCGTCTGCCCCACTCCCCAGGGTGAGCTGCCAAAGGATCTGCTCATCACAAAGGAAAACACAGAGCTCTGGGCCAGGGGAACAAAAAGAGAAATGAACAATGTGTTTCCAGGCCACAAGAGGGTATGTTTTCAATGAAGACTTTCTCCACTCAACTGGGTTTAGCCACAGGGCCTGAATGAATGAACAGACAGATGAACAGATCTCCAGCCTGAGATAAACTCACTATCTACCACAAACGGTGAGCACATTTTCTCTAAGACCTCCTCGGACGGAACTGCTGAAACAAGATCTTAGAAAAGTACTTTGGAAAGTCAATATCATCTTGCAAATGAGAACAGTGCTTTTATCATAATTACATCCCATCAACCAGCAAGTAGCTCAGTTTATTCTTAGTGACTTTATTTCTTTACAGAAACAGGCAGATGTGGCTGGAAGGCCCTAACCTGCAGGCTCCTAATCTCAGAAAACAGACGCCAAAACGTTAATGGCAACCATCTCAGGTGGTGGAGTTATGGGTGGTTTCCGTTCTCTTCTCCAACTATATTTGTTAAGTTTTTTGCAATGATATGTTATTCTTTTAAAGATTATATTTATTTGAGAGAGAGAAAGAGAACACAAGTGGGTGTTGTGGGGGCAGAGGGAGAGGGAGAAGCAGACTTCCTTCTGAGCAGGGAGCCCCATGGAGGGCTGGATCCCAGGACCCTGAGATCATGACCTGAGCTGAAGGCAGATGCTTAACCATCTGAACCACTGAGGTGTTCTAATGTTATATTATTTTCAATAAGAAGA